CGGTCAAGCTGCGCTCACGCCCTGCTGGGACAGATGACTTCTCCCAGAGGGCTGCGAGCATCTCAACGGCTTCGCTTGCCCAAGCCCACAGCAAGGGGCTTTGATCGGGAGCTGCTTCCCACCCCGGCCACGCTCTCCTCCCTCCCTGGGTCTCGCCAGCCCAGGTGTTCCCAATATGCCGCTCATGTAAGGGCAATAAACCCGCAGCTCGGCCTTTCCCGGCACGTTTCCCTGCGCATCTGCAGGGCGCAGCGCTCAGCCATCCCCGTGCAGGTTCGTGGTGGTGCGGGACGGCCGGGCAGGGCCCCGGGGGAGGCTGGAGGTCCGCAGGAGGTGGCGGTGCCGTGGGATGCCCGGCGAGGCCGCGGTGCGGCGCGAGGTGGAGCCGGCGTTTCGTAAGCGCTGGGGAAAGGGCCTCTGCCGAGCTGGCGCGGGGAGCGGCTGTGAATTTCCATTCCTGTGGGAAGTGGGCTGCCACCGTCCAAGCATCTGGGGTTGTTATGATGGGAGAAGAATGCCAAATATTTTTCTTCCTTATCCACTACCATCCGTTGAAATCCTCCCCTGATCAAACCCATATTCATCGCTTTGGATGCACGAGGGCCTCTGCTTTCAGCGAGCCGTCCCTCCCTGCAGCCAGCCCCGCACGCACGGCTGGAAACCTGGGGAGACGGCGACGCCTCGCCCACGTCCCTCCACCCCTCCGAGGAGCTCCTGCCCTCGTTTCCAGCCGGCCCCACCAGGACTCTTCACCACTCCGCTGCCTCGGCTGGGTGCGTGCCCGGTGCCAGTGTCCCCGGCTGATCCGCCGTCCCCTCTTGGAGCCCCAGCATCCCAAAATCACCCGTCCGGCACGGCGGCAGGCACGTGCGCCACGGCCCCGGTGTGCGCGTGCCTCTGGGCCACGCGGGGAAGCAGGCGGTGCTGCCTTGGAGGGCCACCAAGATTTTCCAAAGATGAAAGCGTGCTCAAGTGTCAAACAAACTTTCCAAATTATCTTGCTGGACATTTTCTCCCTGGTGCTTTGGAAGACGGTGGAGGAACATTTCATTCCCTCCGCGCTGGCATGGTGAGGAGCTGCATGAGGGAGCTGCTCGCTGCCAGCGGCGCCCGCGGGCTCAGCCTTTGTTCCTCGCCGGTATCATCTGTGAGTCAGCCCAGCCGCTCTGGCCGGGGCCCCGGCCGGGCACCTCGCCCCGGCAGCCCCAAAACGCCTCCGGAGAACAAAGAGGTAACAGGCGCCTGATTAATTAGCGGACAACAAATCATCCCTTCCCACTGCAATTTTCAGAGGAGTAGTCATAAATAGGCAAATTAAGGCAAATGACGGGATTTATCTGCTCCTTCGTGGACACTCAGCACCCATCGCGGGCTCGTTAGCAGCAAAGCGCGCAGCCGGCACAGTAGCACTGCTTTGGTTGGCAAAGCCTCCTGGTGCTATTGTACGGCCAGAGTGATGAGCTGAATGACTCCGCTGCGTGCCGTCCCCGAGGACCCATTGCTAACGAGAGCTACCTAATTAGCGGGATGCAGCACAGGGCATGGCCTCGGAGGCCGGGAGCAGGGCGGCGATGCTGCGGCCAGGGCGCGGGTGTCAGGAGCCCGGCTCAGCCCCTCGCCCTTCCCCATCTCCCCGCTGCTGTGGCCAGCGGGGCTGTGCCAGGCCTGGCAGGTAGGGCCTGCTGGCCACGGGGTTTTGGGTTTTAATACATAAAATGTGTTATTTACAGGCAAACTGAGCGACTCCTTGGAGGAGCGGTGCCTGGGCACGGTGCTGGCTCTGCACCGTGCCAGCGGCCAGGAGATGCCGCTGGCTTGGGCTCCACTCGCCCATGCTGGAAGAAATAAAGTGTTACCCGGGGAAGGGGCCCTCTCCTGGCCCTTTCACATCGCCTCCCTTCCAGCCCCAGACGAGGAGAATTGAAATCAGCCTGCCGGGAGCTAGGCTGGGGCGAGGAGCTGCCAGTGGCCAGGGTGCGAGCCGAGCTGAAGCTGGGGCTGCCCTCGGTGATGTCTGTCACCTCTAAACCCACAGCAAACCCCACAAAACTCATCAATACTCTCTCCAGGCTGCTGCTTTTGGCTAACGTGAAGGTGGAGCATCGTCCCAAAATCCCCTTGTCGCGCCACCGTGGCCACCTGAACTTGTCCCTCTCCAAAAGTGCTTTCCTGCACAGGCCAGCTCTCGGTTTCCTTGCCCAGGGGACCCGAGGGGCTTTGCTTTTGCTTTTTCTGCATGATGCTCTGAGCAAAGGCAGAGCAGGGAGCTGCGCTGGGGCTTGGGGTTTGCATCTCCAATCCCCCACGCCACGGTGAGCGTCCACGTGGACGGGCACGGGCTTTGTCTGACCCGCTGCCAGGCACCCTCGGAGCTCTCCACACTCCCAGACGGGGCGAGCACACGCCGTGCAACGAAGCAGGCAGCTGGCTGCTCGGCACTTCTTGGGTTTCCCTGTGCCGCCGAGGAACCGGGGCTTATTCAGGCAGAAGCTCCCCGCGACGAGCACGCAGAGGGGACGGTTCGCAGCTGCCGAGCCCCGGCACCGTGACCCCAGCCAGCGCCCGGGGTTGTGGACCCAAGCACGAGGTGCCCGGTGGTGGGAGCAGGATGAGGATTTAGGATGAGCTCGGAGCAGAGCCCCGGGTGCCCTCCCGGTCCCGCGCACGTCTGCTGCGCGCCGCCACGCACGCGCAGGCGTGGGGCCCCCGCCAGCCCACGTGGATCCGCGACGGGGGCGCATTATTGCAGGCATGTTTGTTTATGGAAAGTAATGCCGAGCCAGATGCTGAAAACCTGCATTTTATGGGTAATTTTTCAATTTATTTCACATTGGCATTAGAAAAAAAAAAAAAAGAACAACAAAACTAAAGCGATCCCAACCATTATTACTCCTGGTTTCCTATGGCAAGGCCAAAGGGGTCTGAAACGGCTCCTTTGTTGTCTGAATCGTTAACTCCTTGGGAATGAAACGCCGTGGTGCCGAACGGGAGAGGCAGAGAGAAACCTTTAAGGGGGGTGGGGGGAGAAAAGGGGAGCAGGAGGGAGAAATTCAGGTGGGAAACGGAGAGCAGCCCCGACGAGGCCTCCCTGGGCAGGGCTGCAGGGGCAGGAGGGAGCACAGCAGCCGGGGCAGCCGCCTCCTCCCTGCCTCCTCGTGTCCCCAATCGCCCCCAGACCTGCTCAGATTTGGGGCGACAGCGGCCCCATAAACCCCATCAGACACTGAGGGACACATCCACCACGGCCCCGCAGTGCAATGAGTTTGCTGGTGCTCAGTGGTCCCAAAAAAAACATTTATCCCCCCCAAGGTGGAGCTGCCCCACGGCATCCCAGGCCCCAGGTTTTGGGTACGGGGCAGGCTGGGCTGGAGGGAACCTGGTGGGAACGGCACCTGCGTCGGGAAGCGCCGAGCATCCCGCGTGCAGATGCGGCGCGCAGACATGTGCAGGGGGTGGGAATTAACCCGCTCCAGCTGCCTTCAGCCTTGTCTGCAGGATGTGAGCAAATCCCATTAAAACTGGTGCATCTGTGAGAGGGAACCAGACAGAAACTCTCCTGCGGGCGGCTGGAAGCTGTCGGGACGGGCAGCACCATGCCGGATCCGCAGCAGCCCCACGGCCGCTGCAGGCACTGGGGAGCGGGTGCGGGTTGGAGAGCCGGGGCTCAGCAGCACCCTGAGCCTCCCAGCTCCAAACCCAAATCTCCTTGTGGGGTGAGAGAGGATGCAGAGCGCTCGCAGAGCCACCTGGGCACAGCCAGCTGCTCCAGAAAGGCTGGATTTACCCCAAAAAAAAGGTAGGGGAAAACACTCGGCCCTTTTCTGGTTGGGATGCGGGATGGGAAGGTGGCTCAGCATCCCTCCCAAGGGTCCTGCGTGCCCTGGGCAGGATTTCCCTCTCCGGGGGGAGGAGAGCAGCTCGCCCTGCTGCTTTGAGCTTGCTGGTGCCGGGGGTGGGCGCACGGCCAGGGGCAGCCATCGGGGTTGTCACCGTGGGCCACCAGGCCGCTGGGAAGCACGGCCCCTGGCACGGGGCTGGCACGCGGGTCCTCGTGGCTGGAGGAGGGCACGGAGCTCCTGGGATGGACATGGGGCAGCGCAGGAGCCCCTCGTGGGGCCATGGTCACCCTCCGAAGCCATGTGGGGGCCACGTGCACCCCACGGGGGGCTCGGAGGGACGCAGTTGCCCCCAGGAGGTTTTGTCCTGTCCTGAGCTCCCATGGGGCAGGGCAGGGGCAGGGGGGGACCCGAGTTTCTGCACCACAGCCCTGGCCACCCCCATCCTGCAGCCCTGTGCCCTCCCCTGGGCACGCTGAGACCCCGTCTGGAGGCATTTGGGGGGCGAGGGGCGAAGGGAGCTGCTTAGGAGCCAGGTGCTGCGAGGCACAGCTCGGCTCAGCTCGGCTCGGCTTGGCTGGCTCAGTTTGGCTCGGCTCAGCTCAGCTCAGCTTGGCTGAGTTCGGCTCAGCACGGCTCAGCTCGGCTTAGGTAGCTCAGCTTGGGTTGGATCGGCTTGGCACAGCTTGGCACGGCTCGGCACGGCATGGCATGGCACGGTCCCACAGCGCTTGGCACGGCTTGGCACGGTTTGGCACGGCTCGGCACGGCTTGGCACGGCTCAGCACGGCTCGGCACGGCTTGGCACGGCTTGGCACGGCTTGGCACGGCTTGGCACGGTCCAACAGCGCTTGGCACGGTTTGGCACGGCTTGGCACGGCTTGGCACGGCTTGGCACAGCCCGGCACGGCTCGACACAGTCCCACAGCGCTTGGCACGGCTTGGCACAGCTTGGCACGGCTTGGCACGGCTTGGCATGGCTCAGCACGGCTTGGCACAGCTCGGCACGGCTCGCCTTGGCACGGCTCGGCCCCGTTCCCTCATCTCTCTGCGCACCGAAGCCAGCCTCCCCCCCCCCCACTTACCCGATCCCCCCGCCGCCCCCCGCCCGCTCCTGGGCGTGTCCCCCCCGGCCTGGCCCCTCCCGTGCCGAGCCGTGCCGAGCCGTGCCGAGCCGTGCCGGGGGCTTCTCCGTGCCCCCGCAGCGGGATGGAGGCGGCGGGCGGGGGGCGCGCCCGCTCCGAGGCTGCGGCGGTGGCGCTGGGGCCGGGGGTCGCGGCCCGGCCGTTTGCGGGGCGCGGGGCCGGGGCCGGGGCCGTTTTGTCATCGCCGGGGCTTGCCGGGGGGGGGTCGGGGGGGGGGGGCGGCGGGGGGCTGGCAGCGGCTATAAAGGCAGCGCTCCCCCGAGCAGCCGCCGCTTGCCCGGCACCATGAGCGCTGCCCTGCCCTGGCGGCCCGGGGCATGCCCCCCACCCGCGGCTGGGGTGGTGTGAGCCCCCCCGCCCCGCTCCGCGCCGCTCTCCTCCCGGTTTTCCTTTCCCTTCCTTTCCCTTCCCTCCTTCCCTTCCTTTTTTTCCACCGCCGGGGCGGGAGGCGAGCCCGGCAGCCGCTCGGATGCTCTGAGATTTCTCGCCCGCCCTCAACCCCGGCTGCCCAGATGCAGTGGATAACCCTCATGGTGCTGCTATTCATCAGCTCCGTGGAAATGCTCGCGCAGAACCGCTGGAAGAAGCAAGGTAGGGCGCACGCTGAGCGGGGCTACCTCGTCCTGCCCAGGTGCCACCCGTGGGTGGCTTCGGGTCCCCAACGTGGAGCAGGAGGGGTGCCATGGGGGTCACCAAGCCCCCGGGGCTGCTTCATCCACGGAGAGCCCCCGGGGCTGTTTCCTACATCTGTGCCTGGAGAGGGCAAGGCTCAGCCCCAGCGGCATCACCTGCCTTGTGCCAGCGTTGTCCCACCTGGGGTGGCAGGGGACAGGGGACAGCTGGTGGCACGGGGACCAAAATCACAGCCCCCCGGGGCAGGGTGTGGGTGGTGGGCGCAGGGCGCAGCGCTGTGCCGGTGCTTCTGCTCCATGCCTTGGGTGCAAAACGTCCTGGGAGGATGCTCGGAGGTGCTGTCCCCTGCCCCATCCTTCGCCCCCGAGCTGCTGCTTGGGTGTCCCGGGGCTGTGCCGGGGGGCACGGACTCGTGTCCCCTCCATCGGGTGGTGCCACCGCAGCCTGGGCTCTGCGCAGTGCGGGACCAGGGCTCCCTTTTTTAACTGGTGCTGGAGCAGGGATGGGATCTTGTGAGCCTTTGGAGGCCTCGGGCTGGAGCCTGGGCAACTTTCCCCAAATCTGTTGGACGTTGCTGTAAGATGCCAGCGCTACGGGATGCGGGAGGGCCTCGGGTCCTCGCGGCACCCATGGGTCTGCGCCTCAAATTTGCGGTGTCTCCCCCCTGTTCGGGCTCTGCTGGCTGCTCAGCTCCTGCCCCGTGCCCGTCCCAGCTCAGCCCCGTGCCCAGCAGCTGCCACCGTGCCCGGGGAGGTGAAGCCAGGAGCTGCCCCCTCATTTCCCTGCTCCCATGCTCTGGGTGGGGGCCCCGTGCCGGTGCCAAGCGCAGCGCTCCGCCGGCTCCCCGGCACCGCTGCCGGTGGCAGGAGAGAGACAGGAGGAGAAGAAGGGCTGGGAGCAGCAGGCAGGGAGAGGGCTAAAAAGCTGCCCAGAGCCCTCCCTGGAGCTGGTTTTAAAGACGGTGACACGGATGTCGCTGCCACAGCTCGTCCCAGTCCCACGGTGGGGCTCTGCACCTTCCCTGCCCCAGCTGGGTGTTGGAGACGAGAGCAGGAAAAAAATAATAAAAAAAAATCATCAAAAAGAATCAGGGAAGGGAAAAGACGCTCGTAAATCCCTGGGTCTCCTGGGAAGCTGCTCCAGCTGCAGCCAGGAACACAAATGTTGTCAGCGTTTGGTAAATATGTAACGGAGACCATAACAACTTAATGGATCCAAGGTGCTTCGTTAGCGGGCTCCCAGCACACGCAGCCTCCTGGCCGCAGCGAGCCGCGCTGCGCCGTGCCGCCGCGCTGAGCAAACCCCTGGCCTCCAGGGGAGAGGGGACCGGGACGATCGGGCTCGGGGGTGGCTGCGTGGCACCACCACAGCACCTGGGAACGCCGTGCCGGAGCTGTGGGGTGTCCTCTGGGTGCGTCTCCCCGCCGTGTCCCCAGCCCTGAGCTCCCTCCCTCGCCCGCTGCCTTTCCAAGGGGTCCGAGACCACGTCCAAGTTGCTTGCCCATTCGCTCGTGTTCTCAGCACCCTGGCACGTCCCAGATGCTGGCCCCAGTTTGCTCCCAGTGGGATCCAGTCCCTCATAGGGCTCACCCCCATGCAGGGGAAGGCGGTGGCTGCGGGCCCTTACCCAGGGCTGTGCACCAGGCTCCGGTCACCGCAGCCTCCAGAGCTCTGCTCTGCCCGGGGCAGCCTCCTCCTTCAGCCTTTGCTATGTGCAAAAAAAAAAACCAAAAAAACAACAAAATCTTAACGCTGTGAGACCTGCTAGCAGCCAGCCTGGGCCCCGAGCACGCACCACCCGTGTTCCTGGCACTGTCGCTGGCTGTACAGCACGAGCTGTTGCTCGGGGGTGTTAGAAGCGAGCTTTCTGTCCCAGAAAAGCCAAACAAACTCTTCCAAACGCCAGCGGGTGCAGCAGGCGCCTCGCTGGTCGAGCAGAGGAGCCTGGGGGGGGCCCTTTTTGGAGACACCCCCACTATTCTGGGGGTGCAGAAGGACCCCGCTGTGTGGGTGGGCAGCGAAACCAGCGGCTGCCCTGGTGCTCTGGGCTCAGTCACCAGCTCCTGAAATGCCCCCGGGCCACGAGCATCTCCTTGGACTGTGACTCTGGTGGGGGAAGCTGGCTCTAGGGACATGGGGGCACCTCCAGGGCACCTCCCCGCTCCTTGTCCCCGTGTCCTTGTCCCTGGGAGCAGACCCCCCCGGGACCCGCTGCCCCCCGTGCAGGTCGGAGCGCGGCGGGAGCAGCCGGGGAGGCGGCGGCGGCGGCTCTTGAGCCACCAGACAGATCCTTATCGCGGCTCCACTTGAACGTTTCCGAAACGCTCTTTGTTCCCTTGACGTATAACAGGCAGCAGCCAATTAACCTGGGGTCAGGGCTCGTTTCTACCCGCCGGCTGCTCCGGGGGTCAGCGCCCTGTCGGATGCCATGGTACGGCTGCCCAGGTGCCCGGGTTGGCACCCGGAGCTGGGCGCAGCACGGAGGGATCCCCGGCCCCAGCCGTGCCTCCCACCTACAGCCCCTCTGCCCCGCTTGTCTCCGCAGTGAGCGCCGGCCTCTTTGAGAACTGCACGGGCTGCGTCCTGTGCTCGGAGGACAACGGCTGCATCACCTGCCACCACCGGCTCTTCCTGCTCATCTGGAGGGACGGCATCCGCCAGTACGGGATGTGCGTCCACACCTGCCCCCCCGGCTACTTCGGCGTGAGGGGTCTGGAGGTCAACAGATGCACAAGTACGTGGTGTGTGCGCCGGGGTCCCTGCGCCTCCGAGCGCCCCGGGGTCCCCTCGCTGCCCCGCGGCTCCTCTCCCAGCCCGGAGCTGCGTTTGGGAAGGGCTCTGGGTCCCTTTGCGCACCGGGGCCTGGAGGCTCGGAGCTTGCCCCCAGCTCACAGCCCCCCTTCCCGGCAGAGTGCAGGTCGCCCAGCTGCGAGAGCTGCTTCAGCAAAGACTTCTGCATGAAGTGCAAGGAGAAGTTTTACCTGCACAAGGGTCAGTGCTTCCGGCAGTGCCCGCCCGGCACCGCGGCGCAGCCCGGCACCCGCGAGTGCCAAGGTAAGCGGCGCCCGCTCCCCGCACCCCACGGGTCATGCCAGCGTGGCGTGGCCACCGTCCCCCTCCCCGTGCCCCTTTTTTCCCCCCAGAGACGTGCGAGCCGGGGCCCTGGAGCGAGTGGAGCGCCTGCACCCACGAGGGCCGGACCTGCGGCTGCAAGTGGGGCTTGGAGACGCGGGTGCGCGAGGTCCTGGGCACCCCGCGAGAGGAGGGGGCTTCAGTGCCCCGCGCTGCTGGAGACCCGAAAGTGCCGCCTGAGGAAGCACTGCCCGGGAGGTGAGCGCAGCCCCTCCTGCCCCCCGCAGCCCCCCGGCTTGGCGCCCCGCCGCCGCTCTGCCTAAAAGCGAGGAGCCCCGCGGTGGCGGGGGGTCCTGCGGGGTTGTGGCCGGCCAGCCTGGAGCTCATCTCCCAAGCATTTGGAGGCCGGTGGCTGTAACCGTGCAGTTCTGGAGAAAGCTGCCTTCCCAGGCACATGTGCTGAGCAGCCCCGGTGCTGGCGCCGGCAGGGACGAGGCTCCCCTTGCCCTGTTTGAGCCACAGCCCCTGGCACCGGCTGCTGTCCTGCCCGCCTGCGAAGGGAGAGGCAGGGCCCAGGCTTTCTGCTTGGCAATTGCAAACAGAGAGGCGTGAGTTCCTCGGGGGAAAAAACCTGCAAAAATCCGCAAAATCCCAGAAAGCCACATGGAGCTGGAGGGCATCACCCGGGGGGATTTGCAATGCCCAAGGTCCCCAGCCCACCCCGGGATCCGTCCCCAGGGCTGGGCACCATCCTGTCCTCCCCGGTGGCTCTCCCTGACGTTGTCCCCAGCCCTCGTCCCCGGGGGCCCTCCCGTTGCTGTGGCACCGCAGTTCCCTGGCTCGGGGCTCCCCGGCTGGGGGCTGCAGCGTGGGGGCTCCCCGGTGCCCCCTCTCAGCGCCCAGCCGGCGGCGCGGGCACGGGCGCGGGGCTGGCGATGGGAACCAGGAGGAGCCTGATGTCATTTTTGGACGCGAGCGGCTGGGCTGAAGCTGTTCTAATAAATCTCTGCTTAATAACTGGCAGAAAGACAGATTGCATGAGATACCGATCTGTGGGCCTTGGAAGGAGATCTGAGCCCCCGGCCTCGGCGCTGGACAGCTTTGCGGTGCGGAGCCGTGGGTTCGCTCTGTATCCACACGGCAGCGGCAGGGAGGGCGCGACCGAGGAGAGGGGTGCGAAGGGGAGAGGAGAGACGGGTTGGAGGAAGGTGGGAACAACAAAAGCTGGGTGTGCTGGGGCTGCGGAGCCAGGGGAGCGTCCTCATCTGGGCACCATCCATCATAAATAACGGTTGGGTGCTGACAGCGCGGCGGAGCTGATTTCCTTTCCTGCTCAGGCCCTGACTCGCAGCTTTGGGGCGCCAGGTGGCAACGATTTCGGGGGAATTTGGCTCCCTCCTTGGCTCTGCAGCCCCTGGGCTCTTGAAGCTGGTGACAGGTTGATGCGGCCAGCTTGGCGGTGGTGCACGAGGACGGGCTGCTCTGGAGCTCGGCGCGCTGCCGGGCGGCTGACGGCGTGTGCCTGCGGCACCGTGCCCGCACACAGCCTGCCCGGAGCTCGGTGCCACCACAGCCACCCCCCTGCACCCATGGGGATCACAGTTTTTGGGGTGCACCGCATCTCACGGGGCCACCTGGGCACCCTCTCCTGCCCTCTGTGAGCCCCGAGGCTGCGGGGATGGGGGGCACCGCAGGGCTCCTCGCTTGGGTGGGGATCAGCTCCAGAGCCGGGTTTCTCCCCAAAACAGCCGAGGGAAATCCCCCCGCAGCGTGGTGTGGCTGGAGGCAGCGGCCTCCCCGTAAGCAGGGCAGGAGCAGCCCCTTCGTGTCTGGCAGCCCAGCCCTGGGCAGCCTGCTCGGCGTCCCCGCCGCGGCGGAGCGTGCGCCTGCCCTCGCTCCCAGGCTCCTGTCCCGACCGGCCGAGTGCTCGCTTATGGGATCCAGATGCTGGAGGACAACGAGTTCACTTGATGCAGCCAAGACACCCCAAGACCCGGAGAGCCGGAGGAAGGCTCTGCCTCGGCCCCAGCCCGGGCTGTGTGATGAGAGATTTTGTGCTACCACTTCTGAGCCGTCCCCGGGCAGCTGGAAGCGAGAAGCATCTGCGCTTGGCCGCGGCACAAAACCGCTCACGCTGCTGTAAATCTGCCTTGTGTTCCTGCCGCGCTCTCCAGACGCCTGGCATTCGTGCCGTGCCCTTTCCTTTGTGGGTGGCAATTGTCTGGGAGATCAGAGCAGAAAAACAGAGACGGGCAGGAAAAGAGATGGAGCCCTCGCAAAGAACCAGCGTCAGCAGCGCCGGCTCCTGCCGCCCTCGTGCTCCGCGCCCCCTGCGCCCCCCGGCTCTGGGATGGACACAGGGGCAGGAGCTGCCTGGTTTGGGGGTACCCAACCCACTCCAAGGCATGGGGTCCATCAGAGCCCACAGTCCTGTCCCGTGTCCTGGTTTGTTTCGGTGTCTCAGCGCCGTCCCCATCGGAGCTGGGAGCTGGAGGGGTGCTTGGAGAGGGCTGGGTGCACCCAGAGGCCAGCCACGTCCCACCAAGCCTCAACCCTTCCTGGTCCAGCTGGGGGCTGTGCTGTGCGGGGTTTTGGGGCTTTGGGGCCTTGGGGATTTGGGGATTTGGGGCTTTGGGGTGGCCGTTGTCCTGCTCCTGCTCACGGAGAGGTCGGGGTCTCTCCGGGCAGCACCCGCTGTGGCTGGGGGCAGAGCTGGCCGTAACCCCCAGCCTCACATCAGGAGGCTCCCCGCTGCCCGGCCCCAGCGAGCGAGCCCTCCTTTTCTCCTTTTCTCTTCTCTTCCAGAGAAAACCAAACCCAAAAACAAAGGCAAAAAGCGGCAGAAGAAGCAGAAGACAGAGCCGGACGCGGGCACCTAGCGGCGCGGGCACGGCGAGGCGAGCTCCCCCTGTGCTGCCCTGCCCGCGTCGCCCCGGCTTCCCAGCCACAGAAAATTGCACAATTTTCTCTCTCTCCCCCCCCCCCCATTCCCCCCTCCCCCTTTCTTTTCAGGCAATTTATGGCCTGTAAAACATTTCCTTTTCAGAAAATCTAATTTGCAGTGTCCAAAGCAATGCCTCGGGGCTCGGGGAGGGGGTGGCTCCCTTTTTTTTGTTGTTGTTGTTTTTCCCTCTCCCCCTGCCTGCTCGGCCCCTTCCCTCGCTGCAGCCGGGTGAAATGGGGCCGGGGAGGGGGGGTTCGACCCTGCCCCAGCACGTCCCCTGGGCAGGGAGATGTCCGTCCCAATGGGATCCTGGCTGCGCTGGGGTGCCGGGGACCTCACAGCAGCCCAGCCCGGCCCTCAGCATCTCTTTGGTCCCCCGTGGCACATCCATGGGCCAAATCCTGCCGGCCTCGTGCTCACAGCCTGTGGAGAGCCGGACGAGCTCCGTGCCGGGCGTGAGCGCAGGATTTGGGGGTGGCCCTGCCCACGCACCCCGGAGCCACCAGTGCCAGCCTGGGGACGCCCCCCACCACCAGCAGCCACGCCACCAGGATCAACATCGTGGCCCCCTCCCGTGGGTGCTGACCCCGTCCCCATCCCTCTGACCCAGCCACCGTGTGCGCATCGCCCAAAAAAACCCACGCAGGACGCGTGTGTGGCCCGTGGAGAAGCACCTCGGCACGTTTCAAACGCGTTTTGCTGGAACTGCTGCCCTCCCCGGGGGCACCTCTGTGAATATCCCGGGTCTGGCTGCCCCATCCCTGCTCCCAGCACGGGATTTTGGGGGTTATGGGGGCTGCGGGGCCTTTCCAGGACGGGAGCGCTTGGTGTCAGCATCGAGCCAGCCCCGGAGCCTCGCTCGCAGGCACGGGGCAGCTCCTCCGTTTGCTTTCTGTCGAATAAAAAATGTTGAAGCCTCCGGCATCCGTCGCCTCGCGGCTTCCCTGCGCCGCAGAAATGGTTTCCACGAGGCATTAAACCCCAGCCCCACGCCTCCACCCCAAAAGCGGTGGGGTAAAAAGCGGCCACCGGCTGCCTGGGTCGGCCTCGGACCCCTCCGAATTGCCCAGGCCCTCAGGAACTGGGGGGGTCCCTGGGGAAAGATCTTGTTTTGGCGTTTCTATTTGGAGCAGCAGCAGCATCTCGCGGCGTCTGAGCCAGCAGAAGGGGAAGAAACGTCCCCAGGACCCTGCCCCGTCCCTGGGTGCTGCTTTGAGCCCAGCCCATGGGACCCCTCCGGGGCTGGCTCTTGGGATCCTGCTCCTGGGGAGGGGGTGCAGGAGGGATTTGGGGGCTTGGGGCTGCTCCGAGCCACCCCAGAGGCCGGCAGGGGGATGCCTGGGGGCTCCCGAGCTTGCCCTGGAGCTTCTGGGGTGCTGAGGAGATGCTGGGACGGGGCAGCACCAGCAGGACACCAGGGCATGGAAAAGGGGATTTTGGCTGCCCCTTAAAACCAGGTGGGGTCCCCGCTATCCAAAGGGGTCGGAGCACCCCGTGCCCACCACAGCCCCCTGGTGCTGCGTAACCGGGCGGAAAACCCTGGGAAGGTGCCGGGCTGTTCCTGTGCCGAGGGATTTTTGTTCTGCCGTGCCAGCCCGTCCCCACGGCCAGCCCCAAATCTCTTGGGACAGCTTAGAAATAGCCCGGCACGTAGCCTGGCCCCCGTGGGCTCGGCGCCAGGCGCTGGGGCCCCGTGCTGGCCATGGGATGGCTGCGCCGCCCCGCGTGGGCGCACGGCACAGCCAGGGTTGCAGGGGCATTTTGTTTTATCCCACACCCCGGGGTGGGTTTGGGGTGTCCCCAGGCTACCCCATATCCATGGGGCAGGGGGAGGTGGGGGTCACCAGGGTCTGCACGGCACCTCCTGGGGCTGGCAGGGACGTCCCTTTGGCACCGTGGGCAGCATGCGCACGGATTTGGTAGATCACAAGTGGAATGGGGGCATGGTATGCATTTGGGGTCGGCCCCCCGACACTGAAATTACCCCCGTGAGGCTGGGGGAGATGGGATAGCCAAGGATGTCCCCGTCCCATGCAGCTTGGCCACCGCAGCAGCTGCTCCTCGCTCTGCGGGGCCGGGGTCTGCATCCAAATCCTAAACCCTAAAGGGGCAGCCCAAACCCCCTGGGGGCAGGAGGAAAACGCACGGCTGAGCCCCAAACCCCACACGGGATCCAACCGGGTCCCACCACCCTCCGCCGGGTCCCCACGGTCCCCGCGGGCTCGTCCCACGGCCGCAGCAGCCGAAGGCAGCGCTCGGCTTCCTCCCCTGATATAAATAGCTGCAGGCGGGGGGAGCACGGCCCGGGGGTCCCAAGGGTGACAGGGGGCAGCGAGGGCGGATGGGGGGACCCTCTGGGAAAGGGACGAGGGGCTCGGGGCTGGGGAGGGCACGGTGGGGACGTGGGGGGCCGGGGGGCCAGGGGTGGCCGGACTCTGCGTGCGTGAGACATGGAGAGATCACGTGTGAAACTTGATCTCCCCGCAGCGGGCTCGGAGGAGAGAAAAAAAGATAGAAGTATTGTTTTTAAACAGATTTTTTTTTTTTCCCCTTTTGTTTTTCTTTTTCTTTTTTTTTTTTTTTTTCTTTTTTTTTTTTTTTCCTTGCAAGACCCAGCCTAGCGAGCGATAAAAGGAGGCCGGGGGCGGCCGCAAACCCGCTCAGAGCGCGCCAGGAGGAAATGCCGAGGGCGCAGCGCCGGGGCTGGGCGCTCAGCACCCACTGACCGACTCCTCGCACCCGCAGCACCCTTGGGTGCCGGGGTGAAGGGGTCCCCCGTGCCGTGCCCGTGCCATGCGGGCGCTCGGCCTCGTCCTGGCGGCTCTGTGCGCGGTCACAGCCCAGCGGCGGGTGCTGGATGGGGGCGGCCGGCGGCGTTTCCACCGCGTGCAGCACGGGCACTGCAGCTACACCTTCGTGCTGCCCGAGGCTGACCCCGCTCCCTGCCCTCCCAGCGTCGCCCCCGGCCCCTCCAACGCGCTCCTGCAGCGGGACTCGCCGGCCGGCACCGCGCACGCCGCCCGCGGGGCCGCCCAGCGCCTGCAGCACCTCGAGAGGATCCTGGAGAACAGCACCCAGTGGCTGCTGAAGGTAGGAGGAGGCGGTGGTGGGGTGCCAGGGGGTGAGGGGAGGCGGTGAGGAGGGTGGTGGGTAAGGGGGTGCCCCCCGCAGCTGCCCTACACCCACCGATGCCGCTTGCTGCGGTCAGCTCTGCGCCTTCCCCGCTGGGCTCAGCCCCAGGGACTGATTCTGCCCCAATTTTTCCACCAGAGGGGATGGAGAGGGTGCCACGGATGCCACTTATCAGCAGTTCTCACCGCCCTGCATCCCCCACCACGGGTCCCCTCCTGGTGCCCACCGCAGCGGCGGTGCCGGGCACCCCGTGGGGCTGAGCTCTCCCCATCCTGGCTCAGGATGCGGCCCCGCTGGGAGGCTGGCGGGCAGCAGAGCCAGGAACCCAAGGGCAGGGGCCAGCGAAACCTCTCCAGCTTCATCCTTCTCCCCGTTATGGGCTTCACAAAAACTCCTGGCACCGCCTGAGGCTCTGCGTGGGAATCACAGATCCCAGCCGGCCAGCCCCAACGGGGCACGGGGAGCCTCACCGGAGGGGCTGTGGGGTCCACATGGGGGGTCTGCAGGCAGCAGGAGGGGACCCCTGCGTCACGGGGACCCCCACCCACCTTGGGGACCCCCGTCCTGGGTGCTGCTGCGCCCCCCAGCCCCGGCCCCTTGGCGCGAGGCAGGAAGAGGTTTTTCCTTTCCGAGGTCTCTCTCGGTGCCTCCTGACCCCGCATCTGCGGCCGAGCGAGCGGCCGCCTGCGTCACACCCGGGAAGAGCTCCCGGGAGGCTCCCCCCGGGGCCACGTCCCCGCGGTGCCCACGATGGGGACGGGGTGAGAGGCTCGTCCCCAAGTGCCACCCGCCCCCGAGCCGAGCGGCACCGCCGGGGACGCGGAGAGCAGCAGCGGGCACCCGTGGGGACACCCAGGGCTGTCCCTGTCCCCTCCTCAGCTGCCTCAGACCCCAAATTCCTCAAATTTGCCCCAACTCCTCTCAAAGCCAGCTGTGGGTGCTGCAGAGGGAGCGGCGAGGCCAGGCTGGCGGTGACCAATGCCCCCCGCTGCGGGGACGCTGCTCCAGTGGCGTTTGCGCACCTCAGCTCCGCGCAATCCCGGGGTCCCTGCACCCTAGGGTGCTGCCACGGGGTCCTCTGGGTGCTGCTCAGCCCCGCTGGGTGCTGCTCAGCCCCGGAGCAGGCAGGATGAAGCCTCACACCTGGGCAGCTCTGGGCAGAGGTGCCCAAAATCACAGCCCGGGAGCAGGGGGCAGCGGTCGGTGCCCGTCCCCTCCCGCAGCACGGCCCCTCCAGCACAGGCAGATTTTTATTTTTTTTTTTCTTCTTTTTTTTTTTTTTTCTTTTTGCTTTCTTTTTCTGTTTCTTTGCTTTCCTTATTTAACTGGAACTGCGCAAGGAGGCTTGTTTTGGTTGGACTCCAGGCCTGAACAAACAAACTGGGCTCGAAGGAGGCACCGGGGTTCGGGGACGGCTTGTAAACAACGCCGAAGTCCCCGTCTGCCAGCGGGGCAGATTCACGCTGTGCCCTGGCCCGTGGCTCTGGCAGGACCCCCCCCAGCCCCTTGCAGGGCTCCCCACCCCGCCAGCCCCCTCCTCTGCCACCACAGCCCCCACTGGGGACACTGGGTGCGGGGTCACCCTCTCCACGCAGCCGAGCGCAGCGCAGGAGGGACAACCGGGGACACCAGTGAGGACGTGGCACGCAGACTGGTGGCACTGGCCGAGGACGTGGGCACTGGGTGCCTGTCGGTGCCACCAACCTGACCACGGGGCTGAGACCCTGAGGGGACTGGTCCCAGTGGCTGCCCTTTTGGCGATGTGTCCCCAGCATGGGGACAGCGGGGTGGCCGTGCTGCGCTCCCGGCCGGTGGTTGCTCTCTGCTTGGTTTTGCTGCTGGGCAGAAATTCTTGAGTCAGGCTGCGAATTTTGGGCAGTGCCCGATCTTGGTCTCCCTGCACCAGGCTTGAGAGGGACTCAGGACACATTCCTGGGGCTGGCCCTGTCTAGGGGAGCCTTTTGGGGTCACCCGCAGCCCCGCAGCCTCCTCCTGGGGTGACCCCAGCCCCTCTTCAGCTCCTTTTCCTTAGGCAGAGCCATGGCTGGGGGCTCCCCCAGAAGGGGCAGGGACCCCCAAAAGAGGCAGCCTGCGGGGAGCAGCCAGGGCTGGGGCTGGGGCTGGAGCCAGGCTCTTTCTCAGCGCCCCCCCCCAGTGCCAGCCTGACCTTTTCCACGGGTATGTACTGCCCCGCGCTCAGAGGGATGTTTGTTTTGAAAAAAAAAAAAAAAAAAAGGCAAGATCGAGAGGGAGAGGAGGCCTCCCCGAGCCCTGAGAAGCAGCAAGATTAACGACGTGGTTAAAGGGAAACTCTCCAGCAATCACTCAGCTGGGGAAATGTTTTCCAGACCCGACTCTCAGACGCTCCCCGCTTCCTCCCCGCAAGGGAAGCCCCCGGGGACCTGGGCGCAGCCCGAGGTGCCCACGCTGGGATGCTCCTTCCCCCCCCAGCTTCACCTTCCAGCCCCGGGGGGGTTTACATCATTTTTTCTGCGCCATCAGCCCCCCAAGTGCTCGCAGAGGGGTGATTTCATTTCACCTTGCACTAACAAGTGCGGTGAGGGGCTGGGTGCCCCGGCACCACCGTGCCACAAGCACCAAGACCGGGGGCTTTCCTTGCACCAGCTCACAGGGTGGGGGGCCAGGAGCCACCTGGATGCGGGGGCGCGGGCAGCTCGGGACCCTCGGGGTGGGAAAGGGGTCGGGTTGGGCAGCCCCGGTGCAGGGCCGCGTTCCCAGCGTGGGCGGCAGCGCGTCCCTTCCGCTCCCCACGGCCCCCGCGGGGCGGCCGGGGGCTGCAGCCCTCGGCGAGGCTGTCACCCCGGAGAGGGGCCGAATGGAAAGCTCACGGCGAGGACGCCAGAAATAGAAACCCCTCTGGGAAGCGCCCGTCCCCCGCGGGCTGGGAAAGCGGAAGATGTTTCGGAGCCGTGTCCGCAGCCGGCTGCTTCCCAGCCCCGAGCGCTGCCCCGCCGTGGGGCAGCACCGTGTGCCGGAAAAGCTGCTGTCACCGCGGCTGGGGACGATGGCAGGGAGCTGCCACCAGGCCTGGGAAACTTGGGACAGCTGGGACAATGCTGGTGCCGATGCTGAAGCTGGTGCCAAGCCCAATGCTGATGCCAAATCTGGTGCCAAAGCCACGCAGGCTGCCTCGAAGCACCCAGGAGGGGTCGTGCCATGCTGAAACCCTCCCGGGCTGTGCCAATTTGGAGGATGGGGGCCGTGGTGAGGCTGGGTTTGGGGTGAGCTCCCCGACTGACCTGTCCCGTCCTCGCTGCCGTCCGCAGCTGGAGAGCTACATCCAGAGCAGCGTGAAGCCGGAGATGGCGCAGCTGCAGCAGACGGCGGTGCAGAACCAGACGGCCACCATGCTGGAGATCGGCAGCTCCCTCCTCAACCAGAGCGCCGAGCAGACCCGAAAACTCACCGACGTGGAGGCCCAGGTAGGTGGCAGCGGCATGGGGCACTCGGTGCTGCCCCCAGGACCGCCCCAGGGGCAGGTTTTGTGCGCCCAGGGGGCTGCCGCTGGTGGCTGGGGACCCCGCTGCCCACCCCAGCGCTCCCCCTGCTCCCGGGCAGGTGCTGAACCAGACGTCGCGCATCGAGATGCAGCTGCTGGAGAGCTCGCTGTCCACCAACAAGCTGGAGAAGCAGCTGCTGGTGCAGACCAACGAGATCCACAAGCTGCAGAGCAGGAACAAGTAAGGGTCCGGGTCTCCGGCTGCTCTTTGGGAGGGCTGGAGCCCCTCCAGGGCTCGCTGGGGGCTCTGCGGGTCGCACAGCCCCATGACGGCCCCTTCAGCCTCGGTTCCTCCTTCACCTTCACCCTCCCTCACTAAGGGCACCCACGAGGCTGAGAATTGCCAGGTGTCCCTGGGGATGGGGACAGCTCGCAGGGGTGCCGGGGACCCACAGCCAGGTTTTGGGGCTGCTCTGCTCCCCGCTCAGCCCGTGTCACCGCCACGTGTCCCCTTCAGCATCCTGGAGGTGCGGGTGCTGGAGATGGAGGCGAAGCACCAGGCGGAGCTGGCGGGGCTGCGCTCGGAGAAGGAGAGGCTGCAGGTCGTGGTGAGCCGGCAGAGCGGCACCATCGAGGACCTGGAGAAGTCGCTGCTGGCGGCCAGCGCCAACTCCAGCCTGCTCCAGAGGCAGCAGCTGCAGCTCCTGGAGGCGGTGCAGGGCTTGGTGCGCCTGGTGGCGCAGGGCAGAGGTGAGAGCGGGGAGATGATGGTGGCAGGTCTGAGCGGGGAGAGGCAGAGGGACTGGGAGGGGTTTGAGGGGGCTGGGGACCCTGGGGTGGCAGATGCCCGGCTCACACAGGGGTGATTTCACCCCAAAAATGAAGAATCCCAAGAGAAGCTCAGCCTCGTGCCCGCATGGGAAGGGCTGGCACCCACTTTAGGGCGCACACCAGCCGGGGGATTTGGTTTGGTGGCAGCGTGGCCACCCCCTCACCCAGACGCACAGAAATGTCACAAAAAAAAGGAAAACCAGGGGACACAAAAAAGCATCCGAAGGGAGAGGGGAAAAGCAGAAAAACCAGGCAGGGCTGCGGGACCAGGGGGGGCTCTGAAATCCCCGCTGCCCTCTCGCACGGTGGGAAGCCCCGGTGCCACCGGCGCACCCCACGGCGAGGTGGGGAGGGCACCCCAGGGCCCTGCACGTCCACCTGCGTGGTGTGGGGCTGGGACAGGCTGCACCCCCAGGTCCCCCCCCTCGGTGTTAACGCCTCCCCCCTGCCCCCAGCCTCGCTGCCCGGGGAGGAGCAGCTCTTCCAGGACTGCGCCGAGCTGCGCCGGGCCGGCTTCCACACCAGCGGGGTCTACACCCTGCACATCGCCAACCTCAGCGAGCCCAAAAAGGTGAGCGCAGCCCGGGGGGGGCTCCTGCTCATGCATGCAAACCCCATACCAGTGGCTGCCCCAAGCCCAAGGATGGGGAGTCCTCGGGCACCCCCCAAGCCAGGGGCTGAGCCCCTCTGCTCCCCGCTGCAGGTTTTTTGTGACATGGAGACGGACGGCGGGGGCTGGACAGTCATCCAGCTCCGTGCCAACGGCAGCCTCAGCTTCCAGAGGAGCTGGAGGGAGTACAAGCAGGTCTGTGCGGGGACAGGGATGAATTGGGGCACCCCTGTGCCCACCGCCCGCACCCACCCTCCCCGTGGCTCCCCCAGGGTTTTGGGGACGCGGCGGGCGAGCACTGGCTGGGCAACGAAGCCGTGCACTTGCTGACGAGCCGGGCGCCCTACGCCCTGCGCGTGGAGCTGCGGGACTGGGAGGGCAGCCAGGTCTATGCCCACTACGGGAAGTTCCAGCTGGGCAGCGAGAGGCAGCTCTACAGGTAGGAGAACGGCGGCGAATTATCCCTGGCCCCCCACAGTCCCCAGCCCCCAGGACTGGCACGGCTCGCTGCGGGTGCCCGGGGGACCCCGGGTCCCCAGGAGGTTGCAGGGTTCCTGGTGGGGTTTTTGCTGGGGTTCTCAGCGGATTTCCTCCCCGGGGATGTGGCTGTGCTGCCTGCTCCTTCTTCCCCCTGGTTCTCGAAATCCCAAAGTGGATTTTGATGCCTGAAGTTGCGTTAAAACCGAGGGATTTCCCACCCCAGCAGGCAGCCGGCGCACTGGCTCACCGCTCCTCTCCAAAAGGGCTCGTCCCCAGGGTGCTGCATCCATGTCCTCGCGGGGATGCCAAACCCTTGTGGTGCCAGGGACAGGGGCTGGGGGACAGCACAGGGCCTGGGGGGCTTTTTAACCCCCTCCCCAAAGCATCTAGGGGGTGCTGATGGCACACCCGGTGCGTCACCCTCGGCCGCAGGCTCTCGCTGCAGGACTACAGCGGCACGGCCGGGCAGCAGAGCGGCTTGGCCCTGCAGGGCACCAACTTCAGCACCCGCGACGCCGACAACGACAACTGCCTCTGCAAATGCGCCCAGATGCTGTCGGGAGGTGAGCGGGGAGCTGGGGCTGGGGTCCCAAAATCACCCCCCCCAACCCGGCGCCCAGCCCCGCAGCACGCTCCCGCCCCGCTCCCTCCTCCCGCAGGCTGGTGGTTCGACGCCTGCGGGCTCTCCAACCTGAACGGGATCTACTACCCGGCCCGGCACAACATCCGCAAGCTCAACGGCATCCGCTGGCACTATTTCCAGGGCCCCAGCTACTCGCTGAAGGGCACCCGCATGCTGATACGGCCCGCGGGCTTCTAGCGCGCTGCCGGACCCCGTGCCGGCCCCAAACCCGTGCCAGACCCCGATGGAACTGAGCCGCCCGGCAAGGGAGCTGCAGGGAAGCTTTTCCCCCAGTTATTATTCCTCACTCTTGTTCCTCTCGCCCCCTGGGAGCCCGTGCGGAGCGGCAGCGGGGCCGCGAGGGAGGCGCTCGCCGTGCCGAGGAGCTCGGGGCTGCGGGACCCATGGGGGCTCTGCTCAATCTGAGCTTTGGTGTGCGTAACCCATCCCTTCCCAGCCCAAATTCTCACCGTCCCCCCATGTCAGTGGGGTTTCTGGCTGCCCCCACCACATCGAGCAGGGACGGGGGTCTGGGAGCCCCGGCACCTCCTGCGCGCTCAGCCCGGAGGGGCGGACAGCCCGGGCTCTGCCTTTTCTCCCTCTTTTAGGGCATTGCATTTTGCTTTTTTGCCACCGTTTTGCTTTCCCCGCGGGTTCAGCAGAGCCGGCGTGCGAGTGCCCCGGGAGCTCGAGGCACTGGTGGCATCTCTGTGCCAAGGGACATGGCTGTCCCCTGCGTGTCCCCTCCCGCGTGTGCCATCCCCGTGCCAGCCGTGCACGCTGGGCGCTGCTCCTCGCGGGATGGGGCTGGTGGGAAGGGACAGGGGCGTCCCTCGAGGCACAGGGGACCTGGGTCTGGTTCTGGGGGCTGGGGGGGTGCTGGTGGGGGGCAGCAGCCAGGGAGGGGTGGGATGGGGCTGGGGGTGGCACATGGAGAGAGGGGCTGGGGGGTAGCAGAAGGGGGCTGGAGGCTGGGGGTGGCTCGGGGCTGGGGCAGGGGTCAGAGGGAGGGGAAAGGGGGGTGCTGGCAGGGCCGAGCCCCCCCCCGTGCTGCCAGCTCCAGCCCCTGTGGTTGTGTGCACGTGGCAAACCCAAATTTGGAGACGGGTTTGGAGGCGGCTTGGAAAGCGCGGGGCGAAACGCAGCCGGGTCTCCATCCGCTGAGAGGAGCCCCCGCGCCCTGGAGCTTGGCACGGAGACGCTTTTATTTTTGTACGAAGAGATATTTATTGTCCCAGAGCTGCGCCGGGCAGCACTTGTGTCCCCCCCCCCCAGCACCAGCCCTGCCCAGGAGCGAGGCGTCCCCGGACCCGTGGTGTGTGCGGGGGGGTGTCCGTGCTGCCCCTGGTTCAGCAATTTGGGCAGGAGCAGGAGCAGGAGCGAGCAGTCGGTGGGGTGTCCCCTGAGCTAAATTTACTGGGGTATTTTTTAAATTACCCCAGAAAAAAAAAAAATTAAAAATTAAATTTATTGGGGTCACCGCTGGGGACAGCGCGGTGCTGCCTCGGCCCCTTGTGCACCGCACGTACGGACTCCACATAAAGGGAGCTTTCGGCAGCCTCCTCGTGACGCCTGGGTCATTTGGGGAGGAACGAGACCCCAAATGTGCCCCCAGCCCCATCACACCCAGCTGGGGAAGGGGCTGCTCCTCCCGGCCCCATTCGTCCCCCTCGTGCCCTGCTGAGGCCGGGCAGCTCGGTGCATGGATGAGGCTGGGTGCTGCGGGCTCAGAGCCCAGCCTGGTGCCCAAATTGGTGCCCAGCCCCAGCCCCCTCGGCCCTACAGCTCGGGGACCACCCCACAGCATCATCTGTAGGGGACAGGGGTGACACCGGTGCCCCCAGAGCCCTGGGGACCAGCGGTGGTGGCAGCTGCAGAGCAGGGACCCCCCTGACCCCCCTCCCTGACCCCACTGCCCCCGCAGCACCCAGCCCGCAGGCAACCCCCCACCCCCCCGGGCCTGCCCCCAACCCCGCTATCAAGGCCTTCGCTAATTAACGCTGATTAAAACAGGCGGTGCAGCTGCCACTTCCCACAAGGTGCTCATCAGTGGGGCCGTGCGTGATAATTAAAAAATGGAGAATGCAAATGGGGCCGCCCGGAGGCTCTGCGGGCTGCAAGCATCCTGGCTGCAAGCCCTGCACCCCCCCTGTGCTCCCCCCATGCCCCCCTGTGCCCCCCTGTGCCCCTTCCCAAACCTTGGTGCTGCCATTCCCTTGCTCTCCCCCTGAGGCATCATCCATGGGGTTGGGGGGCAATTCCCCGAGATGTGGGATGTGGGACACGGGAATAGGCAGAGTGGGGGCCACGGAGACCCCCCCCCCCGTTATTACTCCCCGCTATAAATACCCGGTGGGCTCAGCTGCGGCTCCGCTCCGAAACCGGAGCCGGCGGGGAGGCAGCTGCCAGGGAAAGTGATCGGGAGCGTGGGGAGCGTGGGGCAGGGCTGGCCCCCTGTCCCCCTGTCCCCCAGGGCAGCGGGGGGCTGGGGCTGTCCCTCTGTCCCCCACAGGGACACACGGACCATGGAGGGGGCACCCCTGGGGGGCCACGCGTCGCCTCGCCATGGCTGTGCCAGGGGGTGCTCGGCCCCGCTCCCCAGCACAGGGTCAGCCGGGGGGGGCTTCTCCGTGGTAAATTTAGCTCGAGGGACACGCCGGGCTGAGGAATTCGGCAGCACAGCCGGATTCAGCCTGGAACGGGGACGTGGATCCCGCAGAGCTTCCCCTGGGGGGGTGGCAGCCCTGTGTCCGGCTCCCTGGGGAGCCCCCAGCACCCCACAAACCATCATTATTCCAGGATACCTCAGGTGCGCGCTGCCTCCCCTCCCCAGCTGGCTGCCCTGACTCACCGGCCACATCCTGTCCCCAAATCCCTGCGTGGCCAGCACGGCCCTGGGTGGGGTTCCCCCAAACCTGCCCGGCCTCTTTTGGGGGAGCCGAGCGGGTTCTGTGTGTGGGGTGGGGGCTCTGGGCACCCTGCAGGGAGAGGGGTTGGGCTGGGAGCTGCTGCAGCCCCGCCGCCACGTGCTGTGCGCGGCACAAATCCCTGCTTCCTGCGAGCATCCCGCAGCCCTCCCGCGCCCCCCGTGCCCCAAGTGGGGGCTCCCTGGGTGCCCTTGGAGCCCCCTTCCCCAGCAGCACGGCACCGGGACCCCCTCCTGCCTCTCCTTCCCGCGAGGAACCCGGGGCTGCAGGAGCCCGCAGCCGCGCGAGGCTGCCCGGGGAGAACACGCGGGGCGCTTTCATCTTCAAAGCTCTCCCTGCGCCGCCTTTCATCCCCTCGCCTCCCCGGTGCCTGGGAGGTCTCCGCTATCTCCTCCTCATCTCGCAACCCCGGAGCAGCGAGGACACGGCCAAGCTCCGAGGCGTTTCGCTGCAGAGGGCGCGAAGGCAGCGCCCGGCAGGGCTGCGCGCTTGGCGCGGCGCTGGCTGCGGTGCCGAGGGGAATCCCGCGGCCGGGCTCTGCCGGGACCTGCCAGACCCAAATACCACCCCGCCGCACCCTCCGGGCCCCGCGCTGGCACGGCACGGCACGGCACGGCACGGCACGCACACTGCCTGGCACCCCTTGGCTTGGCACCACCAGGGCCAGAGGCAGCGCGCCTCGTGCTGGTGACTCCAGGAGAGGTTTGCAGGGAAGGGGCACGTTGTGACCCTCTTCTCCCCGGTCCCCAGCGCTCTGGGGATGCCCAAACGCATGAATTCCTCCAGCACCAAGGCCCAGCCCTTCTCCTGGCCCCTTTCTGCCCGGGTAATTCCCCGGCCAGGCCCTTAGGCAGCAGCAGGGCTGTCCTTCCCCACCACATCCAGAGACAGCCACACACGCGGCATCCAAAGCTGAGAAATTTAATAAAACCTTCTCCGTTGTTATCACTTGTCTTTTCTTTTTTTTTTTCTTTTACAGATCACGCATCAGGAAAACCAGTAGAAACGAGGAGGAGACCGATAAAACCGTCTTCATAAATAAGAGGGCACAGCATGCCTGGGCTTTCTTGCTGACAGACAAAAAGGGAGACACAAACACACGCACGCACACACCGAGACCCGGGCTGCTCCGAGGGGAGCTCGGTTCTGGCCCCCCTGGCAGAGCACCCAGCTCCTCCAGGACACTCACCAGGACGTTAGGATGGGGGCCGCCTGTGACCACCCCCCCAGCCGCATGCATCCTCACCCCCTGGCCACATGCAAGGTCCCCAGCAGTGCCCCTCAGGGCTCCCGTGCGCTCCTGCACGCTGGCACCCATGGGTGCAGCCGGGATGCCCCCTCTGTGCGGGTGGCACCGGCCGTGCACCCCACAGCCCCGACCAGCAGGATGCCAGCAGGCTCAGCCTCACCCCCAGCCCTCCGCGGGCTGACGGGGACCTGGCTGCTGCTTTTGGGGCCCCCCCAGAGCCAGCTCCATCAGGAGGCGAAGTAACAAAGAGCAGCAGGGACGAGGCACGGCGCCTGAGTCCGAGGGTCCCGGATGTCCCCACCGCTCCGGCATCGGCACCATGCGCCGGCGCGCAGCGGCGCTACACGTTGGAGACCTGCTGGGGCTCGCGGGCTTGGCGCAGCCCGTAGAGCCACTTGATAACGCGGGCGTTGCGCTCCACCACCGAGATGCCGTAGGGCATGCGCTCAGCCGGCCGGCCCTCCGGCGTGGCCGCGCTGCGGGGCGAGCGGCCGCCCTCGGAGCTGGCGGTGCTGACGCTGTGAAACTTGACGGACACGATGTCGGAGCTGGCGCGGGCGAAATGCTCGGCGCCCATGTCCCGAACCTCCTCCGGGTCGAGGCCGCAGTAGTTGAAGAAGCGCTCCAGGTCGGCGGTGGCCCGCGAGAAGCGGTCGCTCAGGTCCGACTTGGAGCGGTGCAGCAGGGTTTGCCGCCGGGCACTCTCCGGGCGGTTGGGCGAGCTCAGCGCCAGCCGCCGCCGTCGCTGCCGCCGTAGGCAGCCTGCCCGGGGCGGGTGACAAGGCCACCGGTGTCACCTGGCCGGTGGGTGCCACCCTAGAGGGCAGAGCCCCGCAGGGCCGCACGTCCACCCTGCGCACGGCCACGGTGCCGGGGGGCTTGGTGGCGGCGGGGCTCTCCGGTGCCTTGCCGGCCCCCTCCTGCCACTGGCGCTCGGCGTCTCCGCTTTGCACTGCCACTCCCGGCCCCGCGGGCTCTCCGCCTTGGGGAAGGGGCTGTCGCAGATGTTGATGAGGTTGTTGAGGATCTCCAGGTTGAGGGAGGTCTTCGTCGCGCCTGCCTCCGAGCGGCGTGGTCCCGGCGGCGTCTTACGGCTCGGGGTGAGCATGGCTCGGCGCACGGCCGGCGCGAAGAGGGGCTGCTTGAGCAGCGGCGGCTTCACCGGCTCCTGCTTGGTGCTGGCGACCTGCTGGCTCTTCACGTACTTGGCCTTGTCGGCCTCCAGCCTCTCCACGGCGCTGGGTTTCCGCGCGCCGGCTCCAGGCGCCGTCGGAAATATTCGGGGCCCTTGTTGAGGATGCGGATGGGCATGGCCGAGGTGAAGGGCGCCGCCACCGCCGCCCCCTTGGTGGCATCACCGGCGCTCAGCGCCTCGACGGGCATCGTCCGGGCGGGTTGCGGGCGGCTTCGGGGGGCGCGGGGGGCACGCGCCGCGACCTGCAAGGAAGGGACCAGGGTGAGGGGTTGTCGGCGGGGCGCTGGGGGCCTCCTGCCCGTGCCCCCGGGGTGGGGGGGATCCGCGGGCGGACAAAGGCCCGAGCGGCTGCGCGGGGCTGTGCGGTGCCGCGCTGTCTGCTCCGGCTGCGCCGAGCTTCCTATTTCAAGGCAAGGGACCACGCCTCCGGCTGGCGTCCCCGAAACGCAAGGAAACCCGGCCAATCCGCGGAGCAAAGCCTGCTTCAAACGGCACCATGGCCAATGGGGCCGCGGGGAGGGCGCCCCGACATCGGCACAAGGGGAGCCCCGGAAGGGAGAGCAGCCCCTCGGTGATGGCCGTGCTGGGGGGGCATCACCCTGCCTGGGGGGTACCGCTGGCTCCGTGCGCCCAGCACCCCACCGGGCTGGGAACCTGGGGGTCCCCGCTCTTTGCAGCACCCCCGGTGCTCAGCCCCACTGCAGAGCCCCCCCTATCCTATCCCCCTGCCCCTATTCTCCTCTTTGAAAGGAGTTTATGGGGAGCAAGGAGCTCCCCATTGTGAGCCCCCCCCCAAAAAAGCCCAGGGGGGGTTCCCAGCCACGTTTCCCCTGCCAAAAGCCGTGCTGGAGGCCCGTGAACCCCGCACCCTTGGGAGCCCGCCAGGCACAGCAAGCACCCGCCTGCCCCAACGGTTGCACTGAGGCAGCTTCCCCACCCATAGGAGGGGGGGCACAGCCTGTCCCGTGCCCCCCCCACGCCCCCCAAAGCCCTCCCACCCCGCAGCCACGAGCAGCCCTGGCACCCTCCAACCCTTCCCCAGCTGCTCCAAGAATCCCCCGGGGTCCCCCCCTTGCAATTTGGGGCTCTGCCATCCGCCCCCCCAGGCAACGCTCCAACCCGGCCGAGCACCAAGTTGGCTGCACCCCCCCTGACACCGAGCCCCCCCAGCCCCACAGGGCCTGGTTTTGGGCACAATCAAGCCTGGGGGAGCTGTGGGCGAGCCGAGGCACTCACCAGTGCAGGAGGGGGGCACAGTGGGGCCAGCACGGCCCCGCTTCCTCCTCCCCCAGCGGCCCCGAGCTGGCTGCCTCACCTGTGGCCGCTCACCTGCTTGCACAACTTCCTGGGTACAGCCCCACGGCACAGCGGCTGCGGGCGGCAGGAACCGGCCCAAAAGCCCCAAAGCCCCACGGCCCCACGGTGGCCGCCAGCCCGAGCCCACCAGCCTGACCCCCCGGCCCTACGAGGGTCCCTGGTGCAGCCCCCGGGTGCGCCGCGATGGGTGAGCAGCCAGGGGAGGGTGGTGTCCCCGTCCTTGTCCCCGTCCTTGTCCCCGACCTTGTCCCCGTTCCTGTCCCTGTCCCCGTCTCCTGCACCATGGGGGTCACTGCTTGCCCCTGTTCCCGTCTCCTGCCCCAGGGGGGGCACTGCTGCCTGACCCAAAAAGTGTCCGTGGGGACTGGGCAGGCACATGGGCAGCTGGGGAGAGCCCCTGCACCAGCACGGATCCAGGGGGGGCTTTCTGCACCCCTCCACGGGGAGCCCAGCGCTCCTCCCCAGCAGTGCCAGGCACCGAAATCCTCGCTGGGCAAGGATTTTGGTGTCCCCCCTTGCCCACACACCCCATGGCAAAACGGGGCTAATTGCAGGGAGCGGGGGCACCGAAGCCCAGAGGGGAGATGCCCAGGGGCGAACCCCGCTGGGAGGAAATCACCACCAGGCTCCCCCGAGGCCCTGCGTCACCCAGCCCTGGTGGAGAAGGGACACGAGAGCCTGACTCACCCCCTCTGGGTGCTTTCCAGGCTGCGGGGAGAAGCTGTCAGTGGGGTGCCCGTGCCGCAGCACCCCTCGTGTCCCGCACCACCCTGCCAGCAGCCCCCCCTGCTGCCCCTCAACCTGTGCCAGGGACTGGGAGCACCCTGGGGAGCTCCTGATGGGTGAAGGGACGAGCACGCAGGGTCTGGATCCCCAGCAAACTTGCCGTGCCCACCGTGGGCTCCCATTTCCCTGCTGGCACGGACGGCCCGGCCGGGCACGACCTGCTGCTCCGCATTCCTGGCGATGGGGAGCTGCCAGCCTGGCACAGCCGCCCCAAACTGAGCCGAGCCACCCTCCAAACGGCCCGGAAAACAAAACCAGGTTATCCCCAACCTAAATGGAGCGTGGCCACCCCGGCACAGAAGCTGGCCACCCAACTTATGCCCGGCCACGGTGACCCAGCCCCGTGCTGGTGGCACGGGACCGGCACGGGACGGCACCACCTCCGCCACCTACCTGGATCTGCCCTGCGCCGTCGGAGCCTCCCTGACCCGTGCTTGTCCCCTGGTGGCTCGGTGGCCCCGTGTTTGCTGCGTCCCCACACCGTGGCCTCTCCTGCTCCCTGCGGGGCGGCACTGGAGCGGGTCTGCCCTTGGCGAGGTGGCTCACGGCTCCCTCTGAGTCACCGCCGGGAGAAGAAGACGCCCTCCGAGGCAGCTCGGTGGTGCTCGGAAGGGATTGAAAACACCTCTCCTTGCCAGCGTGCCCGCGGAGGCACGGGGTTTTCCTCCACGCCAGGCCAGGCTTTAATTGCGGCTGCGTCATGGAGCGTGGCCGTGGCAGTGCCGGTTGGGCAGCGTGGATGCAGGAGCACGCTCGTGGTTTGGTCGGGGAGGAGGGAAGGGCCCCACCACAGCTCTGCAACCCGAGCTAAAACGTCCCCAAACCACCCCCTGCCCTCGCCCAGGCAGGGCTCGGACCCTCCCCAAAGCCCCACAGGGTGTGCGTGGGCACCCGCTGCCTCCGCAGGGACGGGTCCCCTGTGCCCGTGCCGGCCCCCAGGTCACTGCCACCACGGTCAGCCCCTGGCCCCCACAGTCCAAAAGTCCCCAAAGTCCAGCAGGTTTCTGTGCCTCCAAACAAAGCGGCTCAGCCAGGTGACAAGGACACCGAGCCTGGGGCCACAGGGAGCTGCTGGCCTGCGCCCAGAGCGGTGTCCCCGCAGCTCCCGGCGTGTCCCCGCGGAAAAGCACCGCCGGGTGCCACAGGTGGGGGCAGAGCCCTGGGCATCTGCCCGGTGGGAGCAACCAGGCTGCGTGTCCCCCCCCCGTCCCCGTGCCAAAAGCACCCACGAGGGCTGCAGGAGGCGGCTGCAGGCAGCTGCCCGGGCACGCCGGGTGCTTTCGGAGCAGGGCGTTGCAGCCAGACAGCGCCCCGCTGCCTCGCCCTCCCCCCGGGGGGAAACCGGGGATGGATTTGGGGAGGGCAGCCCAATGCAGGAGCATGCCCTGAGCGCCCCATTCACCGCCCGTCCCGCGGCTCCGCAGCGGGCAGGGATGGGGCAGGGGTGGGTGGGTGCCGGTGCTGGCTCCGTGCTCGCCTCCCACGGGCGCTCGGGGCTGGGTCCCTGCACGTGCAGCTTCCAGGACCCCCCAGGAGTGAAAGGCAGCCATGAAAGAGCCAAAAAAATAAGAATAAAGAGGGCTCAGAGGCCAAATCCTCCCTGTAGGAGCTGGGTGGAGGTGGCTGCGGGTGCCTGGCATCGCCCCGCGGGGCGGCGGGTGCCTGGCACGGGGCCCGGCTCAGCCCCCGGATCCGGGGAGGGGTTTGGGCTCCTCGTCTGTGCCCCCCACGGGACCTTCCTTCCGCTGCCACGCTCACCTGGCACGTGCTAATTGCTGGCGGTTAATTACAGCCACTCACCCAGACCAGGCTACAAACAGCTCTGGAGCTGGGAAAGGGACCCGGCATCGCGCAGCGGCCCCGTGCCAGCCACCCCCTGCTCCCTGCCTCAGTTTCCCCACTCCCATCCCTGCCCAGGGTGGGCGCAGGGAGCTGCCTGGGGGGCTGCGGGGCTGGTAGGGGGGGGGTCCCACGGTCACAGCCTCGCTCCCCATCACCCTGAGGGCTGGATGCTGCCCGGCTCTGCGCATCGCTCCCCGCAGCCAGGCTCGTGCCCGGGTGCGGGGGCCCCGCCAGATGGGGCCGTGCCGGGTGCGAGGCTTTTGTCTGAGCAGCTCCAGGCCCGCAGATGGTGGCTGGGCTGCAACGGGGCCGGGGCCGTGGCCGAGGGCTGGCGAGCGCCGTGCCCTGGGGATGCGGCCCCCTTTTGTTGGGCTCTCACCTCGGGCAGAGGCCCCCTTCCCCAGGCGCCCCCCGCGCCAGCTTTCAACTTTCAACTTGACCTGCTCCATTCACATGGAAATGGGATGCAAATGGGGACAGGGAGCTGAGAGGAGGAGGAGGAGGATGGAGGGGAGGAAGGGGCCATGGGTGGTGACCCGCCAGCAGGTCCCTGCGCCCCCCCTGGGCTCCCCCAGTGCCCATCCAACTGGACCCTTGGACTGGGAAAACCGGGGCACCGCTGGGTGCACGCGATATCCTGGGGGAATCGGGGGTCCCTGGGGTGCGGGGGGTCCTGGGGCTCAAGGACAGACCCAAAACTCTCCCCTGGCTGCTCCTCCCCATCACCCACATCCCCGGTCACCCCGCTGCACCCTCCGGTGCCATTTCACCCATGGGGGGCACGTGGGGAACTGGAGGGGGCTTCCCGGTGGGCCTGCCCGAGCCCGGTGAAGTCCCGTGGAGGACGTCTCGGTGACCAAATGTTGCCATCTGCCTCCGGGGCCTTCGCTCGCATCTGCCGGGGGTGCAGAGGGGGCCGGGGCTGGGGCTGGGGCTCAGCTGCTGCACGGCACGGGGTGGGGGGGACAGCCCCCACCCCTCCCCAAGCACGGCAGGCGGCACGTGCCGGCAGGATTTTGGGCGAGAGGCACGGAGCAGCGGTGCGGAGCTCGGTCCCACGCCTGTCACCCCCTTTGTGCCCCCCCTCCGAGCCCCTGCGACGAAGCCAATTAGCCCTGGGGAAAGGCTGGCGGAGGCTGCGCGGCTCCTTTGTGCTGCCGAATTAACCCAGGACAATCGCCGGCCCCACCGGGAGCTGGGGGCTCAGCTGCGCCAGCACAAGCCCCTCGCACATCATCCTGGAGCTGCCACCCCCAAAACGGGGCCCAGAGACCACTGGGAACCCCAAAAAAAGGGCCCCCACCGCTCCTGGATCCCACATGGGGATGGTAGGAGGCAGGATTGAGCTTGGTGCAGGGGTTGGTGAGGACCCCAGGGGGGCTGGGCATGGGCAGAGCAGGCAGGGGATGGGCAAGGGACAGGCAGGGGACAGGCAGGGGACAGGCAGGGGACAGGCAGGGCATTGCACAAGGTATTTGCAGCCTGCTGCAGCCCGCTCGCCCAGCGACACCCTGTGGGTGCTGGGGGAAGAGCTGGAGCGAGGGGTCCCGGGGAGCTGGGTGCTGGGCACGAGCCAGCGCCAGGTTGCCAAAAAAAACCAACTGGCTTCTGTCCCCTGCACCCCTCCAGCTCCTGGGTGATGCGAGCATCTCATCCACCGACTCGTGGTCACATCCCGCAGGGTCCCCAGGGTCCCCAGGGTGAGGTGGAGGTGCCAGAGGAGCATTTATGGGTGGCGTGCGCCCCGTGGGACGGCCACATCCCGGCCACGCACCCCCTTGCAAGGACGGCTCCGTGGTGGCCGTGCTCGGTGTCCCCAAGCCACCCGGCACAGCCCGTGGCCCTGCTGCCATCCCAGCCACCTCTCGGTGACATTTGCACGCCCGAAATAGGTGGGACACCATTCAACTGGGGACAAGGGCAAAGCGTGTGACACATCCAGGAATAATCACCGGCACCAGGCAAGGGTGCGCGGGGGCAGGCGGCGAGCACGGGGCTGGCCCTGGCAGCACGTGGGGACACGAGGGGACAGCTGCCCACGGGGGCAGGACGAGGGCTGGGCTGTCCCCGAGCCGCCAGGGACAGGGTTAGGAGGGGACACAGCTGGACTTTGGCCACCGGGGCTGGGTTTGGAGCTTAAAGGCCCCCGAGAGGCTGCGTGGGGCGAGCTGGGCTCGGTGGCACGGAGGTGAGGGGGACCCGGTGGCCGGTGCCGTGGTGGCCCAGGGGACCCAAAAAGGGACCCACGAGTGCTGGGGGGGAGAAGGAAAGGGGTCCCTGAGCCCCAGCCCCCTCCGGCTGTTCCCATTCCTTCAGGGTGGGCAGGGGTCCCTGGGGTGGGTGGGCAGGGTGGGATTTGATCCCCCTGCCCCCCCCGGGCACTCATCTCTCCGAGGACCACCGCGATTCTCCCTCATCCTCTCCTCTGCTTTGTGTCTCACCTCGCCCTGCACCAGCACCCGACCGTCCCCATGGCTCGTGAGCCCCCCTGGGACCTCCTGCGCCCCCCCGACCTGGGGCAGGTGCCCTGAAAACGCAGGCGTTGGAGCCGAGCGGGAGGCAGGAGACCCGCGGGACCCCCCGCCAGCTGCTCCCCGAGCCAGGGGTGAGTCTGCCCGCTGGGAGCAGGAGCAGGAGCTCACCGTGCTGCCACCCATCTGCATCCGGAGGCAGTGACGTGCCCGGCTCACGTCACGGCCCCCGGCAGGCAGCAAGGACTCGCTGCCGCCAGCCAGCGTGCTGCCTCCGGTTCCCAAAAAGCACAGTGAGTTTCCCCAGGGGAGGTTCCCCGGAGGTTCCCCGGGGACATCTCAGGTCAGGAACCCGACTCTTCCTCACCTCCGCTCCCTCCCAACGTCCCCAACACTTCCCGGCCAGGATGAGGCCGTTTGTGGGCCGTTACCCTGCCTGGGTTCAGCCCCTGGACACCAGGATCCTTCCGCCCTGAAGTTGTGGCCGCTCATCCTGCACCCCCCTGCCCTCCCCGAGGCTCGGGGGCACGGATTTTGGGGGGTCCCCCAACGTCTCCAGGAAGCCGGTGGGGAGCGGGCGCAGGAGCCTGGGCGCACGGAAGGGCAGCAGGTGCCGGGGTGGGCAGGGGATGAGGTGTGGGGCTGACTCAGCTTGGCTGGTATGAGCCAGGGCCAGTTTTGCGGGTGAGGCCGTGGGGCCCCCTCTCCCCCGGGGCCACCGGGGAGCCTGCCGGGCTCGTACGGCACCGGCGGGGAGGAGACGGGCGCCGCTCGGCGTTGCCCGCGGGTGCGGTGGGAAGGACGGGGTCTGGGGTCCCAGGAGAGAGGCTGCACAAGCCCCACAGCCCCCAGGTGAGATCCACGTGCCTCCCGTGCCTCCTGTGCCGTGCCGTGCCCGGCTGTGCCATAAGCAGGGCCAGGTCCAACACCTTGCCAGGTCCCCATCCTGGCTCCGTGCCTGGCGCGGCGTGGCCTTGGCTCTCCGGAACGGGGCCCAACCCAACACAGGGCAGGTGCCGCAGGCAGGGCAAAGGGGGGGTCCCGTGGCACCAGCTGCGGGCAGCAGGAGGGGGTCCCGAGGTGCTGGGGGGGGGTCTCACCCCTGGGACAGGGGGGTGCCGGGCTGCGCCGTGCCACTCCCTGCGTCCTGGCAATAAAAGAGGAGCGGCAGGGGGGTGACACGGGCAGGGGGGTGACACGGGCAGGGGGGGTCGGGATAGGGGTCCGGGGGGGTCCTGAGCCGTGTCGCTGAGCCCAGCCTCTCCCCACAGCACGGCGGCATCGCCCTGGAGTGGGGGGGCGCCGGGCGCTGCTGAGCCATGGCGCTGCTCACCCACCTCCTGGCCTGCGTTTTTGGCACGGGGTCCTGGGTGGCCATCAACGGGCTGTGGGTCGAGCTGCCCCTGCTGGTGAGGGTGCTGCCGGAGCAGTGGGACCTGCCCTCCTACATCACCATCATCATCCAGATGGCCAACGTGGGGCCCCTCTTCGTCACCCTCATGCACCGCTTCTGGCCCGGCTCGCTGAAGGAGGTGGCCGTCATCTACGTGGTGGTGTCCCTGGGCGTCGTGGCCTGCCTGCTGCTGGCCTTCCTCTGGAACCAGACATCCCTCATCGCGGGGACGCCCCACAGCACCGCCTTCCTCATCCTCACCTTCTTCCTGGCCCTGGTGGACTGCACCTCCTCCGTCACGTTCCTGCCCTTCATGATGCAGCTGGAGCCCCAGTACCTCACCACCTTCTTCATCGGGGAAGGGCTCAGCGGGTTGATCCCCGCTCTCATCGCCCTGGGCCAGGGCTCCGGCATCTCCAGCTGCGTCAACGTCACCCTCCCGGACAACGTCACCAACACGACGGGGAGCCCCGGCTTCCAGATGGAGACTCGCTACTTGCCGGCCAATTTCTCCACCCTCCTCTTCTTCCTCCTCATGACTGGGATGATGGTGGCCTGCCTGGTGGCCTTCTTCTTCCTCGCCAGGCAGCCTAAAGTTTGGGAACTGTCCCAGCAGCAGCTCGTCCCCAGCACCATCATCCTCAGTTCCTTCGACCAGATCCCCGAGGACGCAGCCGGCTCGGGGCGAGGCGGTGGCTACCCGTGCCCAAAGAAAACCAAGCGGCCCATGGAGGACCCCCTGGAGACGGCGTCCCACCCGCTGGCCAAGCTCGCCTTCATCTACCTCCTGATCGCCTGGGTGAGCTCCCTGACCAACGGGGTCCTGCCGTCGGTGCAATCCTACTCCTGCCTGCCCTACGGCAACACCGCCTACCACCTCTCGGCCACGCTCAGCTCCATGGCCAACCCCCTCGCCTGCATCGTGGCCATGTTCCTGCCCAGCAGGTGGGTACGGAGCCCCAAAAATGCCCCTTTTTGGGGGTTCTAGGGGAGAAAAGGTGCCTCCTCCCCGAGCTGGGCTGGTGCTCCCCGGTGTCACCCGCCTGTCCCTTGCAGGTCCCTGGTCCTGCTGGGCGCCCTCACCTTGGCAGGGACAGCTTTTGGTGCCTACAACATGGCCATCGCCGTGATGAGCCCCTGCCCGCTCCTGCAGCAGTCCCAGTGGGGCGACGTCGTCATCGTAAGTCCTTTGGGGTCCCTCAACCCTGGAGAGCTCTCGGGGGGGACCACCCCACCCCACGACCCCCCGGCTGACCGCTCTCCCCTGTGCCACCAGGTCCTCTCCTGGGTGCTGTTCACCGGGACGCTGTCCTACGTGAAGGTGATGGCCGGGGTGATCCTGCGGAGCCGCAGCCACAGCGCGCTGGTGTGGTACGGGGCGCTGGAGCAGTTGGGGTCCCTGCTGGGCGCCCTGCTCATGTTCCCCCTCGTCAACATCTACGGTTTCTTCACCTCCGCCGACTACTGCAGCCTGCAGTGCCCGGCCTGAGCTCCTCGTCCTCTTCTCGGGTTCAAATAGAAGGAGATTGCTCAGTATTTTGGCCTCTGAACCCCCCCCGACGCCCCCCGGAGCGCACCGCGGCACCGGGACCCTGCGCACCTTGGGGCTCCCCGGGATGTGCCACCCCCCCTAGGGTTCTCGGGTGCTCCCCTAAATCAGCAGGGGGGTGTTGGGTGTGAAGAGGTGTTGGGGTCACCGCTCGTCCCTTCCCTGGGGGGTCTGGGTGGTGTTTGGCACGGTGCCCCCCCCAGGGTGCCCACCCCGTGCACCCTTTGTGCCATCGGCTCTGTCCCCGGCACTATTCCCGTCCCCATTCCCAGGACAGGGGGGGGGCTGCAGAGGGCTGAGGAGAGCAGGGATAAATGTGCCCCCCCCGGGGACATAGAGACCAGGAGATTTGCTGTCGGGGGGGGGCAGACAGCAGCTTTTATAGCACCGGGGGGCACCAAAGCAGGTCGGGATGAGCTGCCCAGGGGTTTCCATCCTCTGCTGGGGTCCCACCATGCCCCCCATCACCCCCCATCACCCTGCACCCCCCAGCACCCCCAGCACCCCCCCTGCACCCAGACGGGCACCACGGGGCGGGGGGGGGCACAGAGCGAGGCAAAGGACAGCTGGGGACCCTCACGGCCGGGGACGCCAGGGCCGTGCCACCCGGTGCCCGGCTGCACCCAGACCCCGTTAACGGGGGAAACCGGGAGGGGGGCACCGAGGAGGGGAGATTGGGAGGGGGGGGACACCGGGCGGCACGCGCGTGCGCCCCTTCCCCGGGGCACGAGGCAGCCGGGCCTTTGTCCCCGGCTCTTTGTCTGGCAATCTGCTCCCCCCGGGACCCCCGCTCCGCTGTGCCTTAACCATGCAGATCCCAGCTCCCGGCCCCCCCCGGCTGCGAGAAGGACGAGGCTGGAATTGATAATTGCCCACCCGGGGGGGGGGGGGTCCCGCAGCCCCCCCCCCCTCCCAGCTCCGTGTGGCCTTCAGGATCCGGCCCCGTGGGCACGGAGAGGGGGGGGTGAGGAAACTGAGGAGGGGGCTGAGGAGCAGCAGGAGGTGTGGGGGCACTTCGGGGAGGGGGGGGCTCGTCCCGTCCTGGGAGCTGGGTGCAAGGAGCTGACGGGGTGGGGGGGTCCAGTCCCCTCCCTGCACCCCGCACCCCCCTGGGGATGCTCCTGCGCAGCCCAACCCCACAACCAGGACCCCTCGGAGACCCTCGCCCATCGGACCCCCTGCCCCCCCCTCCTTCCATCCTTCCCCCCCCCATCTCCAGGGGGGATCAGTCCCCCCCCAGCCCCCCCGAGCTCGCAGGATTATTTCCATACAGCTGCTCGGGAAGGGACGGCTTCAACCCTCACCACCCAGGCGCGCGCTCCAGGAGTGCGCCCGAGCCCTTTCTTCTTGGCTCTTCTCCCCCCCCCCCAAAAAAAAAAGAAAAAAAAAAGAAAAAAAAATCGTGGTGGGGGCAGGCCGGGGGGGCCCCAGGCGTGCTGCAGTCAGCAATATTAGCACAGCTCCGCGGGGCTGATTGCGGGTTATTACCATACATTATCTCAGTCCCCTGCCTCTGAAAGGAGCCAGTTCCTATCCAACCCCCCCTCCCCGTTTCTCCACCCCCCCCCCGGTCTTTTACACTTAATTACCTCCCTTATTACACCCCGGCCTGGAGAGAGAGAGAAAAAAAATATATAAAAAATGGGAGGGCAGCGGGCTGGCGGGCCCAACTAGGGCGTAAGTAATCGCCCGTCCTGCAGACGTGCCTGCGAGGAAAGGGGAAATAAATCGGGGCGCAGCGGGGCCGGGGCTGCGCCTCGGGGAAATGGGACCTTGGACTTGGTGCACGGGGCCAAATGGGGTCAGGCTGCCGAGGGGAGACAGCCCTGAGGCTATGGGGGGAGTGGGGTGGCTTTGGAGGTGTTGGGTTGTGGGGTGCTGCGGGTTATGGGGTGCTCAGGGTTGTGGGGTGCTGTGGATATGGGATGCTGTGGGTTATGGGGTGCCCAGGGCTATGGGTGCCTTGGGCTATGGGATGCTGTGGGTTATGGGGTGCCCAGGGCTATGGGGTGCCTTGGGCTATGGGATGCTGTGGGTTATGGGGTGCTCAGGGTCGTGGGGTGCTCTGGGATATGGGATGCTGTGGGTTATGGGGTGCTCTGAGCTATGGGATGCTGTGGGTTATGGGGTGCTCAGGGTCGTGGGGTGCCCTAGGCTATGGAAGCTGTGGGTTATGGGGTGCCCAGGGCTATGGGGTGCCCTAGGCTATGGGATGCTGTGGGTTATGGGGTGCCCTGGGCTATGGGATGTTGCAGGGTATGGGGTGCCGCAGGAAATGGGGTGCCCTGAGCTATGGGATGCTGCAGGCTATGGGGTGCCAAGGGCTGTGGGATAATGTGGGGTGCTCTGAGCTGAGGTTATGGGGTGCCCTGGGCTATGGGATGTTGCCAGGGTATGGGGTGCCGCAGGAAATGGGGTGCCCTGAGCTATGGGATGCTGCAGGCTATGGGGTGCCAAGGGCTGTGGGATAATGTGGGGTGCTCTGAGCTATGGGATGCTGCACCATATGGGCAATACCAGGCTAGGGGATGCCCTGGGTTATGGGGTGCCACACAAAGCAGGTTCAGAGCTGCCCCCAGCTCCTGGCACAGGTGAAGGTCCCCCCGACAACCGTGTCCCCAGCCAAAGGGCTCCGGGGGGGCCACCAGCGGGGCCTGGACGTGCCCCCTTGGCCACCTCCAGCTGGTGCAGAAGCCCTGGGGACGCTCCGGGGGCTCACTGGGGAGCTTGGGGGGGCTCAGGGTGGTCTGGGGTGGGGGGGGCACAATGGGGGGCAGAACCCCTCCAGCAGGGTCCCCCCGTGTCACCCGATGGAGAGCCTCATCCTGCGCCGGGGGGGGCGCAGCGAGTGGGGGCTCGGGGGCTCGGGGGGGGACAATGGGGACAGGGATGGGGACAGGGGCATGGGGAAGGGGCAGAAGGTGGGAAAAGGGATGGGGAAAAGGGATGGGGACAGGGGAAAGGGGCGAGGGGCTGGGAGGGGGGAATGGGGACAGGGACCAGGATGGGGAAAAGGGAAAGGGGTCACGGGGGGGGGACAGGGACAGGAACGGGGACAGGGAACAGGGTTAGGAGCAGGGAACGGGGATGGGGACAAGGGACAGGGAACCGGGACAGGGAACGGGGACGGGGACAGCGACGGGGACGCCCCCCGCATCCCCCCCCCCATCTCCAACCCGTGTCCTTTGCAAGCCCCGGGGGCTGGCGGCGGGGAGACAAAGGCGGCAGGAGGCAGCCGCCCCCCGCCCCCCCCCCCCCACGGCCCCGCGTGTCCCCATTGTCCGCGACGGGGGGGAGGCGGAGACCGGGGACCCCCCCCCTCTCCCTCGTACCCCCCCCCCCTTTTGGTGCCAAAGCGCCCGGCGCACCCTGGAGGGGGGGGGGGGGCGCTCGGAGGGGCTCGGGGCGCGGCCGGGCGGAGCGGCCCCCTCCCCACCCACCCCCCCCCCGCTGCCTGCCTTCCTCCCCTCCTCCTCCTCTCCTCCTCCTCCTCCTCCTCCTCCTCTCGCCTCCCTCCCCTCGCACTCGGTTCCCCGCTCCTCGCCTCCCGCACGCCCGGCGCGGAGCGGGGCGCACGGAGCCCCCCCCCGCCCCGGTCCGGTGCCGGTCCCGGTGCCGGTTCCCGGTGCTGTCCGGTGCTGAAGGCTCCCGGCCCGACCCCGCCATGCCCCGCTCCTTCCTGGTGAAGAAGCTGAAGGCGGACGCCTTCCCCATCGCCGGGGTCCCCGCGCCCCCCTACGCCCCCCTGGAGCCCCCCTACGCGCTGCCCGGCCCCGCCGCCGGTGATGGTGAGTGCGGGGCCGGGGGGGGGGGCTCCGGGGCTGCTCCCCCACCCCTCCCCGTGCTATTGTGTGAGGCAGAGGGGAAGGCGAGACGAGGGGGTCGGGGGGTGCCTGGGGTGGTTTTGGGGTTTTGGGGGGGCTCCGGGGCGCGGGGGACGCACGGCAGGGTCAGGGTGATGGGGGCGTGACGGGAGGGGGTCCCCCCGCTGTGTGCCGAGGGTGGGAGCCGGGAGGGGGTCGGGGGGGGGCAGGGGGCAGTGTGACAGCATCGGGGGGGCTCGGTCCTGATGGGTTTGTGCCCCCCCCCCAGCCCTGGCCAGGGGTCACCCCCCCAAGTTGGTCCTTGGGGACGCGTCCCCTCGGTGACAGCGGCACCTTGGGGGGCACCCCTGGCCGGACCCGGCTCCCCCCACATTTGGGGGGCTGTGGGGACTGGTTCCTTCGCACCTCAAGTTATTTATTTTTTTTTTGGGGGGGGGGGCACAAAGCAGCCGGGGGTGTGCAGGGGGCTGGGAGCAGGCTGCTCGCAGTGCCTGCGGCTTTCATTGTTCGCGGCGGTGCCCCCAGCCCCTCGGAGAGCTCGGAGCAGGCTGGCACCTCCCGGGGCGCACAGCGGGAAAGGGGGGGGGGTGTGGGGAGGGGGCAGCACCCCCCCACACACACACACACCCCAGCTACACTGGGAGGGGTGCTGAGTCCCCAGAGGGTCCCCAAAACCCCGACCTGCGAGGTGACACCGGGCAGGGGGCTCTGGGAGCCACCGGTGCTTGGCAGAGCCCCCCCAGAGGGGCAGCCCCGGGGTCTGTCCTGGGAGCAGGGACCAGGGAATCCCATCCCAGGCCATGCCCCCTGGTCCCACAACTGCTCGGGGACCCTCTGGATGCACGGACTGGGCCTGATCCTGCCATGCAGGGCTGCTGAGCCCCCCCCTTTCTGCTGCTCGCTGCTCCCCAAAAAAGGGACTTCAGCCACCAGGGCAGGGGCGCGATGCTTCACCCAGAAAAGGGGGGGGGTCCTCAGCTCCCCCCCAGCCCGGTGGGGAGCCCGAAGCTGGTGGGGGGAGGGATGCTCTGCAGCTGGGCAGAAGCTGCCGACGCTGCTCTCCTGGAAATAACCTTGCTGCATGCTCGGAGGCAGCGGGAGAAATTGCTGAGCTGAGCGCTTTCTGCACAGCCCCTGCGAGCGCACTGTCAGCACGGCGCGGGGAGAGAGAAGGGGGGGGGGGCTGCCTCACGGACCCCTCCCCACCGCAGCACGGGGACCCCCAGCATCCAGGGGATGAAGCAGCCGCGATGGGGGGGTCCCACGGGCAGGAGGGGGCCGGGATCAGGAGTGGTTTGCAGGGTCACAGAGGGGGGGGCATGCACGGTGCCCTGGTGGCACACATCGGCACCGAGCCCCTGCCCATGGCAGAGCCCGCTGTCCCCAGCAGCAGGGCTGCAGCTGGCCCTGCACACAATGCAGGTGACTGCCAGGACCGAGATAGGGACCCCAGGGTGGCAGCTGTGTCCCCCCCCCTCGTCCTTAGCCACTGGCCCAGCAGGGAGCCCCCCGGAGCGCGCGGCGCGGTGCCCACGGTGTGCTGGCAGCAGGGGGATGGGGACATCCACGTGGCGCCTGCTGTGGCACGGGGAAAGTGGCACCTGCACGTGCAGCAGTGCCAGACGGGGTGACACGGAGCCCCCCCCAGCCCTGGGAGCGGGCTGGGGGTCCCTGTCCCCAGGGGAACCCAGGGTTAGGGCGCAGCAGCCTCCGGGTGCCACCAGTGCCACGTGCCCTGGGGGCGATGATGGGGGAAGATGGGGGGACATGGGGGTGACCTCCCCAGGCCCTTTTGTGCTTGCCTGCCCCAGTGGGATGATGTGGATATGGGGGCTGACAGCCCTCAGAGGCTGATGGAGCTGGGGGCTTGGGGGCTGTGTGGGGCTGCAGCCCCCCCAGGGCACCCAAACCCCACCAGCCCCACTCCTTTGGGGCATCCCCAGATGAGGACAGGGGAACCTGGTGGGGGGCACCTCCTTTTGCACCCCCGTTGGGTGTTTTTGGCTCCAAGCAGGGCTGGTACAGGGGCAGAACCTCTCCCTGGGGGGGACGGTGACCCCTTTTTGTCACCCCTCAGGGTACCTCCAGCACTGCCTGGCTCCCTCCAGCTACGACTCGGACAAGAAGCGGGGGCTGCCGGCGGCACCACCAGCGGACCCAGCTTACGCCCCGGGGCAGGAGGAGTACAGCGACCCCGAGAGCCCCCAATCCAGCTTCTCCGCCCGCTATTTCCACGGCGAGGCGGCGGTGACGGACAGCTACTCCATGGACGCCTTCTTCATCACCGACGGGCGCTCGAGGAGGCGGCGGCGCGGCGAGAGCCAACGGCGCGGTGGCCACCGCCACTCGTGCCCGGAGTGCGGCAAAACCTACGCCACCTCCTCCAACCTCAGCCGGCACAAGCAGACGCACCGCAGCCTGGACAGCAAGATGGCAAGGAAATGCCCGACGTGCGGCAAGGCGTACGTCTCCATGCCCGCCCTGGCCATGCACGTCCTGACCCACAACCTGAAGCACAAGTGCGAGGTGTGCGGCAAGGCGTTCAGCCGGCCCTGGCTGCTGCAGGGCCACATGCGCTCGCACACGGGGGAGAAACCTTTCGGCTGCGCCCACTGCGGGAAGGCGTTCGCCGACCGCTCCAACCTGCGCGCCCACATGCAGACCCACTCGGCCTTCAAGCACTACAAGTGCAAGCAGTGCGAGAAGACCTTCGCCCTCAAGTCGTACCTCAACAAGCACCACGAGTCCGCCTGCTTCAAGGGCTCCGAGCACAGCTGTGCAATAGGGAACTAACCACCTCCGACACCCCACCCCGAACCCGGCACCCCCACCCACCCCATCCCATCCCTGTGCCGTCCTGTGGCTGCAGGACGCGTGCCGCCAGCTCCCAGTTCCCCCGCCCCCCAGGACCCCCAGGAGAAGGGTGCCCCCACATCCCCGGGAAGGGCTGGGTTGCGCCCCCGTGCCCCCCCAGCCCCGTGCCCCACAGCCAGGCGGGTCTCTCTGTGGGGACTCGCCCCGGACCCTCTCACCCCCCCCCAGCTCCCGACGCTCACCGCTATTTATTTAATTTATTACTATTATTTATTTAGAGCTGCTGCTTCTCCTCCTCCCGGGAAGCGCCGGGGAGGAAAGGCGCTCGCTGCTCCCCCCTTCTCCACCCCCCCAGGAGCAAAAAAAACTCCCCTGGTCCATACCAGGGATGGGACCGTGGGCCTGAAGAGCCAGGACTGATGGCTCGGCAGGACTGACGGACACCTGCCTCGGCCCCTGCTGTCCCCCCACCCTCATAGGGAGCAGCCCCGGGGCAGGACCCGCACCCAAATTGTGGCCCCACACCCCCCCCATCCCCTTCTGGGGCTACTGCTGGCCCCCCCCTGGCCACCCCCCAGCCCCCCAGGAGGAGCGGGTCGGTGGTGCCGCAGAGCTCGGGTGAGTCTATTTAATTGCTCTTCTTATTTATATTATTTATTACTTACCCTTTTCACTATTTATTTGCCAAGACTTTGGGGGGGGGGCCACCAGCCCTTCCGCACAACTCACAGGAGGCAGCGGCGCCCCCGTGCCCGGGACCGAGCCGCGGGGACAAGGACGGGGACGGGACCCCGAGAGCCACCGAAAAGCGGGCACGGAGGCGGGGGGCGACACGAGGAGGCTGAGCAGCCCCCCCCTCTACACCCCACAAGCCCCCCAACGAGGCCAAAACCGCTCTCCTTCGTCTTCCTCGGAGCCGCGGGGGCACCCCAGCGATTCTATGCAACCTCCCCGCGGACCCCCCCCCGGTAGCCGCTTCCTACCTCGGGCCGCGAGCTGCCACGGCCCCCCCAAGCCCCTACTGGCCCCCGACACCTTCGGGGTGCCCCCCCACGCCGTCTTCCTCCCCACGTAGTCTTCCTCTCACCGTGGCCGCGGGTCCCGAGGGCACCGCGGTGGCCACCCCGCGGGCACGGTGGCCACGCACCGCGTGCCACGCAGGGGGACATCGTTTCGAGGTTTCCCCTGGGGTGGTGCCGCCCGTCCCCGGTGTGTACATAGCGGACACCACAGCAATAATTTTCCGTGCATGATTCGATTTTTTTTTTTAATTTTTTATTTATTTTATTTTTTTTTTTCTGCCCGGTTTTTTGGATTCGGGCGGCCGGCGGCGAGGCGAGCCCGACCGAGCTCCATGCCGCCCGCGGTGTTACTTGTAATGCAATTCAGGGATATAAAAGGGATTTCTGCCACTACCGGGGGTGTTTCGGGCCGTCTGTACGGGGCTGGGGGGCAACAGGGGAGCTGGGGGGGGCAGGGGGTCGAGGTGTAGCCCCCAGCAGGCAGCCGACAGCACCCGGCTGGGGAGGAGCAGCAGAAAGCAGAGAGGGGGGGGGGGTCAGTCCTGGGGGGAACCCCAGCAGCACCCAAGCAGTGAAGGGCCCCCCCCAGAGCCCCTCAAACCCTTCCCCATCACCAGCAGCCCCCCCCCAGTGGGCAGAAGCCCCCCCCCAAGTTGGTGCTGGGGCTGGTGGCCCCCAGGAGCTGGGCAGGGGCTGCAGAACCGGGGGGCACCTGGGGTCTCACCCCCCGGGGGGGGGCACAGTGCTGCAGAACCCCCCCAAAAAAAACGCCCTCAGACGTCGCAGCCGGGAGCAGGACCTGGAGATCCTGGGGGGGGGGCGTCCAGCTCGGATATTTGGAGGTGGCGGGGGGGGGGGGGGGGGCGCAGACAGGGGATGGGACCCCAGCAGGACGAGCGGCCGGGGGGGGGGGGGGCCCCGGTGCCCCGGTGCTCCCGGTGCTGCCGCTTCACGGTGACTCTGCAAAACCCCGGGGGGGGGCGGAGGGGAGCGGCCGGGGCGGAGCGGCGGGGCCAGGAAGCGGCTGAGAGGCACCGGGGGGGGGGGGGGCAGCGGGACCATGGCTGAGACCGGCACCGGGACCGGGATCGGGATCGATACCGGGATCGATACCGGGAGCATCCACACGCAGCACATCGCGGCCGTGCACAACGTGCCCATGGGGGTCCTGATCCGCCCCCTCCCCTCCGTGCTGGACCCCGGCAAGGTGCGGAGCCTGGTGGAGACCCTGCAGGTGGGCACCGGGGGGGGCAGGATGAGGCCAAGTGGGGGGGGCGCACGGCGCATTGAGCCCCCCCATCTCCCCATACCCCTCCCGGGGGGTGCCAGGGCACTGCTGGGGAAGCTCACGGCCACGGGGCTGTGTCCCCCCCCCCCCCTTCCCATTTCTCCATCCCCAGGAGGATCCCGAGCGGGTGCCCCCCATCGATGTGCTGTGGGTGAAGGGCAGCCAGGGGGGGGATTATTTTTACTCCTTCGGGGGGTGCCACCGCTACGCCGCCCACCGGGAGCTCAACCGGGACACCATCCCCGCCAAGATCATCCCGACAACGCTCAGCGACCTCCGCACCTACCTGGGTTCCTCCACGCCGCAGCTGCTCTAACGGGACCCCCCCCACCCCAAAAATCCGGGACCCTTCCCATAGGGGTCCCCTGAGGTCCCCCCCGTGCGTCCGAGCCGCGGTGAGCGTCCCCGGTCCTGTCCCTGCTGGGGGGGGTGGGATGGGGTCAGGGTGGGATGGGGTCGGGGTGGGCGCACCCCCAGTCCCGGTAGGGCGCACGGGGGGGGGTCCTGGCTCCGGGGGAAGGCCGGCAGGTGGCGGCGTTGTGCTGCGGGAATGGGGCCGGGTGGGGCGCAACCGGGACAGCTCCGAAACGGGACAGATCCGAAATGGGACAACACCGAGCCAGGACCTCACCAAACCAGGACCTCACCAAATTGGGGCGTCACCAAACCAGGACCTCACCAAACCAAGACCTCACCAAACCAGGACCTCGCCAAATTTGGGCGTCACCAAACCAGGACCTCACCAAACCAAGACCTCACCAAACCAGGACCTCGCCAAATTTGGGCGTCACCAAACCAGGACCTCACCAAACCAAGACCTCACCAAACCAGGACCTCGCCAAATTTGGGCGTCACCAAACCAGGACCTCGCCAAATTTGGGCATCACCAAACCAGGACTTCACCAAACCTCACCAAATCGGGGCATCACCAAACCAGGACCGAGCTGTGCCATAGCACAGCCAAACCACGTCCCCAAGCTTCACCCTACAGCTCCGGGCTGACCCCACAAGAGCCTGCGCTGAGCCTGCCCCCCTCATCCGCCTGCCCCATCCTCGGACGCATCCTGCGCCCCCTTCCCCATGGGGCGCATCTCCGAGCAGCGTTTGGGGACCCCCCCACTCGTGCTCTGGGAATAAAGGTGCTCAAAGCCTCGTGGCTCTGTGGGATGGTGCTGGGGGGCAGCGGGGGGCAGGAGCAGGTATGGGATGGCACGGGGCAGCGGGGACACGGGGCAGGAGTGGCACCGGTGACAGCAGGCAGCTGATGGCTTGGGAACGGGGACGGGGGCTGAGCTGGGGGCCGGGATGCTGTGGGTTCTGCAACCACCTCTTTGCCCCCCCCGTGCAGGCTGGAGGAGCCGCTGCGAGCATCCCGGGGGCACCTCGGCATCCCTCCGAGCCGGGAGCCGTGGTCCAGGGAGGGGAAAGGCCACTGAGTCCCCCCCCCGTGCCGTGACTCAGCCACAGGCGCTGGGACAGGAACCGCGTCCGGACTGCCTCTGCCCTCGCTCTGCCCCCTTGACCGGCCGGATCCTGCCCCCCCCGGGGCACAAAATGAGCCTGGCAGCGGTGGGGGGGGGACACATGGCAGGGCAGCGCTGCCCCATGGTGTAGGGGCACGCTTTGCGAGCGCGGCGTTTCCGCAGGAGCCCCTGGGGAGGAAGGGCAGGGTGGGCTGGGGGCTGCACGAGGGCAAGGGCCTGGGTCAATGGTGGGGGGGGGGCCAGGGCACGGCCGGGCTGCATGCGCCGTATCAAAGCCGCCCCCGCCGGGAGGAAGCCCTGCAAGCGCTCGCGCCGAGAGCAGCCCTGGGCTGGGGGTCCCTCATGGGCTATAAATTTCTCCGAAGAATTGTGGCGTGCTAAAAAGTTTCCTCTCCTTAGATCGCAAGGGGGGGGGACGGGACACGAGGTGGCAGCTCCGTTGGTAGCGCAGGAGGTGGATATGGGGTGGATATGGGGTGTCCCCAACCTGCTGAAATGAGACCCCCAGGGTGGGTGGGGAGGGGTCCTCGCCCAGCACCCGGGGCGTCTGGTGGGGGCTCTGCTCACCCGGCACGAGGAGCTGCGCCCTGCGCAAGTGGCAGCGGGGTGGGGGGCAGAGCTCAGAGCTGCGACCCCAAAAAAAAAAAAAACAAAAATCCTGCACCCCACGGGGGCTTCTCCAAGCTGGAAGCCCCCCCTCAGGACCCTCTCCTGCCAGGCCAGAGGGTGCCCGGTGGCACCGCTCGGTGCGGGGAGCATGGATCAGCCCTTGGGGCTGCCATCCCCGCAGTGTCTCCGTCTGTCTGTCCGTCCGTCTGTCCATCCGTCCCTCCACCTGTCCCCCCCTTTTCCCTCTGCCTGACCCTCCAGGAGGGCTCCGGTGTCGCCGGCTGACAGCCGATCCCGGCTGCCTCCAATCCATTCGTTCCAGGGCAGGAACAAAGGCGCTTTGTGGGGGCTCCCCTCCCGCTCCGTCTCTGGGCCATGCTGGGGAAGGGTCCCGGCTCCGGAACTGGGACAGACTTCCCCGCACGACAGCCGTGTAATGCCTTCCAGACCCACCCGCAGGTACGGGTGGGGGACAGGGCACCCCGTGCTGCCCCGGGCACGGCCACCGGCTTGGGGACCTGCTGGGAACCGCTGCCACCAGCAGCAGCCCCATCCCCGTGTCCCTATCCCAGTGTCCCTATCCCAGTGTCCCCATCCCTGTGTCCCCATCCCCATGTCCCCATCCCCGTGTCCCCATCCCAGTGTCCCCATCCCCGTGTCCCTATCCCAGTGTCCCCATCCCAGTGTCCCCATCCCCATATCCCCATCCCCGTGTCCCCATCCCAGTGTCCCCATCCCCGTGTCCCTATCCCAGTGTCCCCATCCCAGTGTCCCCATCCCCGTGTCCCCATCCCAGTGTCCCCATCCCAGTGTTCCCATCCCAGTGTTCCCATCCCCGTGTCCCCATCTCCGTATCCCCATCCCAGTGTCCCCATCTCCTCTGTCCACCCATGGGGTCTCCAAGGACCCACGGATTCACCCGCTGAGGTGTCCCCCTGTTCACAAGCAGGGGCAGCGTCCCCTTGGTGAGACCCCGGCCCTCGCTGCCCTGCACTGCCCAGTTTGGGCCCTAAATTGGGGAAAAGGGGCACGGGAACAGGCAGAGGGGTCGGTCCTGGGCACCCCCTGCTGCAGGGGGGGCTCACGGGGTGCTCGGGGTGTGTGGGATGGGATGGGATGGGATGGGATGGGATGGGATGGGGATGGGGATGGGATGGGATGGGATGGGATGGGGAGGTTTGGGGTGGGACGGGGCAGGTTGGGGATGGGATGGGGAGGTTTGGGGTGGGATGGGGCAGGTTGGGGATGGGATGGGAAGGTTTGGGGATGGGATGGGGAGGTTTGGGGTGGGATGGGGAGGTTTGGGATGGGATGGGGCAGGTTGGCTGCTGCTCCTCCATCCCTCAGCAGGACCAGGCACAGCAGCATCCTGGCAGCCACATGCTCGGCGCGGCCGCGGGGTCTGGAATCCATTTGCCTCGCCGGCAGCGGTGTTTTCCCAGCAGGGCTGGAGCAGCCCGGTGGGGCGGGGGGCAGCCCCGGCCCCCCCGTGCCATCTGCTCCCTGTTTATTTTCCTCCACTTAACTATCACCTCCCGGATAAACACTCCCCAGAGCGGGGAGGGCAGGGGGCACTTCCCAGCGAGCGCAGGGGGCACCCAACCCTCGGGGTTGCCGGCCCCATGGCCCTTTTGGGACACCCCAAAACCAGCAACCGGGGGGCTGCGGGGCTTGGAAACGTGCGTGGGGCTGCGGGTGGGTGCTGTGCACACCCCCAGCCGTGCACACGCACGCACACGTGGCGTGTAAATGCACACACACACGGGCACGCGCTCACATACCCGTGCGCACACGTCCGTGCACCATTGTGCGCGCGCACACATGCGTGTACAGCCACTTACCCGTGCCATGCACACTCACACACACTTGTGCACACTCGTGCACACTCATGCACGCTCACACACTGCCCCCATTGCACACGGAGCCGCCCCAAAACCTTTTGCTCCCTCCCTCCCCGTGTCCCCACGTGCCCCATCCGCCGAGGCCGCTCCCGGCCACCGGCACCCCGCGCGTGGCCGTGCCCCCGGGGGCACCCGGCGGGGTTTGGGGGGCTCAGGGTCGTCCCCCCTTGTTGCCCCCCCCGTCAGCTGGTGGCCATGTGTGGGCGGCCGCACCTGAGTACACAGCCCCTGCCATCCGTCTTGGCGCTGTCAGGGCCGGGGCGGGGGGGCCCCAGCTCACACCCAGCGGGGTGCAGGCAGGGCGCCCGGGGGGGTCAGGGGGGTGGGCATGGAGATGGGGGCTTCCTGAGGGGTCTGTGGGGTCTTTCTCTCCATGCTCTGCTCAAGAGGAGCCACAGCCAGAGCTGTGTCCCCCCCCCCGTTGCAGGAGGCTGCAGCCCCCCAGGGATTATTTTCAGCCCCCCCCCTGATCCATCCACCCCAGTCTCCCTGCCCCGTGCAGGCACCTGCCCGCTCCCCATGCCCCATGAGGGGCTGTAGGGCATGGAGCTGGCAAGGGCAACGTCCCCGTGCCCCCATAGAAACCCAAATCAGTCTGCACGCCCCCCCCCCAGCCCTCCCAGCCCCCCGATGTGGCCCTCGCCCCCCCCCCACAGCGTGATTTACAGGCTCTGCGCAGGCGGACAAATGGTGAAGGAAAACAGGGCTGGGGCCCCACGGCGAGGGGCTGCCCGCACCCCGCGGGGGGCAGAGGGGCCGTTTGCTGCCATGGGGGGGGGGACACACAGCGCAGCCCCCCCAGCACACGTGGGGACAGCCCGGAGGGGACCCTGCTGCCCCACAAGCTCCTGTCCTGATCCTTAGGGCTTTGGCCGTGGGGCGCAGCGGGACGTGGTGTCACCTCGTCCCCTGGCTCCGGGTGCCAGGACCCCCCCCCCCAAATCCCTTTCTCCTTGGGTATTTTCAGCCTGTTCTCTGTGCCCCCAGCCCCCAGCAGCTCCCGGAATTCCCCCTTTTTGCCTCGTTCCTCCACGGGGCTGGAGGCCAGACGGGGAGCACGGCTCGCAGAGGGGCAGCTCTGCGGCCCCGATCCCAGCCCAGCAGCTCCTGCAGCCACGTCCCCAGCAGCCCAGGGCCATTTGCCCAGGGCCGGGCCCTTCTCCCCTTTTGCCTCCCCCCTCCTTGCTGCCCCCCCGGAGCTCAGGATTTGGTTTTCCCAGAGCCAACAGGAGAAAAAGCTCCAGCTGCCCGTGCGCCTGGCAGGGTGCGGGGTCCAAGGGGACCTCGTCCCTGTCCCACTCGGCACGCGTGGTGCCAGCCCTGGGGACACAGAGGGCGAGGGGCTGCGGGGCTCAGCCTCACCTCATGTCCCCAGGGCACAAACCTGTCCCCAGTGGGCCTGTGCCCCCCCCGGTTGATGTCCCCCTGGTGAAGGAACCCGCTGCCAATCCTCCCGGTTGAGCCCCATCCCAGCTCCCGCGCCCTGGTGCCACCCCGCTGCTGGCAGGGGACACCTTGAGCAAGGACCAGGGGGGACCCTGATCAAGGCACCACCCCGCAGACCCCCAGGGGGTCCGGGATCGGGGTCCGGTGCCCCCCATGGCACAACCATGAGCGTGGCACCGCGGCGAGACGGAGCAGGGCCAGGGCGCAGTGGCCACGGCCAACGCTTGGCTCCGGCCAGCCGGGGCGAGGAGGACGCTGGCCTCCTGCCTGGTCCGGCGGCCAGCTGGGGGCTGGCTGGGGGTGGGCTCCATCTGCAGCCCCTCCCCGGCCATATAAATGCCGGTTCCCCCCACGGCCGGCCGTCCCAGCCCCGCTCGGACGCAGCAGCTGGCGGAGAGGCGGCCGTGCCGGCGGGGGACGAGGGCTCCCCGCGGTTTCGGGGGTTGCCCCCAACGGGGCGGGGGGCTCCGGTCATGGCTTTCACCATGCTGCGCCCCGTGGCCGCCCGCGTGCTCTACCCGGACCTGGCCATGCTGTCGGAGGACGAGGAGAACCGCAGCGAGAGCGACACCTCGGAGCAGTCGTTGGGGTGCTACGAGGCCGTGGAGGCGCGCCGAAAAGTGGCCCGCAAAGCGGGGCCGGTGGTGATGGTGAAGCAGAGGCAGGCGGCCAACGCCCGCGAACGGGACCGGACCCAAAGCGTCAACACGGCTTTCACCGCCCTGCGCACCCTCATCCCCACCGAGCCCGTGGACCGCAAGCTATCCAAAATCGAGACCTTGCGCCTGGCTTCCAGCTACATCTCGCACCTGGCCAACGTGCTGCTGCTGGGCGAGGGCTGCGAGGACGGGCAGCCCTGCTTCAGTGCCATCTACGGTGCCAAGGGCGAGCTGGAGAGCAAGCAGCCCCGCAGCATCTGCACCTTCTGCCTCAGCAACCAGCGCAAAGGGGTGAGCTGGGGGGGGTTTAGGGGCTCGGCACGGCCCCCCCATCCCCAAAAAGGGGGCTGAGAGGGAGAGGATGGAGGGAGGGAGGGAGGGAGGGAGGCTCGGGGCCTCCGGTTCTCCAGCCCCCGCCGGAGCTCGCGTCCAAATCGGAGCCGCACGCCCACAGCTCCCGCTGGCGTCAGAGGGCGGGCTGCTCCCAACACCTCCGGCCAGGCCACTGGGGTCTCGGGGGGGTTAAAGGCACCCCTGGGCTGGGGGCACGAGGATGGGGTGGGATGGGAGGGAGAGCAGGGCTGGGGGGCTGTGCCCGGCTCAGCACCGTCCCCATCCTTGTTTTATCCCAATCCCCATCCCCGTCTCATCCCTGGCCCTGGCCCCGTTTATTTATTCCCATCCCTTTTTATCCCCGTCCCCATCCCGTTTTATCCCCATCCCCGTCTCCTCCCCATCCTCTTTTTAACCCGTCTCCATCTCCTCCCCATCCCCATCCCTTTTTAACCCCATCCCCATCCCCGTTTATTATCCCCATCCCCATTTATCCCATCCCCTTTTTATCCCCATCCCCTTTTTCTCCCATCCCATCCCCATTATCCATCCCATTTTATCCCATCCCCTTTATCCCCATCCCCATTTTTATCCCCATCCCCATTCCTCCATCCCCATCCCCATCCCCACACCCCTCCAGCCCCTCCTGGTCCTGGCAGCAGCCCGGTGCGGTGATGGAGCAGAGCTCAGGGCGCCCTGAACACCCCTGCAGGGGGCTTGGTGCCCCCCCCATGAGCACAGCAGCACGGGGCCGGGGGCTGCAGGGTGACCCCGGTGCTGTCCCCAGCTGGCACCCATGGGTGCGGGCACCGTCCCCATGCAGAGCCCATCCTGCCACCCACACCATTCCCCTGCTGCAGGTGCCCCCCCATAGCCCCCAGGACACCCCCAGGGACCCTCGTTGTCCCCTCGGGTCACCCAGAGCAGCAGCCGTCGGGGCCCTTTCGTTTTCTGCTGCTCCCTTTTTAATTATTTTTCCCGTTCCTGTCCCCTTTCCCCTCACCCCCCCTCATTTGGCTGGACCCCGCAGCCCCCCCAGCCCGTCCTGGGTGTCCCCCCGCTGTCCTGGGACCACCTGCAGGGACCGAGAGCTCTGGTGGCACCCAGGACCTTGGGGACAAGGTCACCAAGGGTCCCCAAGGTCCCCCCGCTCTGCACCTCCTGGTGCTTGGGAAGGGCTGGAAATGGGCTGGGAATGGGTTGTACTGGGCTGGGAATGGGCTGTACTGGGCTGGGAATGGGCTGTACTGGGCTGGGCTGGAAATGGGTTGGGCTGGGCTGGAAATGGGCTGGGCCATGCTGGGTGGTGCTGGGCTGAGCCGTGCTGGGGCCATACTGGGCTTTGATGGGTTGTGCTGGGGGATACTGGGATGTGCTGGGTGACAATGGGATATGCTGGGGGCTACTGAGTTGTGCTGGGTGATACTGGGCGGAACTGGGGGACACTGGGCCGTGCTGGGTGACACTGGGCCGTGCTGGGGGCTACTGAGCTGTGCTGGGGGCTACTGGGCGGTACTGGGTGATACTGGGCCATGCTGGTCTGTGCTGGTCAAGCTGGCTGGGGCCAAGCCCTCACCCCATTGGGGCCGTGTCCCTGTGGGTGATGGGGACGTGGGGACCTTCCTGGGACCCCGACCCCGCTCCCACCCCACAGCCGCTCACCGGGCACCACCACGTCCGTCCGTCCGTCCACCCATGCCCATCCCAGGCAGCGTTTTGGCACGGTTCCTCCCCAAATTCTTTGGCACGCTTCCCCCCTAAACACTTCAACTCAATTCCTCCACGGTGCCCCCCCTTCCCGGAGCCGTGCACCCCAATCCCAATCCCTACACCCCCCTTCCCCTAAATCCACCCCCCTCCCCAGGGACCCCCGGGCACCCCGCTGCCCCGGCGCCCCGCAGCTCTCCCCTCCTCTCTCCGCAGGGCGGCCGCAGGGACCTCGGGGGCAACTGCCTGAAGGTTCGGGGGGTGCCCCCGCTGCGGGTGGCACGGAGATGAAGCGGGGCCGCGGGCACCCCACCGGAGACAGCGGTGGCACAGCCAAGCCCCAAGAGACCGCAGCGGGGAGGGAGGCGACGGAGCCCGGCGGGGCCGCGGGTTGGCACCGCACCGACGCCGGCACCGGCACCGGCACCGGCACCGTGGCCGGGAGAGAACTTGTTGGGGGGGGGGTTGTTTGGTCCCAAAACCCCTGGGGTTAAAGGAAAAGGGGAGGGGGACCCGGCTCAACGAGCAGCCCGTGGCGTGGACGGTGGTGGCGATGCGCTCGGGGAGAAGGGGGGACGGCGGCGCGGCCCCGCGGGCGCTCTGTGTGCACACGCAGCAGCTTGGAAAATAAACAAAATCTCTTATTTTTCTGATGGGATGCTGCCTGCCTGCTGCCCCGGTTCCCAAAACGGCCACGGCCCCAAAGTCCTGCGCCCACAGCAGCTCCGTGACTCTGCGCCGTGGGTAGGGCGCAGCCACGCGCTGTCCCCGTGGTCCTGGGGGTGTGAGACCCCCGGCACAGCCGTCCCCGTGGCCCCAAACCCTGCGGATGGCTCTGATCCCAAAAGGGTTTGGGTTATGGAGAGGCCCAAGGTGGGCAACACCGGGCTGTGCCGTGGGATGCATGGGATGGAGGGGATGGAGGGGACATATGGGGCGCATGGGGCGCATTGGGCGCATTGGGTGCATGGGGTGCATGGGGTGCATGGGTTGTATGGGATAAATAGGATGAATGGGATATATGGGGTGCATGGGATGCATGAAATGCATGGGGTGCATGGGATGAATGGGATATATGGGATGCATGGGACGAATGGGGGCATTTGGGGCACGTGGGATGCAGGGGATGCGTGGAACACACTGTGCGCATGGGATGCGTGATGCATTTGGGATGCGTGGGACATTTGGGATGCGTGGGACCCGTGGCTGTGCCACGGCTCTGCTCCAGCCCCGTGGTGCCCAGGCGACGCGTTGGGGCTCATCTCACTGCTTTTTGGGACACCCCTTCCTCTTTTTGGGACCACCACCACCGCAGCAGCAGCACCTACACGGGGTCAGGCGGGGACATGGTGGGGGGGGTTCCCAGCCTGCTCCCCAACCCCCCCCCAAAGACCCTGCTCGCCGTGGGGAGCTGAGCCTGGGAACAGCACCGGGTTTGGGGGCACGCAGCCCCCAGGGACCCCACATCCCACGGAGCCGAAGCAGCTGCGGACGGGGGCTTGGAGACGCCGGGGGTCCCCCGGGCACAACCCCGGTGCAGGAGAGGATCGGGGATCCCCCCGAGGGTCTTGCTTTAGGTTTGGGGTGCCGGTGGGAGCCCACGGGCACCCCTCAGCCCCCCGTGCAGCCGGGCTGGCTGTGACCCCCCCCTTTTTTTTCCCCTCTCCCCCCCCCCCCCAAGGGTTTGATTTATGGAGCTGACAGCGCGGCGCAGCTGCGAGAGCGAAGTCCCAGGCGGGGAGCGGGGTGGGTGGGAGAGGTTTGTTCTCAGCGTGTCTAATGCGTCCCAGACCCCAAAAAAACCAGCCGTGAGATTCTCCAAACAGCCCCCGGACACAAAATCCCTGCCCTCGGCTTTATCGGGGGGCAGGGGGCAAGGGCAAAGGGGGGGGGGGGGCACGCTCTGCAAACAGCCCCACAGATGAAAGGGTTCGGTCCCCAGGACCCCCCCCCGTGAGCCCCCCCCGGTCCCTGTGGTGTTGAGCTCGGGGCTGGTCCCGCTGTGCCCCCCCCCCAATGTCCCCGTGCTGAGGGTGGGGGTCCCGGGGGTCCCGGGGGTCCCAGCAGCACGAGCACTGGTCCCAGTGTGTCCCCAGTACTGGGGCCGGTGGGTGTCAGGGCTGAGCACGAGCGTCCCAGTGGCTCTCAGGGATTGGGGTTTGGGAACCAGTATGTCCCAGTGCCAGGGGCTTGGGTCCCAGTGTGTCCCAGTGCAGGGTCTGGGCATCCCAGCATGTCCCAGTGTCAGGGTCTTGGATCCCAGCAAGTCCCAGTGCAGGATCAGCACATCCCAGTACGTCCCAGTGCCAGGGCTATGTGTCCCAGTGCAAGATCTGCACATCCCAGCATGTCCCAGTGCTGAGACATTGGGTCCCAGTAAGTCCCAGTTCAGGGTCTGGGCATCCCAGTACGTCCCAGTGCCAGGGCCTTGGGTCCCAGTGTCTCCCAGTGCAAAATCTGCACATCCCAGCACATCCCAGTGCCAGGGCCATGTATCCCAGTATGTCCCAGCACATCCCAGTGCCAGTGCCACGTATCCCAGTATGTCCCAGCACCTCTCAGTGCCAAGCACTGGGGCGCCAGCAGTTCCCAGTTCAGCAGCACTGTGCACCTCCCAGTACCCAACCACGGCTCCCAGCACGTCCCAGTGCCAGCAGCCCGCCCGTCCCAGTGCATTCCAACCCCTCCCAGTACAACCAGAGGGAACTGGTGACTCAGAGGCTCTGACGGGAGCCGGGTGCTCGCCCTGGGGACCAAGCGGGGGGCACCCATGGGTGCCACCAGCCCCGCGCCGCGCCCCCCTCCCGTCCTCTCCCTCTTCCTGAGCACGGACCCCTCTCGGAATGGGTTTTTTTTGGGATTTTTGGCCGCTCGCTGTGGGGCAGGAAGGTGTCCCCGAGGCTCAGGAAGGAAAAACACTCAGCGCTGAACCCAAAAACGCCGTCTCCGAGGGGCCGGGGCTGGAGGCGCTCCAGGCCTGACATCACCTGGGAACTGGAAGCGGGAGCGCAGCTGCACGCCGCCGCGCCTGCTGCTGGGATTTTTTTTTTTAGGGTTTTTTATTTTTTTTTTTTATTTTTTTTAAACTCGTGTTTTTAAACGGGCTTTTTATAGATGTCTCTCTCTTTTTTTTTTTTTTTTTTATTATTTTCCCTTGCTCCGTTCCCCTCCCAAATATTTCTGCCTCTGTTTCGGCACTTGAACCTTGCTGGGCTGGAGAGGCAGGAATGCAGCGGGGCTGCGGCCGGGGGGGCTGCTGGAAGGGGCTGGGATCCACCCCTGGGATCCAGATCTGGGATCCAGCCCCGGGATCCAGTCCTGGGATCAAGCACTGGGATCCAGCCCCACCCAGGGTCGATATTTGGGATTTGTCCCCAGGATCTCTCCCAGATTCCAGCCCCAAGATCCAGCCCCAGGATCCAGCTCTGGGATCCAGTCCTGGGATCCAGCCCCAGGATCGATATCTGGGATCCATCCCCAGGATCCACCCCAGATTCCACCCCCAGGATCCATCCACAAGGACTCATCCCCAGGATCCATCCCTGGGATCCACCCATGGGATCCAGCCCTGGGATCCATCCCTGGGATCACGCACTGGGATCCAGCCCCACCCAGGATCGATATTTGGGATTTGTCCCCAGGATCTCCCCCAGATTCCAGCCCCAGGATCCAGCCCCAAGATCCAGCCCTGGGATCCATCCCCAGGATCGAGATCTGGGATCTGTCCCCAGGATCCACCCCAGGATCCACCCCCAGGACCCATCCCCAGATTTCACCCCCAGGATCCATCCACAAGGGCTCATCCCCAGGATCCATCCCTGGGATCCACCCATGGGATCCATCCCCAGGATCCAGCCCCACCCAGAATCAATATTTGGGATCCGTCCCCAGGATCCACCCCAGATTCCAGCCCCAGGATCCGTCCCCAGGATCCACCCCAGAATCCATCCATGGGATCCATCCCCAGGATCGAGGTCTGGGATCCACCCCCAGGATCCATCCCTCCTCACACCCTGTGTCCTGGCAGCCCCTCTGTGCTCTGCCCGGAGCAGAGGTTTTAGGATTCAGCCCCCAATCGTGTCCTAAATGCCCCCAGAGCGAAGCTGCCTCACTCCAAAATCGTCCCCATAGCAGCAGCCGCAGCCACGGCCCGAGTGGGGCCTGGGGGCAAACGGCCCCATAAAAGGGTCCCCGGGGGGTGGTGGGGAGGGGAACGGGGGGCGAGGATGAGGGGTGGGTGGGTGGGATGGGACGGGACGGGATACCCACCCCACAGCCCCTGTCCCCCAAACCCTCCACATCCCCCAAACCCCCTCATCCCCCAAATCCCCCAAATCCCCCAAAACCCCCCAAATCCCCCAAGCCCCCCGCATCCCCCAAACCCCCACATCCCCCAAATCCCCCACATCCCCTGCATCCCCCAAACGCCCACATCCCCCAAACCCCCCGCATCCCCCAAGACCCCCACATCCCCCAAATCTCCCACATCCCCCAAATCCCCCTGCATCCCCCAAAAACCCCTCATCCCCCTGCATCCCCCGCATCCCCCAAAACCCCCTGCATCCCCCTGCATCCCCCACACCCCCCCAAATCCCCCAAACCCCCCAAACCCCCCGCCTCCCCCTCTTCAGCCTCCCCGCGGCTCCCTGTCCCCGTGTCCCCCCGTGCCCCCCGTGCTCCCCAGGGGGCTCGTCCCCCCCCGTCCGTCCCCCCCCCAGTAGGGACAGGGTGTGAAGGCTCTGTGGGGTGAACGCCAGGTTAATGTCCCGCTGGAGCTTCCCTCCGCAAACAATAAGACAATGCCCGGGCCGGGGGCCGCCTGCGTAAAGCAGCGGCGAGGAGGGGAAGTTGTAATATTTGGATTTAACCCTGGGTAAATTAAGGGAGAAAAAAGGAAAAAGAGAGCTCGGGGGGGTAATCAGAGAGAGGCTGGCCCCCGTGCCCCCGCACCACGGCCCCAAAGGGTTCGGTTGGGGTTGGGGCTGGCCAAAATGGGAAGGTAGAGAGGGGGTTGGGGGTCCCTAAGGGTCCCGAGGGTCCCGTGTGGGGCCCGGGGTCGAGGTTCGGGGTGGTGCAGGCACGAGAAAAGGGATCGGGGCCAAGCGGGTTATTTTAATCCAGACCTGCTCCAGCTCATGGGAAATAAAAACCCCGTTCCTACAGCTGGGGTGGGCCCCCGGGGGGCTCGGGCACCTCCAGCTGACGGCGAGCGGGGTGAGGAGGGGTAATAGGGTGGGGGTCCCCCGGGGTGTAAGGGACCCCTCGGAGCCCAGCCCCAGGAGCTGTGGGCACCCCAAATGCAGCGTGCTGGGCCAGGAGCTGGGTGGGGAACCACGAGGGGCTTCTTGTGGGGTCAGGGGGCAGGGAGAGCGCTGTGGGGCCGGGGTTGGCTTGGCCAAATCGTGGCGATGGTTTGGGGGTGTTGGGCTGGCCCCCAAATGGGGTCTGGCACTGTGCTATGGGATCCCGTGGAGTGTTTTGATTCTGTGACCCCCCAAGCAAGGTGTCCCCTTTTCGGCCACCACCGGCCCACCCGGGGTGACCCCAAAACGTGGTTGGGGCAGGTGGGGGAGAGGTGAGCAGCAGGGCAGCGGCGTTATGGAGCCCTGGGGCACTGGAGCCCATTTTCAGCCCCCTCCCGCCCCCCTTTTTCCCTGCCAGGAGCCGTTATCAGCGGCGACGACCCGGAGCGGTCCCATGGGGCACCTCCAGCCCTTCCCCTCCACCTACCCCATCTCTCTCCCGCTCCGGCCCACGTCAATGCGGCCGCGAAGGTGTCGGAACAATCGCCTGACAAAGGGTTATTTTTAGGTTATTTTTAGGGGCCGGGGCTCGGAGCGAGGATACAGCCCGGCCGCTGACAATGGGGGGAAGGGGGCCGGGCTTCCCCCCGTGAGCTCTCGGCAGCAGAAGGCCCCGTAAGATTTCCTCGATGACCCTAAAGCCGTACAATACAAGGAAAGCACACGAGGGAGATACCCCCGCCAAGACGAGCTGCTCCTTTACCTAATGGCACTGACCCCGGGGCTGAGGGGGGCTGCGGGAGGGGGGGACACCCGGGGGTGTGCGGCCCGCCACGAGGACACGGGGTAGGGCCAAGTGGGGGGGTCCTAAGGGCAGGGGGTTGGGGGTGAGGCTGAGCACGAGCCCCCCGGCCCCATAAGATGGCTGCCAGGTGGGCTCCGTGGTGTGCTCCAGCACAAGGCCACAGGTGTCCCCCCAAGGAGGGGACAGGAGTTGGGGTGCGGCCCTATAAGGGTGGGGGTGTGGGGGGGGCTCGGGGTGGTTTTGGAGGGGGCCAGGCTGGGTTTAAGGTGTGGAGGGGATTGGTGTGAGGGTGGTGGGACTGGGTGAGGTGGGAGGCGTCTTCTGGCCTAGGTGGTGCTGGGATTATGGGATTTGGGGATTCTGTCATACTGGGATTATGGGATTTTGGGATTCTGTGACTCTGTGATTATAGGATTCTGTCGTTCTGGGATTCTGGGATTCTGTCATACTGTGGTTCTGGAATTCTGTGGTTCTGGAATTCTGTCATTCTGTGAAAATAAGATTCTGTCGTTCTGTGATACTGTGATACTGGGATTCCAGGTTCTGTCATTCCAGGTTTCTGTGATTAGGTGATTCTGTGGTTCTGGGATTATGGGATTCTGTCATTCTGTGATTTTGTGATTCTGGGATTTTGGGATTCTGTCATTTTGTGATTCTCGGATTCTGTCATTCCGTGTTTCTGTGATTATGGGGTTCTATGGTTCTGTGGTTCTGGGATTCTGGGATTATAGGATTATGGGATTCTGTCATTTTGTGATTCCGGGATTCTGGGATTTTGTGATTCTGTGCTTCTGGGATTCTGTCGTTCTGTGTTTCTGTCATTCGGTGATTTTGTGATTCTGTCATTCTGGGATTTTGTGCTTCTGGGATTTTGTGATTTCGGGAATCTGTTACTCTGGGATTCTGGGATTTTGTGATTCTGGGATTCTGTCATTCTGTGTTTCTGTGGTTCTGGGATTCTGTGCCTGTCATTCCGTGATTTTGTGCTTCTGTCATTCTGGGACTCTGCATTTTTGTGATTTTGGGATTTTTCGGTTTTATGACTCTGGGACCGTCACTCCGCATTTCCATGACCCTGTGGCTGTGCCCCCCCGCTGCCTCCCCCACCCCTCACCCCTCACCCCTCAGCACCCCCCCATGGCTCCCCCACCCCAGCCCCGTGCCCGCAGCCCCCCCCCTCGGCCCGGTGCTGCCCGGGAGGCCCCGCCCGTGCCCGGAGCAGGCCCGAGGCCGTTCCCGGGCCCCCCCTCAGGCCTCACAGGCCTCAGTTGCCCCCTGGCGGCGGGCCCCGCGCACAGGCCGCGCCTCACACCCAGCCCTCCACTTTGCCCCCCCCTCCTCCAGCCCTCACCCCCCGGGACCCCCCTCACCCCCCCCACCCCCTTTGTCTCATCTCGGCCTCCCCTTTTAGCCCCCCCCCAAAATCCCACTCTGAGAACTACAACCCCCAGAATCCCCCGCGGCGCACCCCCTCCGTTCCCGCCCAGCTCCTCTCTATGGTAACTTCCGCTTCCGGCGCTGCCTCGCTCTGGTCCCTGCGGCTGGCGGCCGAGCCTTGTGCCTCCGCCATATTGTCTGTGTGCGCCCGGCGGGCGGCGGCTCCGGCAGGTACCGGCGGGGCCCGCTGAGGCCCGGCCCGGCCCCCGAAAGGCTCCGAGGCTCGCCCCGAACTTCTCCGGCTCCATAGGGGAGAGGGGGGAGGAGCCGCCGCCGCGCTCCCCGCTTCGCACGGGCCGCGCCGTGGGGCCGGGCCTGGGGGGGGGAGCGCCTCAGGAGGAGCATGAGGGGGGGGGGAGGGGGGATGAGGGGGTGGGGGTAGGGGTGTGAGGGAAAGTTGGGGGGGGAGGGGGGAAGGGGGGGGCTGGGGGGTGAGCTGGGAGGGGATGAGGGCATTGGGGGAGTGGGGCTGGCCGGGGGCCGGTTATAGGGCTGCTTATGGGGCCGGTTATAGGGCTGCTTATGGGGCCGGTTATAGGGCTGCTTATGGGGCCGGTTATAGGGCTGCTTATGGGGCCGGTTATAGGGCTGCTTATGTAGGGCTGCTTATGGGGCAGGTTATAGGGCTGCTTATGGGGCAGGTTATAGGGCTGCTTATGGGGCCGGTTGTAGGGCAGGCTATAGGGCTGCCCATAGGGAAGGCTTTGGGGCCGGTTGTAGGGCCGCCTATGGGGCTGCTCATGGGGCTGGTTCTGGGTAGTCTATGGGGCTGGTTGTAGGGCTGCCCATGGGGCTGGTTGTAGGGCAGGTTATAGGGCTGCCTATGGGGCTGCTCATGGGGCTGGTTGTAGGGTAGTCTATGGGGCTGGTTGTAGGGCTGCCCATGGTGCCGGCTGTAGGCCAGGCTGTGGGATAGGCTATGAGGCTGCTTATGGGGTCAGTCCCAAGGCTCCCCCTTATCTCCACAGGGAGGCCCCAGGCAGCTTTCCCCTCCCCCAGCCCTCCGAGGGGCCCTCTCAGCGTTCCTCACCCTCGGGGCTTCCCCTCCCCTGCCTGCCCCCGGCGGGGCTCCCCCCTTTTTACCCTAAATCGAGGGGCGAGGAGAAGGCTTGGGGCTGATGGCGGGGGGTGATCACACAGCCACCCCTCTCCTAAATCCCCCGGGGGGGGGTCGGTGCCCCCCCAGTGCTGTAATCCAGCGCCTTGTGCCCCGGGGCAGCAGGCTGCGGGTGAAATGGGCTCTGTAAAGGAAAGGGCAGCTCGGATTATGAAACCCCGTGCGTGCCGCCCGGCAGATTACGCTTCCTTAGCGAGGGCTCGGGGCCCGACCCGTGAAGTTTGGATTACAAACAGCCGCTGCTGGGCTTTCTGCTGACGGCAGCGGTGGGGCTGGGCAGAGCTCGCGAGGGCTGCTGAGTCCCTGCTGCGGGTCCTGAGCCGTGTCGGGGAGCAGAGCCACCCTCTGTGGGGTGCTGGGGGCTCGGAGGGGCCCCCTGGGTCACGGCAGTTTGGTCCTCGGGGTGCTTTGTGACCTGCCTGGGGGGTTGGGTGTGTGGTTTTGGGGTCAGACCCCGCTGGGGGTGGCAGCACCGTTTGTGGAGGGGCTTTGGGGGCTGCTCCAGGCATGCAGAGGGAGCCGTGGTGCTGTGTCGGGGCAGGCAGCAGCTCCTGGTGCTCAGGAGGCTCCTTAAAAGTGCAATAGTTGCGGAAAATATTGGGTTTTTTTTGCAGGGTTGGGGTCTGTGCTGTATTGCTGGTCGGTTTAGGTGTTGGGTGTGAGTCTGCCAGCATGGTTTGGGGTGTAGGGCATGTAGGAAGAGAAAAATTGCTCCCCCCGAGTGCTGTTGGCGTGGGCACGGTGCAGAAAATGGCAAAGTTGGTGCTCGGGGAGGGGGGGCTGCGCTCGGGAGCCCGGCGGGCAGGGTCTGGGGGTACAGCTCTGCACCAGGGATGGTGACACCGGCACCAAATTCTGGAAAATGTGAAGGAAAACGGCTCAAGGGGCGTTCTGTGAAATGTCCTGGAGGTGGGACCTGTGCAGGGGGGGTGATGAAGCTCCTGTTTTTGAGAAAAAGAGTGAGATTTCAGGTGGCTTCCAGGTAGTGCCGCTCAGGGGGTGTGGAACGGGTTCCTGGGGGGAATTTGGGGAATTTGGACAGGGAAATGTTAACAGAAAACCATTTCCGAAGCGGTGAGGGGCACGGGGAGGTAACTCCTCCCAACCTTGTTGAATTCGGTCTCCTCACGCCTTCCAGCCGAGGTTTTGCTGCGTTCTCTCCTCACAGAGCTCGTTTTCTCTTCCTGCCTTCCCTGGCGTCCCCCGAGGAACACGGGAGGAAGACAGAAGCGTGTGGGTGACATTGTGGCAGCCGGGCTCCATTCGTGCCACATCGCTGGCGGGGCAGGGACTGTTTCTGGGTTACCGGACCCACCCCCTCCACGGATCATCATTTCTGAGCCCCGTGCCCTTAGGCATCAACTTTGGGGTCTGGAGGGGTGAGAAAACCCCAAAGCTGTTTGGGTTTGCTGGTCCTGCGAGAATAACCCCACGGGTTTTAGGGTCAGCAGGGGCTGCTGTGCCCCGGGCTGGCTGCAAACGTTGTCTGTGAGCACGAGACGCCTCTTGGATAACTCTCCTCAGCTTGGGTATCTCCTTCCAGGGCTTTCCAAGAGCTGACTTGCCTGGAATTTGCAGAACCCGACTGCAGGGCTGGCGAGCTGCTTTGGGATCCGGGGAAGCTGCTTGGAAGAGGAGGCGGCGGCCGCCCGCAGCTGGCGGTGGTCCTGGCGCTGCAAACAGAGCGACCCCAGCCTTGGGGATGGGTCCTGGGCTCCGTCGAGGTGCCAGACCCGTCAGCAGGAAGGATTGAGGAGAAACTGGGGTTCTCCATGCATCTGTAGGGGCAAGGATTTCTGCTTTTCAGCCCCAAAGTGAGCCCGCCGTGTGCCTGCCCCCTTGTCCAGGCTGCTGTGGGGAGCTGAGGGGCCCCCTCGGGGCTCTGTGCAGCCAACACTGACTCAGGTTCCTACTGGGGAGGGGAGATTTCAGTAATTTCCCACAGAATTTTGTTGTTTGAGCGGTAGGTTATGACCTTACAGCCGATTTCTCCCTTTTTTAAATGAATTATTCACCAGTAGCGACCAGTAAAGGGGCAGGGATGGAGCTGGGAAGTGCTGGGCTGGGAGGTGGCTGCGCCTTGGGGGTGCTGCAGCCACCACTGGGGCTTCTCCGTGGGCCGGAGGAGGATGAGCACGGCCAAGGAACCTCAGGGTATGGGAAGGAGAAGCTCGGGCACTGCTCGTTTTCTTACAGCCTCGCCAGATTTCTCTCCCCGTGACGTTTCAGCCCTGCCTCGTGCAGTGTACACCACCCGAGTGACCTGCCAGGAGCTCCCCTCGCTCACTGATGGAGTTGTGTGGAGCCTACATCAGCACCAAGCAAGCTGCAAACTAAAAAACCACAAATTTGGGGCATTTCAGAAGCTGTGAGTGCATCCAGCAAGCCACAAAGACGAATCCTCCTCCTGAGCCACCTCTGGATGCTGCCCGGGGGCTTCTCCGGAGCGATTCCTCCTGAGCCTGCGGGGTGCAGGGACGCAGAACGGTGCCTGCATGGTGGGCACAGCGGATCTGAGGATTTCTGGAAGCAGCTCCACGCAGCACAGCCCCGTTTTTATCCTCCAGCCTCAGGAACTTCTGCCTCCGGGCACGGCACGGCCACAAAATCACAGAATTTCTAGGTTGGAAGAGACCTCAAGATCATCGAGTCCAACCTCTAACCGGGCTGGCCGAACAGAGTTTTTTGCTCCATCACAGCGCCCAGGAGCCACGGGGCTCAGTCAGCTGAGCCATGGGGCTGGCAGAAGTCCCCGTGCTAATTAGGGAGGGGAAACAACCCCCCACTAATTACGAAGGTCGAGCTTTCCAGAGGCTGCTGCCAGCTCACCCCGTGTCGGAGCCTGCGCTGAGGCCGAACCATTCCCGGTGTGGCAGGAGGAGCTGCCCGGTGCTGCTGGCGTCCCGCAGGCTGTGGGTTTGGTAATTCTGCTTGGGAAAACGCTGCCCCCAGCAGTGGGGGCTCTGGTTTTCAGCACTGTGCTGGGAAGGAAGGGAACTGCCTCTCTCCACGCTCAAATCCTCGCGAGGCAGCTTGCTGTGGTGTGCTTAAAATGTAAAGAGAAGTTGATCAGGGTGCTCTGCCTGCCCCAGGTGGAGCCCCCGAGGGCAGAGGGCTGCCAGCAGCACCGTTTGGCCACCCCTGGCTATGCCGTTTTTATTTGTTGGCTGTTCCCAGCTGGTTTTTTAGCCGTTTTTCTTTGCTTGTGGCACAATTCTGACGTGGTGGCAGTGCCGATGCCCCCTGCTCTGAGGGGCTGGGAGCCTCAAGGGCCCGGTGTCAGGCAAGCCTCGGTCACAGTGTGTCAGGAAAAGCTTTCCCTGGGTCTGTGAGCTGGGTTGGTGCTCAGATATGAGGGAGAGGTCATGATTTTATGGGAGGGAGGGAAGAAAAGAGCTTCGGGGCTGCCCAGCTACAAATAACCCCGAGGAGATGCGGCGAGGAACCTCCCCATCCCTGGCAGCCTCCTGTTGCTGGAGGACACCCCGGCCGCCTGGCCCAGGTACTCGTGCAGCCCCAGAGCTCTGGAAATGTGAGGAATTTTTGGGGGATGGCTGTCCAGCTCGGCTGGGACTCCGGGAACCTGTGGGGGATCCCTGGGAGCTCCCCTAAAACGGAGCTGGTGGAGCTCAGAGCGGGAAGGTTGGGGCTGAGCTGCTGCCGGGTTTGTGGAGCAGCAGAGCTGAGTTTCACCCAGCTCTGTGGCGTTGCCATCAAACGTGGAGTTAAAGTAAAAACATTTTCATGGTCCTGTGGCTCCCGTTAGCTCGTGGCCCCCCCTACAAGGGGTGACTTCGTCGTTGGCAGGCGCCGCGAGGAATTTGGGGGAGGAATTAGAAACGCGGGTAGGGGAAGCGCCGCGCTCGCTAGCACAGAATTGCTCCAAGATGTTTCTCAGCCTGTCAGCTCTTCTCCCCAATGCCTGATCGCGTCTTCCTTTCAACTCAGAAGCAACTCTTTCTGTCTCTTTTTTTTAAGGGAAAATTCGAGGTTTTTCTGCATTATCCTTTATTATTTCTCTGCAGCCGGACACAGGCAGCTATTTAAAAGAAATCTGGAAAATAATTTTGGTGGAAAAAACAGAGTTTGAGCAGACAGCGCCGTTCCAGAAAATATCAAGAGAAAAGTTTGGTCTCGAACCTCAGCTTTTTTTTCAGCTCCATTAGGTTTTTAAAATCTGCTTCTCGACTGATGCTGTCCCTTTAGTAGGTAAATGGGTTTCGGGAAAGGATGTAAAATGTCAGCTCTGTTAATCCAGGCTTGTTTCTATTTCGGCTATAAAATCGTAGAAAAATATAGGCTGCGAGGGACTTCTGGAGGTCATCTGCTCCGTGCTCGTCGTGCTGCAGATCCAGCGTTAGGAAAATGCAGGAATTGGGTTTCTGTTGCGAGACAGAGCACAGGTTTTTGCTGAAGTCTGTTACTGTTGCTTCTTCCTTTACGGTTAACGCGGGATTTGCTTGATGCTGGCTGCTGGTCGGCTGCACTGTGAGTGTTGAAACATGTCCTGAGCTTTTAATTTCAGGGGCACCTGCCTGGTTTGAGGTTCTCTGAGCGCTGCAGAAGCGAGCACGCCGTCCCTGGGTGGCTTCATAGGCGAGGGATCGGCGGGCTGCATGGCTGGTAACTGGAATATTCCCCACTAACGAAGCACGTTGTGTAATTATTATTTCAGAGCCTGGATTTGGGCTGTTTCTGCGAGAGGTGAGGGGCAGGAACATTCCCTTGGTTCTGGGCTGCCTGGGGAGGTTCTGCTCCAAATGCCCTGGCTGCTGACTGCCCATGGTCTGGTAACGAGCTCACGCTGATCCTTCGAGGCCTTTCTAAGGGCCAGGTCTGAGTTAAACCACCCCCAGCACCTCCTGCATGAACTCATGTGGCAGAGCTGCCGCCAGGAGCCACCCAGAAACATCTTTGGTGTGCCCAGGGGCATCACCCCGAGCAGAGGAGCTGCTCCGTGCCCTGGTGGTGCCAGGCGGGTGACCGAGGGCTTTGTCCTCGCTGCTCCCTGCCGTGTAGCACTCGTGGTCCTATTCCTCAGCGGAGCACTTTGCCAGAGAGAGAGGATGATTTTCAGAGGCATGTTGTGTTCCCCTGAGCCTTGAACACTTCAGCTTGGCTCCACATCACCCCAAACGCTGGGGCATCTCCTGGTGGCAGCCCCTTGGTGGCACCTGAGCTGCGTGTGGGTGCAGCACAGCTCCTGGCCGGGTGCAGCGGGTGCCGTGGTGCTGCCGAGCAGCTTGGGGCAGTCCCTGCCACCGTAACTTATCCTCTGATGCTGTCGTTTATGCAGGAATTAATAAATGACCTCTTCTCTCCAGCTTCTGACCGCAGCAGCACAGCTGACCCTTTAATGTGCCCAGGACACTCGGTTTGTTCAGGTGTAGTTGCCGCTCCTACTGTAGATTTTTGGCCTGAAATCTGCAAGCTGAACTGACGTTGTGTGACCACACCTGTACCTGATACTCGTCCTCAGCTGTCCTTTATCTCAGAGCTGGGATCCACTACGAAATCATCCCCCTGCAGGGGCAGTGAAAGCAGAATCGGTTCCTTAGCACTTGGAGTAGACGAAGTGGAAAGTTCTCAGGCCAGGAAGTTTGTGCATGGCAGTAACGGCTTCAAACCCAAATCCTCTCTGCAGATTCTTTCCTCTTTCCCCGTCAGGAGCAGCAGACGGCGATACCTGCCTTCAGGGGCGCTGGGTGCCATTCTTAGAAGCTCCAGTCGATGATTTCCTGAAAAAAAAAACAAAAAAAACCCTCTCTGAGCTGTCTGTTACAGCACGGAGCTTGTGCAAGGCTGCAGCTCCATGACAAGAAAATATCCGCTCTGAAGTTTGATCTATCTTTAGATAATGAGATTGATTTCTCCTTTTTTTTTTTTTCCCCCTGCTGAAACAATGATCTTTCTCAGCTGAACGACGCGGAGCAGCCGTGTGCTTTCTGGATACCGAATCACGCTCAGAAGGCAAAACTGCCAAGTCATCTGAGGTGTGCGTGGCCTCCCTTACTTCCCACCCGAGCACTGGGCAGATGAAAGAGCGAGCTGGAAGCACAAGGAACGAGGAGAAACAAAACCAGGATGAAATGTTGAAATTGGGAGTGTTTTGGTAAAGGTGCCCCTTCTGCTGCCCTCCACGGGTGGCTGTTGGGTGTCCGGCTGCCTCCTGGGCATCCGAGTCGTGGACACAAATCTGCGAGGTCTTTGGTGATTGCCTCATCTTCAGGAATGTGTCTTTTTAGGGGAATAATGCTTTGGGAATTGATTTTTACTAATATTTCATGTTCTTTGCTTACCCACCGCCTGGCTGAAGCGTCCCGTGCGTTGCTGTGCTCACCCCGGTCCCGTCCCTGTGGATTTTGTGTCCCTTCGTGCCCCCGGGGCTGGATTCCTGCTGCCCTGCCCCACCTGGAGCTGCCCTCGAAAGATTTGCCTGTCACTCGGTCACAAAATGAGCCCCGTTACCAGGCTTTGTGCCACTAGAGGAGGCTTAGGCCGTGCCAGGAAGAGAAATGGGAATGTTTCTGCGTCCGAATGTGGGACCAGCTGCTGGGGGAGCAGCGTGAAATGGGGAAGGACGTCAGAGCCATGCCCCCAGGTCACCCCCTGCCCTCGTAACCAGCAGCTCTCACTGGGGTCCTTGCAGCAGGCACCAAAGGGACCAGCAGGAAGCTGCCACCAGCAGGATTCTCCTGGAATTTTCTCGTGCAGTGCACCCCGATAGCCTCAATGAGCCGCTCCGAGTCCATTTCCAGCTCTTTCTGACTAATTTCTGATGAATGGTGCTGTTACTTCCTCCAGCAAACCATCCCCGGGGATTTCGGTTCCAGCTCTGCCCCCTGCACGGCCCTGCCAGACCCCAACCGAGCTCCTCCACCCCGCAGCACGGCTTCCTTCCTCACGAGTGGATTTGGCAGCTGACAGCCTTGTATTTAAATGTTTGATGCCCGTGTCAGCTTCCACATCTGGTGGGGGATTTGAGGGGTGCGAGGGGCTTGCTGTCAGGCAGGGCAGTGCCTCTGGGATGAGATCAGAGCTCTCAGCACCGTTTGTTGAAGTGTGGGGCTGTCTGCCCTAAAAAATCAGACATCTTGCCCCGTTTTCAGCGGGCTTTATTGACTTTACCAGTGATGGCAAGCGTGCTTTTGGTAGCTAGGCTGGATTTATAAAAAGTAGGAGGCTTAAATGGGTGGTGCAGCCTCAACAACTGACACCAGCCTGGTCTTGGGGAGGCCCAGCAGAGAGCTGCTCTGTGACCGGTGTCCTTCCAGTGCGTCCCAGTCTTAAATGGGCACAAACTGGGGCATTTCTTTGTCATACAGGGAGCACCAGCACAGCTCCTGGCTGCCTCTGCCAAAAAGTCCTCCGAGCGTCTTCAGGCCCCGAATGGTTTGCAACGACCTCGGTGAGACCTTCCCAGGGTCCTGAGCTCCGATTGTTGAATTTTTAACAAAAAAATGAACGTGGGGACAGCAGGGGAGCCGAGCTGACTCCCAGGGTTGTGCTTTAAACGCAAAGTGGTGCTTCCAGAAATCGAGACTTGGGGATGTGCTTAATTTAGGCCGCACGGGTGACCTTGTAAATCCGTCAGCTGTTCGCAGCGGCGATGGCTAGCGCCGTGCGAGGGGCCACGGGTCGTGGAAGTTCTGCCCCACGCGCTGCGGGAGGAGCCCTCGCTGCGGGGCCGAGGGGAGGAGGCCCTGAGCTGATAGGGAGCACGCCGCCTTCCTTCCCCCTGGGGGAAGTTATCTCTGCAGCCATAAGCCAGGAACTCGGTGCCCAAAGTGGCGAGATGTGTGCGGGGTGTTAGTGCTCCTGGAGGGGCCCAGCGGTGCTGTGCTGTGTGAGGGGGGGCAGGCAGGCGGCTTCCAGGGCCCGACGAACGATCCCAGACCTGTGGCTGGGCTCCAGCTTCTCCTTTTCAGCAGCTTTTAATGATTAACTTCAGTATTTTTATAGTATCTTGAGATTTTAACCTTTGGTTTTTTTATTTTTCTCTCTGCAGTTGGAAGAATCTTGAGGCCTGCCTGAGGCCTTTCTCCCCTGTCCAGCCTCGGAGTTCGGGTAGCCCCTGGTTTCAGACATCTCCTCACTCCCACCTGCCAACCTGTCTGATATGTCGGGACCCGTGCCGAGCAGGGCCAGGGTTTACACGGATGTGAACACACACAGACCCCGGGAGTACTGGGACTACGAGTCGCATGTTGTTGAGTGGGGGTAAGTCCCGGGGCTGCACCGGGCTCTTTCGTGCTCTTTGGCAGACGCCGTGTGTGCGTGGCATGTGTTGGGATCTCAGCTTTTCTTTGGGATCGCAGATGGTAGAATAACCTGTTGCGTACCTGAGAGTGTTTCTTGTCAAAATTTTAGATCCCCAGCAGCGCGAAAGCATTTTTAGCATCTCCCTTGAGAGATTGGTTTGAGGAGTTTTTGCCAGGTAGCCAGGAAACTTGTCCTCCCAGAGGGAAAGAAGTCTTTTTTTCTCTGAAACACGCTAAATGGTCCTGGGTGTAGGGCCGAAATGAAGTGAAAAGGTTTTTTTTCTGACTTGGAGGAGTGAAGAGGCTCAGCAAACTGAATTAGGTCATGGTGTTTTTTCACTTATTGCTCTGCTCTCTGCAAGTGACTACAAAAGACACACGAACGCTCCTCCTTGAAGGAAGGAGGCGTCTAAATTGATCTCATGACTGAACCGTCCAAGAATCAGATGGCAGCGCTGCCAGTTTCCTAGCTCTGTGCTCCTGCTTTGTGCAGCAGGGCTCGGGCTGAGGCCTGGCCTCAGCTTTGCTGCAGTTCCACTTTCCTGAAGTGCGAGCTGGCTTCTGAGTGTTGTGGTGCCTCGTGCCCAGTCTCTTTCTAAGTGGGCCAGCCCTGAAGTTTTGGCCTTAATGGCTTTATTGATATTTTAACGTTGTGTTAGGGAAAACGTAGCTTCCAAATCTACGGACTGCTGAAAGGCATGGCTCAAGTTTGCTGAAATGCAGATGGGCTCGTGTCCCTTACTGCAAAAGAAACAGTTTGTGGATTGAATCTGACTTGGGCAAAGAGAAGCTGCCTGTTTCTTAATTCTTAATCATCACATTCCGATTTCAGGTGCTCGTTAAGCCACCTTGTCTGCAAGGTGAGTCAGTGATTGAGGAGTGCCATGTGAACTCTGATGCAAATGATGAACTCTTGGGAACTTTACCTTTTTATCTCCGCAGGAATCAAGATGACTACCAGCTAGTTCGCAAGTTAGGCCGGGGCAAATACAGTGAAGTATTTGAAGCCATCAACATAACAAATAATGAAAAAGTAGTTGTTAAAATTCTGAAGGTGAGCAGGGATTTGGGCAAAACGTGGAGTCTGTCTTGAGGTGTTTGGTTGGTCAGAAAATACAGCATTTGGTCTAAAATGCTTTTATGTTCTAAAACTGAAATCCTTAAAGTCTGGCTTCGGAGCCTCGTTCGGTGAAACGGGCTGTTATTTTAACCTCCTAATAAGAAACCCTGTGCTTCGTTACTGAGTTAAATTTCTGCCTGCAAGGAATTACCCTTTATCGTAAAGAAGCCCTGATGTGCAACACATTTTTACTTGGAGCTAGAAAAGTCTTCAAGAGCTGACCAGAGAATTCTCACCTCCTCCAACCACCAGTGCCCTGGCGTGCTTTCAGGTGGATGGAGGCCTCTGAGCTAAGGGGATCGTTGTCCTTTAAAGCCAGCGATTAAACTCACTGACTGCTAACCTTAAATTTTTCATTTCTGCTCTGCACGTTCCGTTGTAGCCGTAATATCTTTCCAGACTGAGTTAGGGTCTCCTGGAAACGGGTTGTTCCACAGACGGGATTGGTGAAATGCCTTCGTTTAGTGGCCCTCAGGTAGCTGGAGGACTTCTCAGAGTTAGACATTTACCACACGCCAGTTAACAAGTTTTTGACTATTGGATCATGTTCAGACAACTTTTCTTTTTTTAAAAAAATTAAAAAGCCAAATTCATAACCCTTTTTCACATGAAACTGATGTTTCTGGCTGTCAAGAATGTATCATAAGAAAGGAGCCTGCAGATGCTTGAACCCTTAACTGGAATGATGCATAGTCAGGTAACAAATCCAGCTGTTTGAACTTAATTTGCAAAGCTTCTGATGTATTTTGTGACCTTACGTTCACATACCTTTGTCATCTAGACGTTGAGCTATTTGCCTCACTTTACTGGGACACTTTGTCTTATGCTTTGGGTTTCTATTCTTCAGCCTGTTAAAAAGAAGAAAATCAAGCGTGAAATCAAGATCTTAGAAAACTTGCGAGGCGGTCCCAATATAATCACTCTTGCAGATATAGTAAAAGACCCTGTGGTGAGTATGGAAGGAACCCAGAGGGTTCCTTGGGGTCATGGGTGAAGTTGCTGTGTTTGGCTTCAGCTCTGATTTGGCTTTTTGTTTTCTCCTGCTCTTAAATCGTGCTTTTGAATCCCGTAATCAGATCACCCCTTAATCTGATTAACTCCTTGTAGAGGCCCTTCCCCTGCGGGTCACTTTAGCCCCTCGCTCTGTAAGGAGGAGGTACCAGTGAACTGAGACATGTTCATTTGTTCTGCAGGCAGTACTGCTGCAGGCTTTGGCTCTGTTCCCCCTATCTGAGGGCAATTGCAACCATGTCTGAGGCAGAGGGGGGTTTTAGAGTAAAAATGATTGAATTATCCTAAATGAAAGCAATTTATCTCAACAAGACTTTTTTTCTGTTTCAGTCTCGGACCCCTGCTTTGGTTTTTGAACATGTAAACAACACAGACTTTAAGGTACGGTATGGGTTGTGCACTTCTAATATTTTCCATTCGAAAGCCACTTGTAATCTTGTTCTGGGAAGAGGCAAGTACGTAGGGGGCAGGCAAGTTCTTTACTCACTTCCTTCCGCCATACCAGCTGTCTTTAAAGATGAATTTACTTGGGAAGTAAAGTAGAAGTTTGTAATTAGTCCCTTAGCACCATTTTGCCACAGAAGTTACACGATGAGAATCCGGATTCCAAGTGGTATTGTAACCCTTGGAGCAAATTCCTGTTACCTCTTGGCCCGCCGGTGCCTGTCGTAGCTTTACTCGGGCTGAGAGCACCCTTGGCCTTTTTTGAGACCCCGTCTGCAGGCTCAATGCCTCGTGCTGCTGGTGGGCAAGTGCAGCCCGAGGGAAGTAAGCTGTGTATGTGATTTGTAAGGAGAGAGGAACAGACTGAACGTCTGTGGGATCAGGGTAACTGGGGGAAATGTTTACTGGCCATTCAAGTGGGCTTGGAGGACTGCAGCAGCAGAGAACAGGGCTGGGTTTTTCTGGATTGGCACGGACGTGGTGTTTGTCCTCAGTGTTCAGCGCTGATGTAATGTGTTTGTTTCCCACAGCAATTATACCAGACATTAACAGATTATGATATTCGATTCTACATGTATGAGATTTTGAAGGTGAGTTGGTGTTTTGCTGCTTCAACGGGTTGTTTTTAGGATTTGTACTCAGCTAATCCTATAGGGATGGTTGTGTTGTCACACTAATGGGGGAAAGGGAAGAGAGCCTATGGAAGAATTACATAGAAAAATCTACATCGAGTCAAATATCAATTGTTTAGCCTCGTTTCTGCAACAAATTCTAGTCCTCTTTTGAGGATAGGAAATTGTTGTTTGGATACACTGAGATAACTCTGGATCCTAAATCAAAAGCCTCTGAAAACAGAAAACTGTAAACTGTAACTGGCTGGGTTTTTGCTTTAATGTCATGTGGGTCGGGTATATTTGTTCCTCTGAAGCAATTATTTTCCTCTTAGGAGTCTGGGGAAGGGGATGCTTTTTTTTTTCACTAGGGCCTATTAGAGGCTCTGGAATTCCATTTTTATGAGGAAGCAGATGAGGTGAAGCCAAACGCTTCTGTTGCTGATGCTTAATTTTGAGAGGGGGCTCTAGAGGTATTGTCTGTGAGTCTAGTCAAGGATGTAACCCTGGGCAGCAGAGTCGTGCTACCTAGTTAGCCTTGATACACGTGGAACATTCACTTCTGAATACGATTGAACCTGCAAGGTTCTTGCTATTCGAGTCCTTTGCTTTCACTTACAGGCTCTAGATTACTGCCATAGCATGGGAATCATGCACAGAGATGTGAAACCTCACAACGTCATGATTGACCATGAGCACAGAAAGGTAACGGGGCAGGGAGGGGTCCTGCTTTTTTTCTCTGGGGAGACCAGGGCTTCGTTTTGGGTACTGCTGTGTAGAGGTACTAGCAGATAAATTCAAGGGAGACTGCGCTTCTATCATGTGAAAAAACTTAAATCCTGTAATGGATTTCTAGAGGGCTGGTAAGGAGAGGAATTTTATTTAGACCAGTTGATGTTGGTGTGGGGAGAATACCTAAAGAGAGATTCCAATCTGCTTTAAAGTAACCGAAAATAGAAAACTTGTAAATGAAGCTTCCAGCTAAACTCATTTATAGTGTGTTTCAGAAAATGGAGAGCTGGTGCATCCCTTGAGCCATTTTTCTTTGTTTTCTTCTGCTGTTTCTAGCTTAGACTAATAGACTGGGGTTTGGCTGAATTCTATCACCCTGGCCAAGAGTATAATGTCAGAGTGGCTTCCAGATATTTCAAAGGACCTGAGCTCCTGGTAGATTATCAGGTAAGAATTACCAGCATTTATCACCGACGTGTGTACAGAAAGCCCGTGCCATTTCAAGGCAGTGAACGAGAAATTCAGATATTTAGAGACCTATTCTAAAATATATTTAAAAGGCTTTAGAGCCACTGATTAAAGAAACCAGTGAATTATCTGAGGACGAGCTGCAGAACTGTTGTCATGGATCCTGGAATACAACTGTTGGATTTTTTTTTTTTATCAAGGCCGCTTTTGCAGTAAGTGACAGGAATGAAACAAAGTCCTCGGGAGAATAGCTACTGCTGTGTGAACTTGTAAAGCTATAAAAACATCCCATAATCCGATGGCAGCTTGCATTATGGAAATGCTGTGGGCTGGAAATGTCAGTGTTAGTGTTAGACCTTGTGGAGTCAGCACTTTGTGTTGCTTGCCATTAGGCTTCCCTTCTCCGCCCGTGTCTCTCCGTGATTGATAACATTTGAAGGCTGCACTGAGAGTAGGAAGAGGCACGGGGTCTTTGATATCTTTATGGAGAATGATGGAAATGGGATCCCTGCGGTTCTGCTAATTGCTGTAATCCCAGTTTGAGTGACTGGGAAAGCGAGCTGAGCAGAGGTCTGGTGATAAACATGTGTCAGTCTGTTCCCAGTGTCACATGCCACGTTTGTACCACTGGGGAGGGAGGGGGGGCTGTTGGTATTGGAAGTCTTTTCTGCTTAATTCATTAGAAATTGAATTGTCCTTCTGGTTTTGTACAGATGTATGATTACAGTCTGGATATGTGGAGCTTGGGTTGCATGTTGGCTAGTATGATATTCCGAAAGGAGCCATTTTTCCATGGCCATGACAACTATGATCAGGTGAGAGCTGGTCATGTTCAATCTCTGTTCTCTGGGAAGGAAGGTTTTCTGCTCGTGCTTCTATCAGGGGATCCAAAGAAGAATTTAAGTATTTCTCTAATGGCTTTTTTGCTCGGTTTGAAGCCACGTTCCTTCTTAAAAGCATGCGATATTGTCTAATCCAGTAAATAGAAAGAGATTTGCTTTGTATTTATGAACTCAGTAGGTATCTGGAAAAGTTATAACCGTAGTTATATTAAGGCTGGTGTGTTCTGGTATATAGACCTGCTCCTCCTGAGGTCACATATTACGTGAAAAGCCCCTGCCCTGTCCACCTTTAAGCTTTAGTGTCCAGAGAACTCAGCTCCCTCCAGGCTGCCTTGGCTTCCTGAGCCCCAGCTGAGCAGAGCCGTGTTTCTGGTGCCTGTGACTGCTTTGCTGGAGCAGTCGGAGCCACGAGATGACCCCGTGGCTGCTGGCTGGGACCACTGAGACCGCATTCAAGCTCCAGGGGAATGTGCTGCAGTGTCTTTATGCTGGCTCTGGTATTCCCTCACAGCAGTGACTTGTTTTTGTTTGCTCCTAGCTGGTGAGGATAGCCAAAGTGCTGGGCACAGAAGACCTCTATGACTACATTGATAAATACAACGTCGAACTGGATCCACGTTTCAATGACATCCTGGGCAGGTGAGCCAAATTCTGAAGTAGCCTAAATGCTTGTGAGTTCTTAATTAGACCTGGACATCTGCTGCTTTGTCAGCAGAGCTTGAAGGAAACAAAAAAAACTTCTGCTGAAGGGAGAACTTGGAGCCAGGACCCTTAAGGCCTGGTACTTTGTGCCTTCAGTCCCTTTTGCCAGTGCTGCCTGTGGGCCTTTAGCTGCAGCTGCACTTGAGGAAAGATTTTTAAATATCATCTAGGTAATAAATGAAGTGCCAGAGTATAGACCATGACGAGCAAACACTACTTTCAGAATTGTAGCAGAAAAATAAGAGAAATTTACGTTTCTCGGGACTGCAGTACAGAAAACCAGTTGCTGCTGATAGCATTTCTATACCTTTTTCCTTGTGACATGTGCCAAAACTGCAAGGAACAAATGTTGGGGGGTTATAAAAGAGCAGAACCTGAGATTTCAGGCTTATAATTTAATTCCAAACTTGTTTTCCCGTGCTGCCACAGCTGTGGCGCTGTGCCGCCGCGTGGTGACACAGCGTACTGCTGCTCTGCTTTTCCCTGCCTCTGCCCCCTTGCTGCCACACCAAGCAGCACCCTGTTTGGGAGGTGGGCAGCTGGTGCAGTCCTTGCTTTTCGAAAGTGAAGTCCTCTGCCTGGTTTCATTCGGGTATCCGTTTGTTTTCCTGCAGACACTCCCGTAAGCGATGGGAGCGCTTTGTTCATAGCGAGAACCAGCACCTGGTGAGTCCAGAAGCTCTGGATTTCTTAGATAAGCTGTTGCGATATGATCACCAGTCACGACTCACAGCAAGAGAAGCCATGGAACACCCCTACTTCTGTAAGTACCGGCTCTTACTGTGCAAACAGCTCCTCCTCTGCCTCTGGGAAATCTCCATTCCAGTCAGTTGTGCAGATAAGAGCCAAGAAGGGCAACATAATAAGCCTGGGCTTTGTGAATAATTGTGATGGAGCTGAAACTACTTGATTCTGTGGTGGGCAAAGTAGGCCACTGCCACCTGCAGCTGCTGAGGAAACTGTGATGTGCCTGTGTCAGGCCAGTGAATCAGCAGCACGGTGTTAAAAACTCCTTGGTGCTAAGCCCGTGCTAATTTCAGCAGGTGTCTGGGCGTACCGACTCCTGTGTTGGATAAAACCAGGTAGCTCTGGTTTGAAAAACAGGCCCTGTTAATTCACTTAGTGGCTAAATATGTATCTTAGTGGATGGTGTATCGAGATCTTGCTTTTGCATGTGAAAATGAAACTTGCACTGGTAAACACGTTCGAATGTTTGCCGATTCCTCACACATCTCAAGATGTGGCTTTCTGGGAACAGCTGTGGAGCAATGCCAGTACGAACATTTGCTCGGTTCAGCTGAAAGCTTTGAAAGTGAGAGTTGGAGAAACAGCTGAATTTGTCAAAATACAGATGCAGGGTGTACTGAACTCAGTGTGGGGAAGGACACATCCGAAATTCCCTCATCTGCTCCAGTAGTTTTGGGAGGGGAAAGGGGTTGATGACGGTTGGTGTTACTTGGTGTAGGCAGCTTGCCAGCCCTGGCTGTGCGCCGAGCTCACGGGCAGGGTGCTTCAGCTGCTGTCTGGCAAGGCGGCACCTAAGGGTGGTTGGTGTGCTCTTCCTAGATCCCATTGTGAAAGACCAGGCTCGGATGAGCTCCTCCAACATGCCGGGTGGCAGCACTCCTGTCAGCAGTGCGAGTATGATGTCAGGTCAGTTCTGCCATTGACTCTTCCTGGTGCGTGGCGTGTTAAAGCCTTTCTACAAGCTGTGTGGGTGGAGGGATCCAAGAGGGTGAGTTCTGCTCCTGGGACTCGGGACGAGGGCAAGGAGGGCCGTGAAGAAGCAGGTGGGAGAGAGAAATGAGGGCTCACCGCAGCCTGACCTGCTTTTCTGGTCTTGCTTGTAAAAAGTGCTTTGCAGGTGGATGTTCTGGCAGTAGCTTGAAGGGCAGTGATCCTGCCACGCAGGGCCACATCTGCCCTTTGTGACGCTTGACCGTACACAAATCTGAGCTGCAGAGAGCAGTAAAAGATCTTTCATCTCCTCTAATTTCGGAAGCTCTGAAAATACAACCAAGTGCCACCAAACTGACCTCCAAAGCCACCAGCCTTTGGGAAGCTGAGCAGTTCCAACCGTCCTAATGCCATGCACCGGTTTCCCTCTAATTCTTCCTTGCCTATCTCTGTTCCAGGGATTTCCTCAGTGCCAACACCTTCGCCCCTTGGACCTCTAGCAGGCTCGCCCGTCATTTCTGCCACCACCACGCTGGGGATGCCCGTTCCAGCTGCTGCCGGCGCTCAGCAGTAGTGATGGGCTCTGCCGAGTCAGGTGGGGAAGAGGTTTCCCCCTCCGCCTCTCCTCAGGACGCAGCTCGTGCCTGGCAGGGGAAGGGAGGGGATGAACGCTTTGGAGGCACCGTGTCTGAACTGTTGCTTGTGGATTTATAGTAGTTCAGTCATTATATACAAAATTATTATAGGCTGATTTTTTTCTTTTTTTTTTTTTTTTTTTTTTTTACTTGAACTTTTCGTAACTCAGGGGATTCCCTGAAAATACCTACAGATGGAATATTTCTTGGACAGTTTCCCACCCCACCCCACCTCACCCACTCCCCTCCCCCTTAAAAAAAAAAAACACAAAAAAACACAAAAAACTCCTCATTTAAGAACAAAGCCGAATCGACAGCATTTCCCAGCTCTTGCATCCTGCTGGAAATCTCTCCACCTTCCCACATTCCTCCTCCACCAGCCTAAGGCCCTGGGGGCTCGTGCTGCCCGGAGCCCCCCACCCCAGGTCTCCGTGAGGCAGGAGGGGGGGGCTCCTGCACCCCGGTTTTGCTCGGGGCCCGCTGAGGAGACACCCCCGGTGCACAGAGAGGTGGCTTAAGTCTAAAAGATGCCTCTAAACCTCTAAAAGATTGACTCCTGGCTCCCCCACGGTGCCGCCTCACCCCTTTGCATGTAATTTTAGTCTTAAAACCACGGAATTACGAACCAGGAGGTTCCTCAACCACCACGCTCCTCATCCCACTGCTGCTCGGGGGGAGGAGGCAGCGCCCTGCTCTGCTCCTTTCCCCCCCCCCCCCAGGACCTTTCCTACCCCTCAAGCTCCCCATTTCTTCTCAACAAATCTCATTTTTAAGCCATTTCTCTAGGTTTTGAACCCGTGGCTACCTGAGAGCTGCAGCACCCGGGGTCAGACCCAAACCCCCCCAAATTCTGCACCCCCAAATTGTTCGCCCCCATCCCAGCCTGTGCCACGGGTGGAGGCCACCGGTGCCCTGGGTGTCCCCTCAGTGTCCCCTTTCAGTCCCCTCACGGTGCCCGGGGGGCCAGGAGCCAGCAGCAGCCACCGGGTGCCCTGGGTGGGGGTCCCTCAGTAACCCCCCCCCCCTTTATCCCGGCCCCGCTGTGTATATAATCTCTTTGTCCTTCATATGTGAAAGCTCCAGTGTTGGAATTTTGGTGTAAATAAACATTTGGTTTTATTTATCGAGGTCACATTGGCGGCTCCCTGTCTCGGGGGCGGCTCCCGTCACACACAAACACTGAGGTGAGGGGTGGGGGGGGGGGGGGGGCGCGGTCGCCTCATGAGGGGAGTTTGGAGGGGGGAGGGGGGAGGGGGGAGGGAGAAGGGAGGGGGCGGGGCTTGCGCGGGGTGGGCACTGCGCATGCGCAGAGCGCGGCGCCACGCGGCGGCGCATGCGCGGTGCCGCCCCGTGACGCGAGGCCGCGCGCCGGTGGCGGAGGGGCGGGGGTGGGGGGCGGGAGCACCGGGAGAGGCCCCGGCCTGGTCCCGGTCCCGGTCCCGGTCCCGGTGCTGGGCCCAACCCGGCCCGGTATGAGCCCAGGGATATGGCCCGAAGGAGCCCGCCTCGGAACGGGGGCGGCGGACACGGTAGGGGCCGGGCTGGGCCTTGGTGGTTCCGGTACCGGTAATACCGGAGGGGGGGGTGGGGGGGGGGGCGGTGTGTGTGTGAGGGGGGCACGGGGCTGACAGGGAGGGGATGGGGGGGAGGGGAACCGGGGGGAATCCGGTACCGTGGGCAGCGCCCGGTACCGGGGGTGGGACCGGGCCCGGCCCCCGCCGAGCCCCGGGACACGGGGCCCGACCCCCCCCTGAGCCCCCCCCCCCCCGAGGCCTTGAGGCCCGTACCGGCCGCCGTTAATGGGCTGTGGGCCGGGCCCAGCCGCCGTTTTACCGGGAGACCCCCCCGGGGCTGCCCCCAGCCCGGTAACGGGACCCCCCCCCCCCCCCCTTCCCGGGGCTGATTCGTGCTCCCGGGGCTTCTGCTGGGGGGGAGGGGGCGCACCGGGGGCTGGGGATGTCCCCGGGGCTGCACCGGCACCTGTTGGGTGCAGCAAGCTGTTTTGGGTGGTTTTCACCCAAAAAGTGCCTAAAAATGGCCATTTTGGGGGCAGGACAGCAGCTTTGGACCCTGCCCCCGGTGCCACCCAGCAGAGCACCGGGTGGCAGCGGGCACCGATGGGACCCCCCCCAAAAAACCACAGGGCTCGTCCCGATCCCCCCACCCCCCATTGAGGTCCTCGTCCCTTTGGGTCCCGGTACCGGGTCTGGGGGGCAGCCAGGGCCCGTCCCGCTGTGTCCCTGTGCCACCTCCCCCCTTGGTGTCCCCCCTCCTCTGTCCCTTCTCCTATGGTGACCCCCTCCCCGTTCTCTCCTCGCAGATTTCGACGCCAAAAAGAAGAGGAAAGTGGCGGAGATTTACCAGGCCCTGAACAGCGACCCCATCGACGTGGCCGCCCTCAGGCGCATGGCCATCAGCGAGGGGGGGCTCCTGACGGATGAGATCCGCTGCAAAGTGTGGCCGAAGCTGCTCAGCGTCAACACCGACGAGCTGCCCCCCCTGCCAGGTACGGAGCGGGGCTCGGAGGCTCTCCCTCACCTTCCCCCCACACAGATTTCCCCCCCTGAACCCATGTGGGAAGGGGATTTGTGGAGCAGGAGGTGCTCAGCTTCCTAAAACAACCCTGTGGGGGCCTTGTTATCTGCAGGGACGGCGCTGGAGACAAATTTGCTCTCGATGGGGTTCTTGTGGAAAGTATCAGACTTAATTTCTGTCCTTCCAGCCCCGAGGCGGGCCGGGATACCCCGAGGGGTGTCTGCCAGGCGTAGCTGAAAGAGTTTGCACCAAGCTTGCGTGGCGTTTGGTCAGAAGAGAATTTAATTTCCTTTTGTTTCATTTTTATGCCAGCAGAGGTAACTTGGTACGCCAGCAAATTCTTTTCCCTTCTGTTGTAGCCATCGCAGCTACCAGTTGTTTTTGTTTTTTTTTTCCCCTGGATTTCTTCTTTTAGCAAAGCATTCCCCATGGTGTGCCTCGCTGCTGCGAACCTGGAGCCAGGATGCTTCTAGGGGCTCTGGGAGCGGTGTCCAAGTGTCCTAACGTGTGTTATTTCACAAAATAATGGTTTGGTTTCCTCACGCTGAGTGCTTCTCGTGCAGCAGCAAGGGCTGGCGTGATGCGGGGAGAAGGGGACGTGCACGGCCTCGTCCTCCTGGCTCCTGCAGGCTTCTCCCTGCTCCCTCTCCCCGCTCTGTTAACCATTTTCCTCTTCTTCCCAGCAGGAAAGGAGCTGCGAGAGGACAACAAGGATTACCAGCAGGTGCTGCTGGACGTGCGGCGCTCCCTGCGCCGCTTCCCCCCAGGTGAGAGGGGCACACGGGGGGGCAGAGGGGCTGCCTGCGGGCGGTGATCGGAGCAAATTCTGCTTTAGAGCTTCTAGGAAGCCGTGGTTGTTGGTGATCAGAGCAAATTTTGGTTCAGAGCGGGCTCAGAGTTGGGTTTCCCTCCATGCCTCATGCAGCAGATCAAAGAGAGCCCCCAACCTTCGGAAGCGGAACGCCTCTGCAGTTGTTTAGTTCTGCTGGGGGCCCTGCTGGGCTATTTATAAAAGCTGTAATCCAGCAGCTCCCTGACTGCAGAGCAGTCGTTATTTCTGGCCAGAAGCTGCTTCCCCCTTCTGCTGCCTTTGTTTTTGCACAAGCAGTTGATTCACTGCGATTCTCGGAGCGCTCGAGCCCGGCTCCTGAAGGGTCTGCTGCTATTTCTGTTTTTTTTTTTCTTTTTTTCTGCCCTTGAATGGCAGCCTCCTGCCTATTTTTAGAAACATCAGCGAAGTAGGGGAAAAGGAGAACTTTGTCACTGCGGGGACCTCCGCTGGGACTTTCTGCTTGGCCTCTGGGCATTTGATCTGTTGACAGGGGCTGCCAAAACCCGGCTGCAGCTGTGCGTGGCAGGAACAATGTTTTTCCCGTGACATCCTGTCCCTAAACACGTGTTGTTAGCAGAAGACCGATATAAAACCGAGCTGATTGAGGCCTCGCAATCTGAGGCAGCTGGCACGCTTTCTGTGAAAACGGGTCCCGTCTCATTTTTTCCTAGAGCCCCTGGGAAATTAAAAATGATTAAAATGTCCTCAGCAGCGCTGGCTGCGCCGCGCAGCTCGCTCCTCGCAGCGCTGCACAAACATCTGTGAAAACCTCCCCGTCTTCCACGGTGACACCTCCCCAGGTAGGGGCCCTGCAGCAACCAGGATTACCAGGACTGGCCGGCGGAGTTTTGGGGGCAGGATTAGGAACCTGGATCTCTTTGTGCTTATTTCACCCCCCCTCCCTGTTGCACCACATCCTCCGTGACAGGCGGGCAGATAAACGTGCCGCGGGTCCTCCCCAGCCTGTCACCCCGCTGCTGTCCCCGCAGGGATGCCGGATGACCAGAGGGAAGGGCTTCAGGAGGAGCTGATCGATATCATCCTCCACGTCCTCCAGCGCAACCCCCAGCTGCACTACTACCAGGGCTACCACGACATCGTGGTCACCTTCCTGCTGGTGGTCGGCGACCGGCTGGCCACGGCTCTGGTGGAGAAGCTCTCGACGCATCACCTCAGGTACTGGGGGGGCTGAGGAGCTGGTGTGAGCCCCCTGGGGGCTCACGGGGGGCTGTGGGGGCTCACGGGGGGCTGTGGGGGCTGCCCCAGAGCGTGGTGCAGGAGCCTGCGAGGCAGAGCTGCAGCCTGGGGTTGGCACCCATCGTGTCCATCCCCAGAGGGGTGCTGCTGCGTGAGAGCACGTGGAGCTGCAGGGAGCTGTGCTGTGGGGAAGGGATAATTGGTGTTGGTTAATTTAGATCATCCTGCAGACGAAGCAGTGGTGCACATGCATTATTCACAGTGCCCGGGCTGTCTCTCCTGTCAGGGCCTCTCTGGCTCCCAGGGCAGCGCTTCCCACTCAGAGCCCTGGGCAGTTTTGTGCTCAACGTGTGGTCTGCCCAGCCCTGAGCCCCGGGGTAGGTGCTTCTCCTGGCTGGGCACCGAAATGGGAACAAGCCCTCGGCCAGGGAGTGCCTCAGAGGGATTTTCCCCCTTCAAAGTTGGGTTTCGGGTGCTGGAAAGGCTTTAGGGCTCGCACATACCGCAGAGAAAGAAGTGTCAGCTGGCACCACAGCGAAAATCTGGGTCCCAGATTTTGGATCCAAACCTTTGGATCCCAGATCTCTGTGCCCCTGTCAGCGGGGAGGGGACAAGCCCAAAAACAGAAAATGTCCTGGGGCTGGAGGCCACCCTACCAGCAGAGCTGATTATTACAAGTACATTTATTTCCCTTCTGGCTTCCTCCCCCGAGGAGAGCTCGCTGACCCCATGGCTTGACGGAATTCTTTTTAAATCTTTTTTTTTTTCCCCAGGGATTTCATGGACCCAACGATGGACAACACCAAGCACATCTTGAATTACCTGATGCCCATCATAGACCAGGTGAACCCCGAGGTGCACGACTTCATGCAGAGGTACGCACACCAGGTTACTGCTCCCAGGGCCAGTAAACCCCAGTACCCCCCAGTACTGCACCAGTAACCCCCAGTACTGCACCAGCAAGCCCCAGCACCGCCGTGGCTTCAGAATAAGTTGGCCCAGAGCTGGTGGAACAGGCCAAAGCCACGCGGAGCTCTGCTTCCAAGCAGACCCAAACGTATCCTGCCTGTACTGGGGGGTTTTCAGTGGCAGCATCTTCCCCCCAGCGGTCCCTATGGAGTAGCTGGGGGTTGTAGATTTTGCCATATAGGCAGAATAAAGCAGAAGCAGGGAGGTAAGTTGGAAAATTCAGCCAGGAGTCCTTTTCTGGGCGAGGCTCTGTTCCATTTCATGGCCAGAATGACCAAGTTGGATTGCAAATTCCCAGAAATGGGTTAAGTTTGAGGGTGGAAAAGAATCTGACAAGTTGGCCGTGCTTCTGGATGTCAGGTGTCACCAGGCCAGGGTGCCAGATAACCCTCACATCGGGGTGCTCCCAAAAACAGGCAGTTTGGCCCTTCATCCTGGGCGCACCCTGCCCTGGGGGGGCCGGTTTTGGGCTGGAGGTGAGCCGAAGCAGTGGAAGCACCTTGATTTGGGTGGGTGTCAGAGGTCGGTGGATGTGTGCTGAGCTCCAGATGCTCCTCTGACAGCCGGGGCTGTCTCCTGGGAGCGGAGACACCGGGCAGGGACCTCCAGGGATGATTTTGGCACTCCCTCGGGGCCACCCTAACAGCTTCTCCCTCCCTACAGTGCCGAAGTGGGAACCATCTTTGCTCTCAGCTGGCTGATCACCTGGTTTGGGCACGTTCTGTCCGATTTCAGGCACGTGGTGCGATTATACGACTTCTTCCTGGCCTGCCACCCCCTGATGCCCATTTATTTTGCTGCCGTGGTAGGTGCTGGCTGGAGGGACGGGGGTTGGGTTAACCAAACCACGGCGGGGTGCTGGGTGGGGGCTGCCGAGGGTGAAACCATCACCCTGCTGTGCCCTGTCCCAGCGGGGCAGTGCTTTGGGGCAGCGTATCCCCTCAAAAAAGGGCAGGTTTTCCAAAAAGGAGTGAAATTCTTTCTTCTTCTGGCTCTGAAATGTGTTCTGGCGGGTGACAAGGAGTCATCCCTGCTTCCCTGGCCGTGCTCAGGGCTCTCGGTCCTCCCCGCAGATCGTGCTGTACCGGGAGCAAGAAGTCCTGGACTGCGAGTGCGACATGGCCTCTGTGCACCACCTCCTGTCCCAGATCCCACAGGACCTTCCTTACGAGACTCTGATCAGCAGAGCCGGGGACCTTTTTGTCCAGTTTCCTCCATCCGAGCTTGCCAGGGAGGCAGAGCAGCAGCAGGCTGAACGGTGAGTGCAGGGAGCACGGGGAGCATCTGTGTCCTGCGTGGTCCCCCGGCCGGGTCCTCCCTTGGTGGAAGGAGCACTCCTCGTCCCCCTGGGTCACTCCTCGTCCCCCTGGGGTGCTCCTCATCCCCCTGGGTCACTCCTCGTCCCTCTGGGGTGCTCCACATCCCCCTGGGTCACTCCTCGACCCTCACCTTCTCTTGCAGAACCGCGGCTTCCACTTTTAAGGACTTTGAGCTGGCGTCAGTGCAGCAGAGACCGGACACTGTGTTGAGACAGCGCTTCAGGGAGCGGCTCCGAGGGGAGGAGAGGACAAAATCCATCCTGACCAAGCCCAGGACCAACCGCTTTGTCAAGCTGGCGGTGATGGGGCTGACGGTCGCGCTGGGAGCAGCCGCCCTGGCCGTGGTGAAGAGCGCCCTGGAGTGGGCGCCCAAATTCGAGCTGCAGATTTTCCCCTGAAGCCCGAGGCCGTGCTTTTCCCCCCCGGTCTGCGCGCCCCGCGCCGATTTGGGACGATGGTGGCAGAAAGGACGTGTCTGGAAGCGACCTCCCTGAGGGTTTCTGTTCTTGGCCTTGGCAGGGGACTGGTGGTGAGCAGCCCGGGAGGATTTCTGCCCGCACCCACGCTCGCCTCGTCCCCTCAACCCCGTGCAGGTGACCACGAGGGCTCTGCCCAAGCGATCCCACGGCCTCTGCTGGAGGAGGGCACCCCAGCAGGGTGATGTTGTGTGTGTGTGTGTGTGTGTGTGTGTGCAGGGGCGAGGGGCTCTCACACTCCCGAGGAGCCCCCTGGCTCCACGTCGCCTCCCGCTGCCGGGGCTGCTGCCTTCTCTCACATCCTCCAGTGCTCTGACCTTTCTCTTCCCTTCAGGCACCTCTGAGTAGAGGCAGTCCTGGCCCAGCGCCCTGCCCTGAGGCCGTCTCCCACACCCAACGCTCCGGGGACTCCGTTTGCTCCCTCATCCTTGTGGTCTGGTCAGTTTGTAGGGCAGGGGACAGGGGACAGGGGATGGGGGCACATCTGTGGGACCGCTGCAGGGAGCGGGGTCCTGCACCAGGTGAGGATGAGAGTCCCTCATCCTCTAGCGCTCCCTGCAGCCTCTCACAGCTCTGGGAGCGGGTTCTGAGGTGGAAAAAGCCTTTTTCCACCTTTTCCAACCAGTTTGCACAAGACAGGAGTCAGCGGTGTAGGAGCCTGTCACAATTCTTCCCCCACAAACTGCCCAGACCAGCATCACCCCCCGGGATAACGTGAGGGATTTCCCCGAAAGACCACCCCGACCCCTGCATCCCCCAACCCCTGCCTGTCCCCTGCCAGCCTGGCTGCTCCCTGCCCTGCCTGGGGAAGCTCAGGCAGTGTTCCCCTAAATATCTCCCTGCCCCCTAAAACAAAGCCAACAGACACTACCTGCCTCTACCTCTCCCCCGAGCTGCTAAACCCTCCCGCAAGTGCCCTTACCTGCCCCCTGCCGCTTCCCCCCCCCTGCTGCCTCGTGCCCAAAGCCGCCTGTGCCGTGCCCGGGGGGGCTGCAAGCCTCAAAAACCAGCGTGGAGGAGTTGCAGATCCCTGGTTATGGAGGAAAACAGCCCCGTGAGGCTCAGCCCCCTCCTGTCCCCAGCCGAATTGTGTGAATTGTGCATGGGGTTGCTCCGGGGGCTCACCCGGTGCAGGGGGGGGGGGCAGCAGGAGCCGTTCCCTCACCCCTGGGGGTGTCCCCGCTGCTCCTGGGGGCTCTGGGATCCCATGGGTGAAGGCAGCGGGGTGCGATCCCTGCTGGACAGCAGCGGTGAGGGGGGCAGGCTGTGACTTAGCACTTTAGATATTGGTGGTACGGGAGAGTTGGTGGTGGCCGTGCCATGAGCCGGGGGTGCTGCCGGGGGTCCTGCCCCCCACCCGGGGCACTTTCAGGCCCCCACTGCCCCCGGCTGAGGGGCAGCTCCCGCAGCCCCGCGCGCTGCCCACCCTGCACTTTAGTTCCTGCGTTGTTTGGGGGCGGGAGGTGGTCTCCTGGGGTGCTTCACTTAACTCTGTACAGACTTATACAGACCTGTGTAAATGCGGATTTGTACAAACCCTCAAAACTGTAAAATAAACACTTAACTAAACCCTTTTTTCCCTCTCCTTGGGCAGGGGCAGCGCCGACCCCCGCAGCGCGTGGGAAGAGGAGCGGGAGCAGCAGAGCCAAAGGAGAGGTTTTTGTGCTGCTGCCGGGGCTGGGGGGACGCCAGGTCCTGCTCGTGCCGCCTGCTCTCCGTCCCCGCTGTCCCCACGCCAGCGGTGCCACCGGGCTGGAAATAACCCGGGGCAGGAGGAGATCCCGGTGCTGCCCGGGCACGGTGCCCCCGGGGCCGTGTTTACCAGCGAGGCCGGGGTTATTTTTATCTTGCTCCGACTTCCTCTCCAGGAGCAATTTTCTGAGCAGTCCTGGGGTAGGAAGGCACCAAGGCACCGGGAGAGGCCCCACAGCGCTGGCTGCCCCCCAGCCCCTTCCCCCTGGGATTGTTGGGGCTGGGGGGACGAATTGGGGGGGCGTGCAAGGTTGGGGAAGAGGAGATGAGCTGGTGGAGGAGGAGATGGGCTCGCTGGGCTTTGAGAGGAGGAAAAATGCCCCTCGGGGGCTGAGCACTGAGGGGCTGGGGTTCAGGGGGTCCGACCCTCGCGGGCAGGACGCTGTGGCAGGACGCTGTGGATGCAGGAGGCACCAAACGGCACGGTGGGGGGGCTGCTGTGGCGCAGGATGGGGGAGAGCTGCTGCTCCTCGTCCTGGGGGCTCGGCGGGACCCCCCCGGCAGGGCTCAGCACGCAGCAGAGGAGCCCCACGGCGCTCAGCACCGCGGCCACCACGCACAGCGCCAGGCCCAGCGCCCAGCACCCGGTTGTAGCGCGCTGCCCGCGGGTCCAGCACCACGAAATCCTCCTCCCCGATGCCCTCCAGCCTGGGGGGCACCAACCAGCCCGTGCCCAGGGCGGCCGCCCCCACCAGCAGGAGCAGGATCCCCGTGGAGAGGCTCACCTGGGGACAGGGGATGGGGCTGGGACACCCAACGGGGCGCAGGGTGCCGGGGTGGGATGTGCCCCCAAGCAGGACAGGGTGGGAAAAAGGATTTAGGGGGGATAAGGGGGGGGTCTTACCTTCCATATAACAGAGGGCCGGGTGCTGGGGGGGCGGGCAGGTGAGGGTTCAGCCCCAACCCCATCCGGGCTGGCCCTGGTGAAGTCCTTGTAGAAGAGGTGGAGGTAGGAGCGCACCCCATACCACTGCCCCTGCGCCACGCCGGGGCCACCGCCACAGCTGCAGGCGGGCATCGGGCCTGGGGGGGGCACAAAAGGGGCAAAGGGGGGGCAACCCCACAGCCAGAGCCCTTCCCGCAGTCACAGCACCCGCGGGGATGAGCCAGGTCCTGCGCCCCCCCAAAACCCTAGGGGTTTGGGGATTGGTGATGGCTGCGTGCGCCTGGCTCATTTTGGGGATCACCAAGAGGGGACCCCAAAAGTTGCCCACGTGCTCAGGACGGCGAGGCCACATCCTTGGGGGTACCGGGGGCATCTTGGGGCTTATCCCATGGGGTTTCCCCAAGGGATGGAATTTGGGGGGGGGGGGGGGTGATGACAGCCCCCTGCCCCATCCTGGGGTGGCTCCAGCCCCGTGCCCGCAGGATCAGGCCCTGCATCAGGCCACCGGAGCCACCCAATCGCCGGTGATGGGGAAGGAGGGGCGGTGGTGGGGGTGAGGGGGGGGACACAGGGGGGTCACTGCCACCGCCGTGCCCCCCAAAAGGCTCGGCAGCCCCTTTGGGGTGACCGCCTCGCCATGGGGCACGGCCACCCCGTCCCTTCCGCCACCCCAGTGGGGCATTGCCATGGGAACTGCCTGCTCAGCCCTTCGTCACCGTCACCGCGGCCCCGCAGCGTGTGCGGGGAGGGGGGGGGACGCTGCTGGGACCCTTTCGGTGCCGGCTGCGAGCTGAACAAAGCCCTGAGCTGGATGGAGAGGGCCGGGGGGGGCTGCCCCCACCGCTGGGGACATCCCGGGGCCACCGTCCCCATGCAGCAGCGGGGTCCTTTGTGCACGCAGGGGGTGCCGCCTGGTTTTGGGGGGGGATACCCTCATCCTGCACCCCCCCCATGCACCCCCAAACAGCCTCCCCATTGCCCACACCCCCCCCCGCTCCCCTCTTACCTCTGGGGGGGGGCTTCAGCGCATCCTTCCCTGTCCCGGTGCCGTCACACCGGCGCTCGCCCTGCTGTCCCCGAGGGCTTCGAGGCAGCGCCAGGCACCGCACGGCTCCCGGGGGGGGGATTTTGGGGTGTCAGGGAGGGGGGAGCAGGGACAGCAGGTCCCTGCTGTGTGGCCAGGAGCTGCCACCACCGTGTGAGTCAGAGCAGGGCCGGTGGTGGGGGCACGTGGCCACTCGGCGAGGCCAGGCTGGGCCCACGGGCACCCCACTGCCCCCCAGGGTGGTCCCGGACCCCACAAAGAAACCCAGACCCATGGGCTGGGGGGGGCGGGGAGAAGGAGGGGAAGGGGCTGCTCTGCCAGGGCCCTGGTGCCATGGGGATCACTGCCAGGCCCCCCCGGTGTTGGCGCAGCCCCACAGCGGGTGCTGCACCATGGGGTGGGGGGCACAGCAGAATGGGACCCCCCCCAGGTACCAGCCCTGGGTGGGGAGGGGATGGGCAGGGAGAGGAGGGGAGGGGAGGGGAGGGCAGGCGGTACCCAGGGATGCTCCGGGCAATCCCTTGTTGCCATGGCAACTGCTGGGGGGGGGAGTGATGCAAGCATCAGTGTGCCCCCCCCCAAATGGACCCCTTTTGGGGCCAGATCACCTGGATGAGTGGGGACCCCATGGGGGTCCTGCGTCCGGGCAGGGCGAAACTCCTGCAGGGTGGGCTCCCGTGGCTCAGGGTGGGAGCAGAGGGGGCGCTGGGGGAGCTTAGGGTCACTTTTGGGGTGCCCTGGGTGGGCAGGGGGCCCATGGGGGGACCCCACAGGGCGCTGGGGGAACCACTGGGAGCGGGCAGGGAGGCGCGAGGCGGCGCAGCAGGAGGCGGAGGCGCGCGGAGCAGACCACCACACTTTATTCCATAGTCACAACACCAGGAGAACCATTAGCCGAGCTTCCCCAACACCGGCCGTGGCTTCGGGCCGTGCCCTGCTAGTCCAGGCCGGTGCCCCCCCCTACCACCCCCCCAAAAAAACGCCAGGTACAGGACCCCTCACGAACACAGCACCAACGGGAACCCCGAGCGCTCGCCGCGGCTCCGGCCCGCTCGGCCGCCGCCCGGGCGGCTTCTTTCCTGAGAGAGGTTTGGTTTTTTTATTTTTTATTATTATTATTATTAATTTATTATTATTTATTATTATTATAGTGATGAGGGATGGCGCAGGCACACTCGCTCGCACACGCGCGCGCCAGCCCAGCACCGGGCAGCTGGGGGGGGGGGGGAGCTCGGCGGGACGGACGCGGGGGCTCTACAAGCACTACAACCACACGGCACAGAAAATAAAAAACCCACCACCCACGGCCACGACGCGCCGCTCGCCCCCCCAGACGCACCCCACGAGGCAGAGGAAGGGGGGACGAAGAAGAAGCAAACGGTGTTGTGCTTGAGGCCGGGCTCCGGCTCGCGGCGCGGAGCCAGAGCCTGCTCCTGAGGAAACGCCCGGCAGCGCCCCGGGGATGTGGCCCCCCCAATCCTTGGGGTGAGCAGACGCGGGATGCCAGCCCCTCACCGAGCCCTGCCGGTACTGGGGGGGCTTCAGCTCCGCCACGGGAGGGGAATTTGGGGGCTCCGGGCAGGGCACGAGCACCCTGAGAAGGCAGCGAGGTGCTGGGCGAGAGCGGTGCGCCGGGAAGCCCTTGAGCGGAGCCGTGGGTGCCCACGAACCCCAAACTCATTTTGGGGGGGTAGGAGCGGGCTGGGGGCGCCGCTGCCCCCCCCCCCCCCAATATTTGGCTTTGCTGGGAACGGCCTGGATGAGGATACCCGGGGCTGGTGGGGAATTTGGGGGGTGGGGGGGGGACAGGGACGCGCTCTACACGGGGAACACGCGGCTGGGGCGCGGTGCCCGCCCGCCTGGGGGGCACCTAAACACCGTGGGTAACGCGACGCCAGACACACACACACGCACGGCTACCTCTACACACCTACACATCGAGAATGCTGACGGCCGGGGGAGGCTCACGGGGGGGGGTGGCTGGAGCAGAGCCCCCCCACACACACCCCCCCGTAGCCACCCGGCACCGGGGCTGGAGGACACCGGGCGCCCTTGAGCAGGGAACGGGGCCGCGGCGCTCCCTGCGGCTCCTCCCATGCTGTGGGGCCGTGCCCGTGCCCACCCGTGATGGGGATGTGGGGGGGGGGGTCTGTGAGCAGCCCCCCATCGCTCCCCATGGAGGGGGACGCCGGGGGGCTGAGCTGCACAAAGCTGGAGGATGGGGGAGCCCCTAAGTGGGGAGGGAGCCCCAAAAGGGAGAGGGAGCCCCAAAAGGGGGAAGGAGCCCCAAAGTGGGGAGGGAACCCGGCTGCCCCAGTAGGGCCAGGGGGGCTCCCAAACGCCCCAGAGCCCCCCTTGGGATTTGGGGACCCGAGAGGCTGCTTCACGCCTTGGTCCCTGCCGTGCCGCTGTGGGACAGGGCTCAAAGCCCCATGCGGCTCCTCCGGGTGCTGCCAGCCCCCGTCCCTGTGGGTTTGAGCACCCGGAGTCCCCACCGCCACCACCCCAAACATCTCAGCCCTCCCTGAGCACAGCCCCCCCTTGCCCTATGCAGCCCCCTGCCCACCCTTGCCGCCCGCCGGCACCGCGGCCACGTGCTCGCAGGCAGCGGCAGGAGGCGGATCGCTGCGGAAAGGAGCCATTAGGAACAGCAAAGAAAAAAAACCCGGCTGGGGGAGCCTCTGCGGCAGGACCTGCCCTGCTGGGAAGCTCGGCGGCGGCGGCGGTGCTCTGCGGTGAAGCCCACGCTTGGCGGCACGGCCGGACCCCAAGGCGCATCCATCGCGGAGCGTCGCCGCGCCGGAGCTGCCCGCACCCCACAAACCCAACCTCACCGCTGCCGGCGGCCCCGTTTCGGGTGCTGGTTTAAGGCAGATCTCCCGCAGAAGCTCTTCCCACAGCCCTGGCTGCGTGCTCCCTGCTGGCACGGCACACGGTGGCCGGGCACGGTGGGATCAGGCTCTGCTTGGAGCCGCAGGCTCGCTCCCTGTGCCCAAAGGTGCCCCCACGGGTGCTAAATCCCAACTGGGGCTGCCCCGGGTACGGCTTGGCCCCGGCCTGGGCTCGTCGCTGGCACCAGGGGCGCGGGGTGGCTCCGGGCACGGGTTCTTCCCCCCCGCGGCACGGGCGCCTCTGCACGGATGTCTGGAGAGAGGAGAAACTCAGCCTCCCCGCTCCACGTGCGGATCACGTGCGTGCAACTTCGCCCTTCCCCAAACTCAGCGGCGGGGAGCCGCGCGCGCCGCGGCCAAATCGCAGGGAGAGCGCCGGCCCCGCGGGACCCCCAAAACCCAAAATTGGGGAACCCCCATGAACGGGGAACCCCAAGGAGGGCCCTGCTCTGAGTGGGCTCTGCCAGCCCGGAAAGCACCGGGCGCGGCGTGGCCGCCGGGAGCCCTCCCCAAGGGCTGCTACGAGGAGGAGAAAATTGAAGACGTGCTTTAAATGCAGCCAAAAAAGCAAAATAAGAAATCAAAACGGGCTGTTCCCCGGGGGGTGCACGGCGGGGGTCGAGGGATGGGTGGGACCAAGGCTGGCGTGGGTGCTCCCGCTGCCCGAGAGGGAGACGGGAGCACCGGGAGCAGCTCGGTGACAATGAAACCCCCGTCGGACCCTCGCCTGTCACGGGCAGGGGGACACGGCGGAGAGCCACAGGGCCCAGGGTGAGGGGTCGCGGGGCGAGGAGCAGCGGGGCTGCAGCCCTGCACCACGGCGGGAGGAGGAGGAGGAGGAGGAGGAGGAGGAAGAGGAGGAGAGGGAGGAAGAGGAGTGGGTGTGTGCCGGGGGGATGGGGGGAGCAGGGAGCTCTGCCTTCCAGCGGCTTCAAGGCAAAATACCTGATTCCTGCATGTAAACAGCTGGTTTTGTGTTTTTGTTTTTTTTTTTTCTTCCTGTTATTTTTTTTTATATATGACCTGATTGTGGGTAAAAAAAAAAAAAAAAGAGAGATTTACCTGCAGAGCGCGGGGACTCAGTAGGTAAAAACCAAGTCCGAGATGCTGGACATGAGCCAGTCCCCCGCGATCATCTCCGTCACCTCGGGCGTGCAATAGTCCGGGAACTCGAAGTGCGAGGAGCTTCCCCGCGGGAACAGGTCCAGGTCCTTGTCGAAGCCGCACCAGTCCACGGTACCGCACGCCGTGCTGGTGGTGGTGGCAGGGGGGGGGGCCCGGCCGGCCACGACGCCCCCCGGCAGCTCTTCCTCCAGCTCCTCGTCGGAGGAGCTGAAGGAGGAGGGCGGCGAGCTGGCCGGCATGGGCGAGGGCATCCCGCTCTCCGGAGACGTCCCCGGTTCAGCACCGGTGGTGACGGTGACATCGGTGACAGCGGCGGGGCTGGGGGGCGCGGGGGGCTCCGTGGGGCTGCGCTCACCGGTGGGCACCGCGGCCGTGCCGGGAGAGTCCTCGGTGGCCACCTCGCCGTCGGGCTCCTGCGTTTGGGGACCGGCGGGGGTTTTGGCGTGCTGCCTCCGGCCAGTGGGGACACGACCGAGCACCGAGGGCTTGATCTTGACCGGGAGGCGCGGACGAGCGGTGGCGGTGGCGGCGTTGGTGGCGTTGGTGGCACCCACCTTGCCCTTTTTCCGCGGCCGGTACTTGTAGTCGGGGTAATCGGCCATGTGCTTGAGGCGCAGGCGCTCGGCCTCGCGGACAAAAGGGATCTTCTCGGAGTCGTGCAGGAGCTGCCAGCGGCGCCCCAAGCGCTTGGAGATTTCGGCGTTGTGCATGTCGGGCCACTGGTCCATGATCTTGCGGCGTTCGTGCTGGGACCACACCATGAAGGCGTTCATGGGCCGCTTGATGTGCCCGCTGGGGGTCTTGCACCAACCCGGTTCCGACGTCCCACCCGGTACCGGGGGGCACGGCTCCCGACGCCCCTCCGCGCCCCGGTTCCGGGGGGTTCGCTGCACCATGCTGCCCGCCGACACCGCCACCGGGGTCCCCGGTGCTGCTCCTCCGACACCACCGACACCGCCTCCGCCGCTGCTTCCTCGCCCACCGCCGCCGCCGCCGCCGCCCCCCCGCCGGCCGCTACGCCCCCATTGTGCCGAACGGGAGGCGGCGGCGGCGGCGGTGGGGCGGGGCGCAGGGGGCCGCGGAGGGGCCCGGGGGCGCACGGCGGGGAGGAACCGGGAGCCGGTGGGAGCTCGGGGAGCCGCGGGGATGGGGAGGGGGGGGCTCCGGGAGGAGCCGCACCGGGGCCGGGATGCTCCGGGATGCTCCGGATCGCACCGGGGATGCTCCCGGTTGCTCGGCACTGCTGACCGGGGATGCTCCGGTTCGGAACCGGGATGCCCCGGACAGGACCGGGGATGCTCCGGGAGGCTCCGCACCGGCCCCGCCGACCGGGGCTGCTGCTCCGTTGGGTTCCTCCGGTGCTCCGGTGATGCTGCGGTGGCGGCGGAGGGGCCGGGGGTGCGCGGGGGCGGTGCGGGCAGCCCCGGGAACCGCCCGCCCCGCGCCCCCCGGTGCCTCTCTTATAGCCGCCGCCGCCGCCGCCGCCCCGCCCCCGGTAAACACGGCCGCGAGGGGCTGTCAATGGCGGGCAACGCCCCCCCAACCCCCCCCGTACCCGGGCCATTGGCCGCGGGGCGGGGGGGAAACGGTGGCAGCCGCCAATGGGCGCCCACCGGCGAGGGGTTGCTGGCGAGAACGGCCCCGGGGCACGGCCCGGTGCCCCCCCCGGACACCTGCCGGTGCTCGGGGCTGGGCAGGGCTGACGGCCCCGGATCTGCCCGGTGACTGCTGGTGCCTCCACACAGGCGTCCCGGTGCCCCCAGTGCCCCTCGGGAGCCACACCCGGGATCCCCGGTACCCCCCGGTACCCCCCGGTTCCCCCCGGTACCCCCACCGGGATCCCCGTTACCCCTGCTCCCCCCCCCCCCAGGTCCCCGCTCCCTCTCCGTGCCCTACCGGCACCACCTGCAGCCCCACCGGGGACCCCCGGGACCCCCCCACACCCCTCGGGACCCCCCCCCCACATACACCGGGACACCGGGAACCCCCCCTCCCACCCCCCCGGGGGCCCGGAGCCGCCCCACCGGCGGCGGGAGGGGGCGGCAGGGGGTGAACGGGCCCAGAACGGGCTGAGGGCAACGGGGCTGGCTCGGGCCCGGGGGCCGCGTCCCTCCGGTGGGGGCACCGGGGGGCGGCGGAGGGGACGGGACTGGGACCGGGACCGGGACCGGGCCGCAGGGGGGGCACGGGGAAGGCCCCTCACAACCAGGCCCAGCGGGCCCCGGCCTCGTAGGGCCCGGCCAGGCGCGGTGGGGCCCGGCCCGGTTCCCCCCCCCCTCCCCCGGGCCGGTCCCGGTCCCGGTCCCGGTTCCGGTCCCGGTTCCGGGGGCGGGGCGAGGCGGGGCCGCGCCAACCAATGGGATCGCGCCGCGGCCCTGTTGCCTTGGCGACCGCGGGCTGCCCGGCCGAGGGGCCGCTCCCATTGGCTGCCGCCTCGGCGCGGGCCCGGCGCAGGGCGCGATCCCATTGGCTGCGGCGCCGCCCGCTGTTGCCATGGCGACAGCGCCCGAGCGCGGCCTAGGCCCGGCCCCGAACCCTGAGGCCTGGCCCGGGGGCGAGCAGCGGGCACCGGGCACCGGGAACGACCCTGAGGGGGGCTGGGGGGAGCCCCGCGGGGTCAGGCGGAGCCGCAGGGCCCGGTCTCGGTGCTGGGGGCACGAGTGTCCCGTGTGGAAGCGGGGATGGAGCCAAGAGGCCTGGTCCCGGGGGGGCTGAGGGGAGCGGTACGTGCCCGGTGCCCGCTGCCCGGTACCGGGGCTGTGGCACTGAGGGCACCGGGGGGAGCTGAGGGGAGCCGTGCGGGTCCCTGCACGGTGCTGGGGCTGTGGCACTGCAGCCGTTACCTCAGCGTCTCCCAAATGAGCCCTCAGAGGTGTTGGGGAGGCGTTAACGGAAAGCTCCGAGCCCGGCAGGAACCGGGGATGGGGCGGTGAGGGTGAGGCCGGAGGGGTCTCAGCCCACAAAGTGCCCCTGACCCCCCCCCATCTCCTCCTTTATGCCACATTCAGGGGCGCAGCAAGCGGCAGGAGGCCGAAGCAGAGAGGGGAGCTGCGGCCCGCGAGCTGAGCCTGCCACCGATCCCCAGCGAGGACAAGAGGAGAGGGGAGAAGAAGAAGCCAGGTTGGGAGAGATTGCCCCGGTGCGCTGCCTCCCCCCATGGTGCAGCGTGAACACGGTGCTTGGGGCTGGGAGCCACAAAAAAAGGTGGCTGAGAATAAAGAGGGAGAGCTAGAAAAGGCCAGGGAACGCTCTGAGGTTCTGTAGGTTCCGCTCCTGGGGCTGCAGAAGGTTTGAATTCAGTCCCTCAGTTCTTCACGTTTCCCTCAGCTACACACGACAGGAGAGGGTGGATGGAAAGCGTTGAAACCAGGGCTGTGAAATAAGTACAGGGCTTTTTTTTTATTTTTTGTTTCACCAGTTACATTTATGTCGAGTAAAAAAACACCCCTGCCTTCAAAGAAACCGGTGTCCCAAGAGAAATACAGAAGTTTTACCGAGAAGAAGTCAGCGCTCAAGGAGGCTGAAATAGCTGAGGCGTTGGAAGAGATCAAAATCACCACGGTACATGCAACAACAAATAGCAGGTGCTGGGACGGAGGGAGCAAATCCATAGCGGTTACCCAGGTTGCCTTTATGGAGGAAATCCTGGCAGTCTGAGTCACTCTTGCAAAATGGCACATGTTTATTTATTAATAAACGAGAGGTAATTATGCTGCTCTGCTCAGGTGCTGGCGAAGTGTAACCTTGATGTTGCCCATTAAGAAAACTGAAGAGAAACCAAGAGAGAGCCCAGACTGTGGCAGGAGGAGGGAGGAGATTTAGGAAATGTGACCCGTTCGAAAAGACTCTCAGCGTCAAATTTTCTTATTCTGGCAAAGAGAAGGTTGAGGTGGGGGGTGTGAGCACAGTTTTTTAGTAGGGAAAAGGTGGTTATAGGTGATCAGCTGGTGGTGAGGAGTGTGGGAGCAGCACTGTGCTGTGGGGGGGAGGTCAGTGCCTTGGCAATGAGATTGAGGGTTGGATGCGTGGTGTTGGGACAGTCAGGGCCTTGTTGGTGTTACCATGGGACAGGAACGTCCTGGGAATGGCAGATGATGGTGAGAAAACTTGAGGCGGGTGGGACCGATGGAATCTGCACCCTTTAATCCACAATTCCTGTAGGATCTGACCCAGCAGAAGATAAATGCCATAGAGGAGCTGAAGCAGCGCAGCGCCCGCCTGGAAGAGGCCAACTGCCGGCTGATGAAGGACATCCAGCACACCGATGCCAGCACTGCCAAGCGAGCCAGAGACCTGCTGCAGCAGTACGAACAGTTTCAGGTGAGGTTGTAGGGTTAATTTACAGGCCCAGACCGGCAGAACACAAAACTTCCCACTGTTCCTGTCAGTTCTGGGGAATGGCCAGGCGCTGCGTGGTCGCTTCCACTGCAACGAGCGTCACTGGAGCAGCGCCGGTGCTGGGGGGAGCTCTCTGATGCCCAAAGACCCCGTCAGGTGCTCTTGTTTTGTGCCTGTGTTTTAAAGCCACCAGAGTTTCGTGGCTGGCTACTGTCCCAGGCATCAGCAGCCACCCCTGTAACAGCCCAAATACATCCCTCCATGGGGAAGGTGGCTTCTGGAAGCACGGAAGCATTCCCGTGAGCAGCTTCCGTGCAGCTCACAGCCACAGCAATGGTCTCATTTGTGCAGCTAACACAAGCAGTAGCACGAGAGGAACATTAGGGATGCTGCAGGGGGATGTTTCAGAGCTCTGTAGACTTAGCAGTGACTGGATTTGTCTCTGTGCAGATGGTCAAGGCAACGGCGCAGACCGCCAGTCAGAAGAGACTGGACACAGCGAGGGCAGAGCTGCAGGAAATGGAAAAAACAATGGAAAAGAATCTGGGAGGCGAGTGGCTCTCATGACAGTGACGTATGGCCTATATAATCCACCTTCCCTTTGCTTTCCAGTGGTCAAAGGCATTGTGCCGATGTTACAAATGCCAAACTATTCCATTTCTGAAAATTAATCCCCTTTCCTGCATGGGGATAATCCTCCTGTCAGGAGGGGCAGAACCCCATGACGCCCATCAGCTTAAGAGGCTGGGAAGTCTCCTCCTCGGCAGCTCTTTGCACCATTCTGGGCAGGTCCTGGTCAAGGTGGCTTGATGTGGGGTGGCCTGTTCCCACTGCTCACGTGGTAATCTGTAATCCAGATCCCTTCCCACATGGTGTGCTCAGCCAAACGCAGGACAGGCTCATCGGCTCGGTTAATTAGCGAAGTTCTGGAAGCCTCAGGTTGACATTTCCTTCTTTGACTTCCCCGCAGAGCTACAGCAGCAGTTGGATGAAGCCACATCCAACGTACAGGTTCTCCAGGATGAGCTCAGCGTCCTGCGGACCTACACGGACGTGCATTATCCCAAACAGGCTCTCCAGATTGTCCTCCTTCTCTCCGACATCCAGAACCTGAAGAAGCAGCAGCAGGTGCTGAGACCTCTCCTCCTCTGTAGCATTGCTCTGGGGACTGGAGAGGGCAGGGGAGGAAGGAACAGGAGCTCAGTGTTTGTCCTGCTTAACGCTCCTGCTGTTCCTGTGCGCTGCCTCCTGCCGCCCTCAGGATGAGATAGACAAGACAGAAGAAATGGGGAAGGCCGTCCTGGAGGAACTGGAAGAGAAAACACGGCAAGAACAAGAGGAGCTGCTGCAGCAAGTCGTGGAGGTAGGTGGAACTACTCCGCCGTCTCGGCAGGGGGAGTCGGTCTGTGGGAGCCGTGGACAAGGCGGGGGCTTCCAGACGTTGCCCGCTGGCAGCAGCAGCGTGCAGTCAGCACACAAAGAATCAGCGAGCACCGCTGCTCCTGCCTGACACGCTGGAAGGGCACACGAGGAGTCCCTCCGAGTTGCTGCCCTGGTCTGATGTGACAAAATGTTCTCAGGCTCGCTCCTGAGAGCTTGCTGCGCGGAGGTGAGCGCGCTGTGACCCAGCGTTCACCCTGCCGTTAGGCTCCCTGCTTTCCTACATTATTTAGGTGGGGACTTAGCTGCTCAGCTGTGACGCTGCTGAGGCAGCGCACGGATTTCTGTAAATTCATGAGGAAATTAACCTGTGTGCAGCACGGCAGAGCAGGGGCTGCTCTCAATCTGCAGATTTTACAGGTGAATCCGTAAGCACAGGTGCTATAAGTAACCCAAGCAATATTCATAAGCTTTCCCAGGGAAACTGGTCTGGATTTATTGAGTTCCTCAGCCTTGTTCTATCATCAGCCCAATGGGATGAGCTGGAACCCAAACTTTACCCAAGCAGGAGTTATTTCCTCGAGGAGTGATGCATCCAGACACAACCAGAGTTGGCATCTGGCAGTGGCAGGGTCTCACGCTGGCAGTTACCGTGGGTTTCTTCTCTTCCCCTGCACAGGAGGTGTTGCTGCACCAGGATGGCCTGAAGCAGCTGGTGATAAACAACCACGTGCTGCGACGCGAGATAAGAAGGCAAAGAGAGGTGAGGGGGCGGGGGGAGAACCACCACGGAGAGGCAGAGCCAGCCACCCTCAGCCCTCGCCCTCAGAGAGGATTTTGTGCCTCTTGGTGGTGTGTGGGGCTTTCTGCTTCCACTGGAGCCAGTGAGCTGTAAGGCTTCCTGAAACGCCCGCTGGACTGCTCGCCCTCAGCGTGCCCTGTTAGGGGCTTTTCTTGCATGAGGGATGGTTTCAAGCTCTGCTGGTTGCAAAAACTTTAACCACTGCTTCTGTTGCAAAATGAAGAATGCTTAGAGATGTAATTCGTTCAGATTATTAAGGACCTGGAAGAGGAGATCAGCGAGCTGCAAAGCAGCATCCAGACGCTCCGCCAGCGTGCGAGAGACCCGAGAGAGGTGATCTTTGCTGATGTTTTCCTCCGCAGACCCAAGTAAGTGAGGCTGCTCAGTGGGCGTGCACAGAGCTTTCCCTATGGCCTTGACCCGCAGAATTCTGTGGTGCTGAGCACAAATAACCTCAGCCCAAGCACTGCTGCAGATCTCACCGACAAACCTACACGTCCTGGGACAGAAACTCGCAGCTTGCTGGCAAACCCGGTCACCTCACAGCTCTCTTTTGGGTTTCCTTTTGTCCGTCCTGTAAATGGGGGTAATTACCAGCTGCAGGAAGAGGCAGAGCTTTTCAAGGCCCTTGTGACTACGATGAGTCTTCCTTTATTGTTCTTTTCCCTCTCTGGCTGGGAAGCCAAACTGAGGGGAGGTGGCCAGGCTCCTGTGGAGCATCCTTGTCCGGGCAGGTCCTACCCATCTCAAGCTGCTTTGCTGCTGGTGTGAAACAGCACAAAGGAGAACAAAGGCGGGCAGCCAGTCCCCTAATATGTAAAAAAAAAACCATCTCAGAGGAACGGGTTGGCAGCAAAAAGGCAAAACTTTCTCTTTCTCCCACTCTTTCCCTGCCCAAGCTCATCGGGAGCTAACGACCCCCGGAGCAGAGGTTGCGGTGAGTCCCCGCTCCCACTTCCCATCGTTGTGCAGTGCGAGGAGAATCCTCAGCGCGCATCGAGGGGGAGAAGGCCCTGCCAGCTCGCTCACGGGGACGCTGGGCTCTCCTCTCCAGGGACAGGGGACACACTGGCCAAGTCCGTAGGCTGAGGCATACCAGCAGCCCGCTGTGACGAGTTATTTTCCACCATACCCCCGGCGGGGAGCCCGCCCCACCGAGCAGCAGGCCCCTGGCAGAGGGCTCCTGCCCAGAACTCAAATGCTTTGGAGCTGTCAGGTGCCTCCTCTTCCTGTGCTGACCAGGGGAACAAACCTACATAAAATTGACCAAATATGCTTAAATCTTGAGTGCGGTGTAGCCCGAAACCCACAGTTTTGTGCAGAACTGGGTGCATGTGCACCTTTATTTGCTGCAGCTGCCTGTACACAAGTTATAGACGGGCCACAGATGCTCACCCAGCAAATCGCTGGTGGTGCAAACAGCAGAAGGGGCTGGAATTGTTAACGGCCAGCCAGGTAGGGCTGCGGAGCTGCAGAGGCGTGATGCGGAGCAGGAGGAAAGCCTGCAACGTGTCAGGAGCCCGTGGGGGAGGCGAGCGGCTGCGTGATGGATTAGCGAGACTTAATTTTATTTTTTTTTTTTCCGATAAAAGAATGATAAAAAGGGGAATTAATTAGCCTCGACAGCTGGTGGGGCTGGGGTTACTGAGGGCGGCTGGGAGAAGAGTTAAAAATAGCAGGAAGGCCCAAGTGGAAAGTTTCTGTAACATCACAAGTCAGGCATTTGGTGCTTACCCGCCCTGACAGGCAGGAGGCTGTGCCAGAGCCCTCGCCGCCATCTCCCCGCCGATTCCCACTGACCTCCCTGCAACTTTTCACACGGCTTCAGCAGCCGTTCGTTTTTCCAGTTAACCCTCTGCTTCCAGACGCTGCTTTGGCTTCCTGAAAGCAGGACCAGGCATCGCCTGTGCTCGGCTTGGAAGTAGGAGGGCACGCAGGAGCGTGGAATTGTTGCTGGCCCTCCTCGGGCTCCCCGTGCGCTGCACCTGCGAAGCACGGAGGAGCTGCGAGGCCCCCGCACACCCACGTGTGTCTGCGTTTGTGTTCTCCCTCTTTAAAACTCCTTTTTTAAGCCCCCCCGGGTGGATTTCACCTCCGAGCCCTGCATTGGACGCACAGTTTGTCCTGGGCTGACGCAGGCTGCCGAGCGCACCTCTGAGCGAGCCCAGCTTGCTGTGTTTGTCCTTTCTGTGCGAGAAAGCAGATGTGCCTGGCTGCCTGATGGGCTTTCTCAGCTTCTGTTTGTCGTTCAGGACTGACAACGAGGGGCAGCTAATTCCGTTCCTTCTCCGAGTCCCAAGGGTGAGATCTGGCTGCCGTCGGCTGGGAAGCGGAGCTGCGCTCTGCGTTGTGCTGAGCAGGGGCTGAGCACCACAACCCTCACCTCCTGCTTTTGTTCACTGCTCCCCCAGCTGTGTCCTGCTGTGTCCCCAAACAAGTCCCTGGTCCCTCTCACCACTGACACCAGTCCTGTGCCCCAGGGACACGAGGCATCGTGCCAGCCACCTCCAGCCCTTTAACAGTGGGGCCGTTGTAGGGCACGCAGGGAGCCTCTGAGCTCCGGGTGGGCTGCACAGAGCATCAGAGGAGTCACCATGGTTCTCACAGGAGCTTCTTCCCCTCCTCGCACCAGGCTCCTGTGCGCCGGTCGGAGCACGGCTGCTGATTCCTGCTCTTTCTTTGTGCCTCACCTCTCTCCTCTCTCCGCTCAGGTGCACACCAGACACCGAGGTGATCCTCAGCATCCCCACGGAGGAGGCAACGCTCCCCTGACACCCGCAGGCCCCTCAGGAGCGGTGCTGAGCTGACAAAACCTTCCCCAGCAGCACTTCTTCATCCCAGCACCACTCAGTGAGGACTCCTGACTACAAGGAGCAGGAAAGGAGCTGCATCATTCCCGACCTCGTGCCTGTGACCATCGCGCTGCAGCCGTTTGGAAGGTGCAAACCCTGCGGTGACGGCTGCCCAGGGACCCTCCCCGGCCCTCCTCACCCCCCAGCACCATCGCTGCCCCCCAGTGCCATGGGGGCAGCACCAAAGGGGCCTCTCCATCGCGGTGCCGTGACCTGGGAGGGGTGTCCTGGGGTGCCCCAGGGTGGGCACGTCCCGGTGCAGGGCTGGGGACCCAGCACGGAGCCATCCCGGAGCCTGTGTGGGTGCCAGGGCCAAACTCAGGTTCAAATAAAAACAGCCCCCGTGCTGCCCCGTTCGAAACACGCCTCCGGTCCTGCTGTCCGTTACCGGCTGCCAAACAGGGGCAGCGGAGCCTTCGCAAGCCCCGCTCCGGGGGCAGGCACCGGGGCAGGACCGGGCTCGGCTCGCTCCTTACTTGGCGAAGCGGCGGGGGCCGTGCGCTGCCCCGGGCAGCCGCGAGATGGAGCCGGGAGGGGACCGGGCGGTGGGCTCGGGGACCTGGGGGGGGCCCTGCCCCGGGTGGGACCGGAGCGTGGCGGAGCCCCCGCGCAACGGGGACGGGATGGAACGGGACGGGGCTCCCGGGCAGCCCCGGTGCCGCTTTCCCCCCCCGCTTCTCCCCGGAGCCCGAGGGGTCGCGGCCGGGGGCACCTCGCCCAGCCCCGGCACCGGGAGCCCCGCGGGGGCCTCGGGGACCGGGCAGAGCCCCGGGGGTGCGGGCGGTGGACGGGGAGGGGGGGGTCGGGCAGGGGAGGGACCGGCCTGCGGCGGGGGCTCCACCTCCCGGTCTTTAAAGCCTCGCCGCTCCGGGGCCGGGCGGCGGTGCCCGGGAGCTCGGCGGAGGTCAGCCTGGTTTGGGAAAAGTTGGGACCGAACTTTTGGGACAGGAGACCGGGACCGGCGAGGCCGTTCCCGTGGCCTCGGGGCTGCAGGGTCGGGGAGCTCCAGCGGAGCAGAGGGGCTGCCGGGGACCGCAGGGAAGCGGGGACCCCTCGGGGTTCCCGACCCCGCTGCCCCCGGTGCCGCCGATGACCCTGAACACGCAGCGCGGGAGCAAGAGCCCGCTGCGGAGGAGGGCCAGCACCCCTCTGCCGCGGCCCGGGGCACCGGCTGCCACGGCACGGAGCGAGCCCGGGCACCCCCAGCTCGGCCACTCGTCCTCGGAGCCGGGTGGCAGGGCTGCGGCACCCCGGGGCAGTTGGTCCTCCGAATCCTCGGGCTCGTCGGGGTGCTGGGAGCCCCAGTACCGCGTGGTGCTGCTGGGGGACCCCGGCGTGGGCAAAACCAGCCTGGCCAACGCCTTCGCCGGCGTCCAGGAGCGGGATCTGCTGGAGCAGCACGGAGGTGGGTGCCCCACGGGCCTGACGGGGACCCTCAGTTGTGGGGTCGCTCGCCACGGGGCCGGGAGGAGGTGGAGGGGAGGCGGCTGCACCCCGTGCTCGGAGGGAGCCCCGTGCGAGGCCCGGAGGAGCCCGGTGGGGTCGGGGGGGGCCAGCGCTGGGTCTCGGTTGCCCCGGGGAATTTCTGCACCGACCCGGCTCTCCCGGTGTCTTGCAGAGGTGGCCTACGAGCGCACGCTGTCCGTGGATGGCGAGGAGACCACGCTGCTGGTGATCGACGCCTGGGAGCCCGAGCGCAGGGTACGCGGGGCTGGGGTCGCTTCCTCGGGCTGGGAACTGTGCAAATCCCCGCTGCTGGGGGGTTTGGGGGGGGGGGGGGGGGATGCTGTGTGCGTACAGCTGCTGCTTTGGGGTCTCTGCGCTCTGCAAACGTCTCCCTGGGGCTCTCCTGGATGCATCCGGAGCTCTCAGAGCAGGACAAGCCCAATGGGCAGGAAGGGGCCAAGGGTTCCCAATCAGCAGCCATAAAAGCAAATTTCTGGGGTCGAGGGACCCCCGATGGGGGCACCCCTCATCCTGAGGTCAGCCCTGTGGCCAAAGCGACAGCCTCAAACTGCCTCTGCCTGCCAGGGAGGGTGCCCGGCACATCCTCACCCCTCTCTGGGTCTCCCGTGGCGAGCCACTGGGGCGCAGGAGCCGTGCGGGTCCCTCATGGGGGGAGGACGGGGCTGTGGGGGGGGAGCGCGGTGCCAGCAAAATGCACGGAAACGGCTTGGAAGCGGGGCTGAAGGAGCCAGCCGGGCAAATCCACGTGAGGCAGCGCTGCCAGCCAGGGCACGTGCTCAGCTGGCAGAGCCACGGCCCCGCGAGCCTGGCACGGGGCGTTCGTTCGTGCTGCTCCCTGCCAGCAAGCCCAGCGCCCCCGTGCCCTGCTCCCCGAGGCTGTGGGTTTCCACGAGAGTCAGGATCGGTCCCTGGGAGCAGGGAGGGAGCCAGCACCCGGGCTGCACGCAGGCACAGCACCCCCATGGGCTGGGGCTGTGTTTTCCGTGCTGCCCGGAGGTGCCCAGCCCCACAACGCCCTGAGATCAGCCTCTTTATTTCCCCTGTTGCTCAATCCCAGCTTGCCCAGCCAGGGCTCACAGCGCTGTACCCATGGCACTGGTGTTGCACGGCCAAAAGCAGCTCCAGGAGGGGCAGCCTCAGCCCCCTGAGCCAGGCTGAGCCCACGGCCCCAATTTCTTGCTGATAGAGGAGGAACTGTGAGCGACCCCAAAAGCCAGGAGCTTTTAAACTGATTTAGCAACGTGGCCACACGTCTGCTGCCCATGATACGGGGGCTTTTGGGGTGCACTGGCAGGGCCCATCTGTGCCGGGGTGCCTTGCTGCCCCCCCCAGAGCAATTTGGGATGCTGCTAGCCCCCGCAGCGCGGTGACATCCCCTTCCTCGTGTGGTGGCAGGGCGAGGAGAGCTGGCACCGCAGCCACTGCCTGCAGGTGGGGAACGCGTACGTCATCGTCTACTCCATCACCGACCACGGCAGCTTCGAGAGCGCGGCGGAGCTGCGCATCCAGCTGCGCAGCATGCGGCAGGCCGAGGACATCCCCATCATCCTGGTGGGGAACAAATCCGACCTGGTGCGCTGCCGCGAGGTCTCTGTTGAAGGTAAGAGCCTCCAAAACCGTGTCCCGTCTCCGTCCCCGTGTCCCCTCCCCGTGTCCCCCTGTGCCACGGCTTCTGCTGCGCCCCCGGAGCTGGGGGTGCCAGCGGGGCCGTGCCCCCTCCCTGCCCTCCCCTTGCAGAAGCCCGTGCGTGTGCCATGATGTTCGACTGCAAGTTCATCGAGACGTCGGCCGCCCTGCAGCACAACGTGGCCGAGCTCTTCGAGGGGGTGGTGCGGCAGCTGCGCCTGCGCCTCGAGGGCAAGGAGGCCGGCGCGCACCCCGCGTCCGTCCACAAGCGCAAGGAGAGCCTCACCAAGAGGGCCCGGCGCTTCCTCGACAGGTTGGTGGCCAGGAACAGCAGCAAGGTGGCCCTCAAAGTCCGCTCCAAATCCTGCCACGACCTGTCCGTGCTCTGAGAGCCGCCGCGGACCCGTCCCACCGGACTCGGAGGTTGGGGACTCCCCTGTGCCAGCAGCTCCGCGGGTGCACGGAGAGACCGCAGGGGCCGGAGCGATGCTGAGGACACGGAGCTGTTTTAAGCGGTGCTGGTGGACACGCGGGGTGCTCTGGATCCAGCCGCTACCCCTCCAGGAGAGGGGCTGAGCGGGGCTGGGTCCCCCGAGCTGCACGTGTGGGACGGGCACCTTGGGGGTGGGAGCCCGGCTGCCCCGTGCTCTGGGGGGCCAGGCTGTGTCCCTGCAGGGCTGGAGCCGTGCTGGAGGTTTCCAGCAGCTCAGCAGGTCGTGGCACTCGTCCTTTGTGGGGCAGGAGGGGGTAGGAGGGCACGGCAGCAGCACCCCCGGCCCCTCTGCGCCTGGGTTTTGCGCTGCGTCTCCCCTAGCGCTGGCGTTCTTCCGACCCAGGATTTTTCTGCTGTCTTTGTCCTGGTGCGATGGGGAAACCCCTGCATCCACTGAATAAACACCGTCGGGGATGTGCTGCTCTGCTCTCTGCTGGGTCCCTGCCGTGGGGAGCTGCGGGCTGGGGGTGCGTGGCTGGAGCCGAGCACAATTCCTCGATCGGGGGCCTGCCTCCTGCTGCAGCCCAAACAGCTCAGGGCAGGGAGAGCCCCAGCCTCCAGCCAGGCTTCCTCCAGCCACCATTTAGCCAAAATCTCGGTCCTTGCCCAGTGGTCACAGCACCACACCCAGCAACGGCAGAAGCCCCTGGCCCCCTGCACCTCCCTACTCCCAACCAGCTCCAGAAAAGCCCCTGGGAAGGGCTCAGCACCAGCCCCAGTTGCTGAGGTGCAGGTTTTGACCCCCCGTGCAGGATTCAAACCCCTGTGGGAGCCACAGCCTGGGCTGGGAGCCAGGCCCTGGGCAGCTCTTGGTGCCCTGGGAAGGGGCAGAGGCAGCAGAGGGGACGTGCTGGGGCGCAGCGAGCAGCGAGCGACCCCGGGCACCCGCGGAGGCGACGCCGGAGCCTGGTTGTTTTTGGGCTTGCGCTGCCGGCGAGCGGCCGGGACGCCGCGGGGGAGCCAGCTCGGCAGCCCCGGGCCCGGCGCCAGGGAGGCTCCGCGGTGCCCTCCCTGCCTGGCTCGGGTCAGGAGTTTCCACTCGTTCCCCATCCCCGGCTCCGTGGCGGGCACGGATGCAGCTGGGGAGGAACCGAGGGGACGGGAGGATGGCGCTGTGCCCGTCCCCGTGAGGGGTTTGTCTCTGCTCCTCGTCCCGGCAGCGGTGCCGGTGCCGGTGCTCGCTCCTCACTGCTGCTCTGGCTCCAGCCCCTCTGCCCGGAGCTCCCCGTGCCCCAGCTCCCGGTGCTGTGCGTGCTGCCGGGTTCTGGGGCTGCACTGGTGTCCAGTCCGTCCGTCCGTCCGTCCGTCCTGCAGCTGCAGCCGGCGTTTCCTGCAGCGGGAGGCAAGCGGAGGAAGGCGGGGGTGTGGGGGGGCTGCGGGATGGAAAGTTGGCAGCCAGGCAGCGAGGGGAGTGGAAAGAATGAGCTCAAACCCAGAAAAATGCGGCCGCGCTGGAGGGTGGGAGGAGAGGCCAAGAGGGGGGGGGGGCACGGAGAAGAGCTGGGAAAGGGAGGGAGGGAGGAAGGAGGCGCTGGCGGGGGGCCAGGGGCTGCCTGCGGCCCCCAGCTTGGCCCCCACCTGGGCCAGGTACTGCCAGGGCTCGGCAGCTCCAGCCCCTCCAGCAAGAACTCTCGGGGCTGTCACCTCCCTGCTGGTGCCATCGGTCCCAGTGTCACCCATCCCAGCACGGCCCACTGTCCCCAGTGCCACCTCCCCCGGTGCCGTTTGTCCCCGTGCCATGCTCCCGGTGCCACCCCGGGGAGCCCCCCGTCCCAGTGCTCGCTGCCTCCCTAGGCCAGGGGACCCCGCGGTGGCCACGGTAGGGACCAGGTCCTGTGCCCGTCCCCAGCCCCTGGGGCACACGGGGTGCCCGGTGGCTCGATCCGCAGCCCTCTTGCTCATCTCCCACTTCTCCAGGGTCTTCTTCCAGGGATGTTTTAGGATCAAGGGCCTGCACCCAAAGCATTTTACCCCCCCCTCGGTGCCCCCGTTTGTTGCCAGCACGGGGCCGGAGCAGCCTCCCCGGCACGGGGCGAGTTAAAGGCTGGCTCGAGCGTGTGGCAGCGCATCTTCTCATGGGGAGCTGCCAAAAAAAGCAGAGGGGAGGAGGGCGGCCGCTTCCCCGCGCACCACGGGGGCCAGGTCCTGCCCTTGGTCCCCGCAGGACGGCTGGGAAGTCCCTCCTGCTTTCCCAGCCGGAGCCGCCGCTCGCGCAGGAAAGCCCCACGGAGGCTGCGTGGGGAGCAGCCCCACAGCCAGGTCCCCATTTTGGTGCCCAGACCCCAGCCCCAAAACAGCGCTTGCAGCCCCAGCACCGGGCAGAGGGCACCCAGCGGGGAGCTGAGGCACCCGCAGGAAAAGCTCACAGCTGACAACCTCGGGGCTGCTTCGGAGCGGGGCCGTAAAGGTCTTTTGAAGGGTTTTTTGATAAAAGGCTCCGCCGTGGAATACACCAGAGCGTGAGCATTTCTGCTGCTATTTTGGGTTCTGGCCTAACGATGTGCTGGGAGGGCAGGAGCAGCTCCCAGCCCTGCAGCCTTCGGTTCGGGGTCTCCCCAGTCTCCGAGGCTGTCCCTGTTAGCCTCAGCCCTGCCCGGGGCCAGCGGTGCAAAAGGAGCAGAATTTGACTCCCTGCCTCCCTGCCCTCCTGCAGCAGCGCCCGGGGCCGTGCCCGGTTTGGTTGGGTTCTCACGGGATGCTCGAAGAGTTTTCAATAATAGGGACACAGCTGAGCAGTGGGGACACGTTTCTGCTCCCTGGGTGACAGGGAACAGAGGTGGAGATGCTGCTTTTGCTCCTTGACAGAAACCAGGATCAAAGGAGAGCCGTGAGGGGTCCCTGCAGAGGGCTCCAGGTAGCAGCAGGAGCTGTCCCCAAAACGTGCAGCGCCCAGAGAGACACCAGGACCTGCGGGGATGGATTTAGGGGACGAGCAGGCACCTGAAGGCATCAGTGAGGGGCTGGTACGGGGGCTTTTAGCTTTGCTGTGGCCACCACTGGGGTCTGCCTCCTGTGCCATGCCGCAGGGTGGGACACGGCGGGGCACGCTGTCCCCGTGGCTGCGTGCTGCTGACCCCGCTGCTCGTCCTTCTCCTTGTGGGAGCATCGGTGACACCGAGAGGACAGCAGCCCGGGCAGGAGGCCAGCCCCGGAGCAAGGCACATCGGTGCTCCCGAGAGGCCTTTTCATCTCCTCGCTGCCTGAAATACGAAACTATGAATCACCCCAGGTCCTGAAATAGATTCATTATTTTTTTTTTTTAAGAGACAAATATGTTTAAAAAAAAAAAAAAAATGTTAAAGCGTGCCTTGTCTCCCTGCTGTGCTCCCTTCCCCTGCCCGCAGCTCGGCTCCAAGCCAGTCCCCGGGCTGGCGGAGGCGTTGGTTGAGGGGGGGTCCTGCCTGCACCACCGTGGGGACCCCTTGCAGCCACCCCAAGGGGAGCCCTGGGGAGCAGGCAGCCAGGTGGGGACACGGTGGGACCCCGGCGGTGGCACAGGGACACGCTGTGGGTTCAGGAGGTCGATTTCCCCGCGTAACAAGATGCAGCTGTCAGAAACTGCTGAATTTACAGAATTTACAGAATTTACAGAATTTACAGGCTGTGGGAAGGGTGAAGCAAAAAAGGGCTGTTTGCTGCGTGCAGGTGGGTTGGGAGAGGACAGGGGGTGGCACAGCGGGGCAGAAGCACGGTCCCTCGAGGGGGACGCGGGATGCACGAGGCACAACAAACCCGGGGCTGGACGCGAAGCCCGAGCCCCAGACCTGAGCCACACGTGGTGCGGACTGCGGAGCTGTCCCGTGTCCCGTCCCTCTCCCTCCCTTCCAAAAATGCTGTCCATACTTAGGCAGCCACCGCCGCTCTCCCCTTCCCAGGCAAAATGTCAGCACAGATCCTCAGCGGCGGGGTAAACAACGCCGGGCTGACACAGCGCAGCGGCCGAGCACCAGCAGGCGCGTGCCATCCATCAGCGGGATCCGCCTCGCCCTGCGGCCCCAAAACCGGCACGGATTCACGGACTGTCTGCTCAAAGGGCCCCACGGGATGGCTCAGTCTGACCCCTTCATCCTGATGGTTTCGGGAGGGTACCAGCATCGCCCCGGATCCCCCAGACCCCGCACACGCAGCGTCCAACCCAACCCTCGCCCCTCATCTTCCTCCCCGTCCCTCCACCCCGCAGAGGCTGCGATGGCCCCATCTGCCCCCCAGCGAGGAGGGAAATGGAGGTAAATCTGGAGGTAAATTTGGAAACACTTGGAGGTACATTTGAAGGCATTCAGTGGTGTATTTGGAGGTGCATTGGAGGTAAATTTGGAGGTAAACTTGGAGGTGTATTCGAGGTAAGTTTGGAGGTTCATTTGGAGTTATTTGGAGGTATTTGGAGGTCCATTTGGAGATGTATTTGGAGGAATATTTTGAGATGTATTGGAGGTACGTTTGGAGATAAATTTGGAGGTGTATTCAAGGTAAGTTTGGAGGTCCATTTGGCGGTGTATTTGGAGGTAAAATGGAGGTATTTGGAGGTAAATTTGGGGGTTTATTAGAGGTAAGTTTGGAGGTCCATTTGGAGGTATTTGGAGTTATTTGGAGATGTATTGGAGGTCCATTTGGAGGTGTATTGGAGGTACATTTGAAGATATTTGGAGGTAAAATTGGAGGTTTATTAGAGGTAAGTTTGAAGGTCCATCTGGAGGTATTTGGGGGTGCATTTGGAGATGTATTTGAAGGTATATTTGGAGTTGTATTGGTGGTATGTTTGGAGATAAACTTGGAGGTAAATTTGGAGGTGTATTCGAGGTAAGTTTGGAGGTCCATTTAGAGGTGCATTTGGAGGTAAAATTGAGGTATTTAGAGGTAAATTTGAAGGTTTATTAGATGTAAGTTTGGAGCTCCATTTGGAGATGTATTGGAGGTATATTTGGAGGTACGTTTGGAGAAAAATTTGGAGGTAAATTTGGAGGTGTACTCGAGGCATATTTGGTGTATTCGAGGTGTACTTGGAGGTACATTTGGAGGTAAAATGGAGGTATTTCGAGGTAGATTTGGAGGTTTATTAAAGGTAAGCTTGGAGGTCCATTTGGAGTTATTTGGAGGTATTTGGAGGACCATTTGGAGATGTCTTTGGAGGGATATGTGGAGATGTATTGGAGGTATATTTGGAGATAAATTCGGAGGTAAATTTGGAGGTGTACTCGAGGCATATTTGGTGTATTCAAGGTGTATTTGGAGATACATTTGGAGGTAAAATGGAGGTATTTCAAGGTAGATTTGGAGATTTATTAAAGGTAAATTTGGAGGTCTATTTGGAGGTCTATTTGGAGTTATTTGGAGGTATTTGGAGGACCATTTGGAGATGTCTTTGGAGGGATATGTGGAGATGTATTGGAGGTATATTTGGAGAGAAATTCGGAGGTAAATTTG